CGCTCGTCCGATCTCTGCTACTGCTACTATAACCGGGAATCTAAGGGCGAAAGAAGGTTGGGGGGAGATTACAGCTGCGCAATGCTGGGCTGTTGCGGCTGCTGCTGGGCCTGCTGGGCCTGCTGTTCCGGCGCTCCGGGTTGGGCGGGCTGGGCGGGCTGGGCAGGCTGTCCCGGAACAGCGGCCGGCGCTCCAGGCGCAGTGGGGATGGCGGGGGTGCTTCCCGCCGGCGCTGGCTGACCCGCAGGAGCTGGCGGCTGCTGCGCCTCCTGACGCATCTGCTCGAGCTGCTGCTTGGCCGTGTTCTCGTCCACCTTCTGCACGCTCTCTGCCGTCGTGGGCGCCAGGCCGGCCTTGACGGCCGCAACCTCCTCGGGCTTGATCTCCTTCGGCGCCTCGTTGGCCCTGCGCACGAGCTCCTCGACGCGCGCAATCTCGCGCGCCGCAGCCGCCTTGTCCCGGAACAGACGCTGGCGCTCCCGCTCAACCTTGCGCTTCTCCTCGGCCAGCGCGTCCTCCAGCTTCTCGAAGAGGGAGAGCTTGAGCTCCACCTTTCGCGCTTGCGCCGCAACGAGGCGCGAAACGAGCGTGCGCAGGCGCGACTCCTCGTGCGAGGCGAGCGTCGACGCCTTCGCGGCGGCGGAACCCAGGGCGATGGAAGCCGCCCGCTCCAGAGACGACTTTGACGGCGCAGTCGGGTCGGGCGTTCCGTCGGCAGGCGTTGAGGACGCCTCCTTGTCGCCTGCCGGCGCGGGCGTCGCCGACTCGACCTTAATCTCGTCCGTCTTCTGGCGCTTGTCGGCGTCCTCGCCCTCCTTCTCGCCTTCCTTCTCTCCCTCCTTCTCGCCCTCCTTCTCCGTACGCTTGCGCTTCAGACCCTGCGCGAGCTCACCGAGCGCACTCTGCGCCGCGGCGGCAGCGACGGCCGGTCCAACGGCAGACGCCAGGAAGGTGACCACGCTCATGACGGGGTTCTCGGCGCTGTCGAAGGGCACACCGTTGACGCCAGCCTGGTACCGGAGGGGACCGAGCTGCGCCGCCGGATCGGAGGAGAGATACTGGTCCTCGATGGGAAGCTGGAGGAATTTGGCGATACACTGCTCCTTGGAGCGAGTCGCAACGTGGTCCGCGACAGCCTTCCAGTCGTCATCGTACATCTCCACACCCTCGAGGAGCAGCAGAACCTCCTGGTCGCTCCAATCGGGACCCGCACCCTGCGCGCCGTGCTTGAACACCTCGTCGTCAAGGCGGACAAAGTCGCCAGAGAACATGCTGCTCGGGAACCGGCCGGAAACGTAACAGGCCGGGCACACCGTGTACTCTCCGTCCTTGAGCGAGTGGTAGCGCGTGCGAGTGCAGTCCGTTCCACAGGTCTCACACGCGTACGCCTGCGGCCGCGGGGCAGCACCGTTGGCAGCAGCCTGCGCCGCACGCTCAGCGTCGCCCTCAGTTCCGACCTTGCTCGAGCGCGACGACGACTGGTAGATGATCTTCTTCAGGTCGAGGTTGGACGCGTGCGGCGTGATGCCGGACGCCGCACCGACGGCGCCAGCGCCGGGCTTCGTGCCGGGGTGCAGGTTGCTGAGGCCCTTCGGCGTGTCGAGGGTGACACGGAAGTGGCCGGTGAAGGGCGGGCCGAGGGGCGCGGGGCGGGTGTCGGGGTCGACCTGGTAGTTGATGAGACCCCACTGCTCGAGGAAGCCGTGCACACGCATGATGGCGCCGACGTCTCCAGCGAGGTTACGACGGCACGCAGTGACAGTCAAGTACTCTCCGGGGTTCAGACGGTACGTGTTGATCATGAAGTCGCGGTAGTCCTTGTAGATGGCGGGGGTCTTGGAGCGGTTGCGCTTCGAGAAGAACTCGGGGAGCGACTTGCGCTCGATCGGGTGGATAGTCGACATGGAGAACCACGACGAGTACGACGGAACAACAAGCGGGTGCGTCTGGCTTGCGAGGTACGTCGTCGCAAGGTCGTGCAGGTCGTTCGGGTCTAAGCGCGACGCGTCGGCGCCGGCGGGCGTCTCACCGGCGGGCTGGTCCAGGCTCGGCGATGCCGCCGGCAAGACAGTGGCACTCGGCGCGTTCTCTGTTGATGGGTCAGTCACCTGTATGTTTGCGTGCGTTTCGCTGTGTGCGGTGCATGCAAACACGTCTCCATCGCTGCATCCACGCAGCAGCACGCAACGTACCTCCGTTGTGGTCGTCGACGTCCATGGCCTGCTGGCCCTCGTTGCTAATGTTGGCAATGTCGCCGCCGAAGACGGGCTCGCGCTCGCGTTCTTTGCCGGGAGCGGACGAGAGGTCGTGGGCGGTAACGTCTCCCTGGGTCTCGGGGTCGGCGGATCCCTCGGTCCCTTCCTTGGGGACCTTGAAGGAGATTTTGGGAGTCGACATTGTCGTTGATGTCGTGTGCGGCGGGGGGTTGGGTGGATGGTTCCTCCGACGCGTTGGGTTGGTGTCAAGCTCTGATCCAAATACAAGGAAGGACGAGACGGGTCAACGACTAACACAGCATGTAGCACCGCGGGAAAAGGGGAGGGTGACTTAGGGCATGCCACGCTATCCCTGTTTTGGTCCCGCCACCTGCCTGCTGGCTGGTTGCTGGGCTGGTGACCGGAATCAATTCGACCCACCACTGCTGTCAAAACATGAGCCTTCCCTCACCGAGTAATCTGCATGCAGGGCACGCGTCATGGACAGGACCGGCGTACAGATTGGCTGTACATGAGGGTTATTGTAAACAGAAGAGCAGCAGCAGCAACGCTCTATATAGTATGATATGACATGACAAGCTAAAAACACAAGGGACAACCGAGAAGAAGAGAGTCTACGAGAAGGGCGCCGGCGTCGGGTTGTACACGCGGAGGAGGCGTCCGTGTCCGACCTTGTTCTTGTACAGGAAGTTGACAATCGTCTCGCCCTCGCGGTTCTGGCCGCCTCCGAGACCCTTCATCCAGTGCTGATTCGCCTTGTCCGCGAGCACAGCACGCGCGGCATGCACGTCCGACAGCGTCATGATGCCGCGCTTGATCGGAGGGTGCGTCTCGGTCGCCTTGCGCTGCGGCGCCGTTTTGCTCCGTGTTGTCGGAGGCGCGGCGTCGTCACCCTCACCCTCTTCGCCATCCTTCTTCTCTCCGTCTTCTCCCTCTCCACCTTCAGTCGTAGAGGGCTTCTCCTCGGTTGGCTCATCGACAGCCATCGGGGTGTCACGCTTGGGGCTGTCCGGAGGAATCACGGGGGCAGCGGGCGGCATTGTGTACAGCTCCGTCGCTGATGTCAGTTGTTGTCAAAATCGAGCCAACTCACGAGGAGTGCACGGCGCCTCGCTCCAGGGCGACACGTCCCAGCGGGGAAGGAGGTCGTTGACCTCGAGATAACGGTAGAGCGCGTCAACGGGAAGTTCGAGGAAGTCAACCTGGTCTGTCAGCTTTACTACGAAAGCGCGGCAGCTCACCTTCGTCTTGACGTCTGCGGGCTCGCTCCACTCATCCTCCCTTCCCTTCACCATGCCAACGCCGAACGCGGGCCGGGCACCTCCCTTCTCGGTGCCGGAGTCGTTCGAGTCGTCCGCTTTCCTCCGTTTCGTGTTCCTGCTGCCACCTCCGTTCGCGCGCCGCTTCGGGGGCGGCATCGTGCTTGGTGTTGGTGATGGGGCGTCGGCGGGCATGTTTGCTGATGGTGGTGCTGGATAGTGTGGATCCAAGGAAGACGCTCCAGACAGCCATCCAAGACGCAAACCCAGTCAGTGGAGGGGAGGACTCGAAAGTGGAGGTGGTACGGGGAGGGTCGCATAAGTGATAGTGTGTAGCATGACACGTGACACCAGCCACCGTGTGCGGTGGAGGAAGGCCAGACGGGAGTATTTTTGCCACTGGAAATCTTGAAAGTTGGCAGACAAGTGGAACGCGATCGAGACGTCAGTCGCTGCTGCGTGCATCGGGTGTCTTCCTCAACTAGCACACCACTACGACAGGTCAGGCAAGATGGTAAGTCGATCTCGCTACGGCTTTGGAAGTCACTAGCTAACCACCAGGGAAAAGCCAAGCAGACAAGAAAGTTCGCGGCGGTCAAGCGCATGATCAAGCCGAGTGATCCACGATTGTGAGCTGTCAACGGTAACGACATAGCTAATATTACAGGAAGGAGAACATCGAGAAGGCGGCCAAGAAGGCGCTGAAGGAGAAGCAGGCCGAGGAAAAGAGGCGCGAGGCGCAGTCGCAGGTCTCCTCCTCTCTCTTCCTGTCGCACAACACGGATCTCGGACCGCCATACCGCGTGCTCGTCGATACCAACTTTATCAACTTCAGCATCCAGAACAAGATCGAGCTCGTCCAGGGCATGATGGACTGCCTCATGGCCAAGTGCATCCCGACTATTTCGGATTGTGTCCTTGCAGAGCTCGAGAAGCTCGGACCAAAGTACCGCCTCGCGCTCAAGATTGCAAAGGACCCCCGCTTCGAGCGTGTGCACTGCGACCACTCCGGCACGTATGCAGACGACTGCATCGTGCAGCGTGTCATGGCGCACAAGTGCTACATCGTCGCTACGTGTGATCGCGACCTCCGAAGGCGTATCCGAAAGGTGCCCGGCGTGCCGCTCATGTACGTCGTCAAGCACAAGTATCAGATCGAGCGCCTGCCCGACGGAGGCGCCAGCTTCAACTAGACAAGAGGTGTTACAGTGCATTGTACAATTATCATGTATGACTACAGGCTTTCTACAACGGAATCGATGATCTCGCTCGTGAACGGGTGCTTTGCGAGCAGTTTGGCGCTCACAACAGCCGACTTCTTCTTCCCCTTGGCATCGGCATCACTAGTGTTGCCGTCCGAGTGCGCAGACTCAGCTTCAACGGTCGACCACGCGTGCAAAGTGTCCGCACCCGAGGGAAGCGTCCGGATCCACTTCCGCTTGGCCATGAGGTCGAAGAACTTGCGCAGTAGCGAGTCCTGGTTCAGCGTCTTCTGGGAACCGAAGACGACGAGCTTCTTCTTGGCACGGGTGAAGGACACATTGATGCGGCGCCAATCGCGCAGCAGCTCACCAACGCTACCGGTATCGTTGCTGCGGACTAGGCTTACGAGCACGACATCCTTGTCCCGACCTTGCGCCTTGTCGGCCGTGAGCACCTCGACGTCGCCGAGTCCGGCGCCCGCCATTAGGCGAGAGATCAGCTTGATCTGCTGCCTGTACGGCGTGATGAGGGCAATGTCATGCTGCCGGATACCAGACGCGACCAATGCCTGCGCGAGCTGAGTAACCAGCGCGGCCTCGGCTGGGTTTTGCACGAGGTCGCCTGCTCGAGTCTCCTCTGCGGGCACCGCGTCGGTGTCCACAAATATAGCCTTGGATTCCTCCTCGAGCAGTCCCTGGATCCAGCAGTCGCCATCGCATGTGCTCTTTCCTACATCAGCGCAGATCGCGCGATGCGGAAGTCTCAGTGCTTGCTTCGCGATCGCCTCGTTACCGCAGCGCAGGCGATCCTCGTAAATCAGCTTGTTCGACAGCAGCATGATGTCCTCATTCATGCGGTACTGCGACGAGAGCGGCACGACGGCAGACGGGTGCGCGTCACTGAGCCTCTTGAACAGCGATACGTCGAGTCCGCCCGCCCGCGCTTCAGCCTTGCGTACGATTGGAGGCAGCTGGAAATGGTCGCCGACAAGGACAAACTTGTCCGCATACCGCAGTGGCCCGATGCATGTCGGAAGCGTAATCTGACTCGCTTCGTCGACGATGCAGTAGTCGAATCTGCGGCGGTGGAATAGAGCACTGGACGTCAGCATCACAAACTCGACAATGAAGCTTCACTCACTGATTGATACTGAGACACGTCGTGGCGACAACCTGCGGGGTCATGAGGCGTGCCTCGAGGTTGTCGATGCTGGTGCTTGGCCCCTGCGCCTCGAGCGTCAAGTGTTGCACGTCGCGGTGCACCTTCTGTGGATTTCCAATGCGGAGGATTTGGAAGTCACTGCCGAGCAGCTTAGTCACGATCGTGTCGACGGCGCTGTGCGTGTAGCTCGTGAGCAGGACGGTCTTGCCGCGGGCTACGATCGCCTTGATAATCTCAGCGATCGTGGTCGTCTTGCCGGTTCCAGGCATGCCGAGAATGAGGCTGTAGTCGAGCGTCGAGAGCACTTGCGTCATCGCTTTACGCTGGTCCTCGTTTAGGTGAGGTGGAATCTCGTCAGCCTCCGGTCCACCGCTCGCATCAAACTTGGGCTCATCCAGATCGACAATGAGGCGGCGCCGGATCGCATCCCCGCCCTTCAGAAATAGCTGGGCGAGATTGCCGCGCATGTTCGCCATACCCGAGGCAAGCTCGTCCTTGTCGATGCGGAAGACGGGTGTGCCCTCGTGCTTCGTACGCGCGAGCAGGACGGCCATGTCGAGCTTAGTGCCCATTGACACCTGGACAGATGACGGTGACAGGGCAGTGACGTATCCTCGAGCGAGGCAGAGAAGATCCGGCTCGATGGACAGCGATACGGGGTCTCCCACAGCTATGTGGCCAGATAGCAGCGACGGAGCGGGGCCATCACCTTGACGTGCGAACGTGTACGTGAATCCATCGATCTTGCGCTTGCCCGTGGTCCCATTTCCGGACTGCCCCGACTCCTCCTCCTTAACAATGACCATGTCAGCGAAGCACCGGCCAGCCTTCTCGCGGCGGCCGGCAGTCATGGTCCAGAGTTGAGCTCGCAGACGGACCGTGTCCTGCTCCTCAAGCGTGACGAGGCGCTCCCAGTGCCGGAAGAACTCGACGTGGGTGGGCGTCAGGTGGCCAACATTCTCAACAAACTTCTCTGCGAGGTCGTTGTCCTTTGGTGGTGGCAGATTGCCAGACTGTACACTGTCAGCCAGTAAAGCGGAGCGGCGACTCACCTTGCGGTAAAGCAGGCACGCATCGGACGCGAAGCATTTCATGCACTCCCTCGGGTTATCGATGGGCTCGGGGAGGAAGACGTCCTCGATCTCGGCAGCGAGAGCGGCATCGCCCTCAGCCTTTGGGCTCTGGCGCTCGCGAACCATCCATTCGGCCAATTCGTTCCTCGCCATGATAAGAGACCGAACTTCTACGTCCTTGGCGTCGATGAGGACCACAGAGTTGAGCTGGGAGTAGTAGAGCAATCCAGATGGGATAGGAAGGCCGTAGCGATCCTCCATCAACAAAGTGTACAGAAGAGTCTGGGCACGGTGGGAGAGCCCGCTGATGGACCTGCCAGTCTTGATTTCTAGCGGGGCGATAAGATCCTGAATCTCGGAGGAACCCTCGCGTCGAAGTCGGATCTGCACGCTGGCGTCGATTTTCCCTTTCAAGCCCCATTTGGGGGACCAGATGTCCTCTTCGATGTCATGGAGGCCGGTTATAGTCGCCGCACCACAGACCTCTTCGCGGGATGTGATGAGCGGGCCGTCGTCCGACACGTCAGGTCCAACCCACTTTCGGCCGAAGGACGAGAAGGCGTCAACCGCCATCGGCCCGAGATCATCCTCGATGTCCTTGTCACTCAACCCGGAGCCCCAAATCTCCAGGCGCCGACCTTCATCACCGAGCTCAGCCGCTATGCTCTGCTTGGTGAAGTCGGGGTCGAAGTTCTGTTGCGTCAAGGAACTTTGCAGCAGCGCGTGCAGAATGTTGCCGTAGGTCATGGCTTTGGACGGCGGCTCCGGCAGCCTCATCAAAGATTGCAGCAATGGCCGCCTCGGGCATGGCTGGGAGCCTGCCATGGCCGTCATAGTCACAAGCACGTCCGGGTGGTGGATGAGGTAGGTTGATTTGGCCTTCAGGTTGAGGACTATCGGACCATCTTCTTTTAGCTGGGGGGAGATGATATTTACAATGTCACCTATTGCTGTCAGACTCAACCAACCCACAAGGTCACTCACCTTCGCGAACATTCAAATGGGACCACTGATCCTTGAGCTGGAGGACACGCTGCTCCCCACCCGCAGTGTTCACGACGAGTGACTGGACGTGGAAGGAGCTCGGCAGCACCTCCCCGCCAACCGCAGCGAGGACTCCTTCATGAACGCTTGCGATAGTGCACCTAACCCATGGAGTCGGCGCGTATCCTGGCGGTGGGCTAGGCACAGGAGGGTGAGGAAGGGGGTACTTGATCTGCCATGTCAGTTGTGAGATACGCGCTCTCAGCTCACCTTGATCACCGGTTTGATGAGTTCCGCCTCATCCATGTTTGCCAGGGCGTCCAAGTCCCAATCATCATCGTACATGGACTCTTGGCTGGGAGGAGGCAGGCACGCATCTTCAATAATGGGCGTAGACGGTATCGGCTTCGGCGGTGGTGTGATCGATCCATCCCGTGTCGGCGTCTTCAGCGGTGCGAGTTCGATGCTGGGCCCAGCGAGACTCGCCGACTCGTTGAAGATGTGCGTCAAGCTGGACGAGAGAGGCTTGGCCTCCTTCTTTACAGGCAGGCTCGGCAGCAGCGCAGTCCTCCGTTTGGGCGACAAGATTTTTCCGCTCTTCACTCGTACGTCGCCGCTTGCGGTGACTTTTGCTTTCTGATTCAACCCCAGCAGCGACATGTGGTCCGTGCTGGTTGACGTAGACTTGCGAGGAGATGCGGGTCGTTTCGGCGACATTTTCACGCTGACATGACGGGGTGCGGATGCACGAGAGGCCGTTGGAGGGTTTCGGCGAGAGGACGATGGGGAAGATGTGGAAGTCGTTTGTGGTGTCCGGAGAGGTCTGCTCGCGCTGGTTGAGCGTTGCGACGTCGCCTTCGGCGGCGTGGCCTGAGAGCAATTGGGCGTGATATCAAAGTCACTTGGCGTCAGGCCTTCCAAAAGGGCTTTCATCATCGCCTCCTCCTCGGCTTCGGAGGGCCCAACCCTGGGCCGCTTTGCGACGCGGTCGCTCATGTCGAGGGAAGGTCCAAGAAGAGTGCAGTAGGTGTAGTCTGCTGTGGTTTCGATGCAATAGTCGGCTAGTCGGTTGCAAGAAAGGAAGCGCCGTCAAGAATAATACCTGGGATACTCGAGAACGGATGAAAGACGTGAGAAACGAATTATGTTTTGACAATCGCTGATCAACGCGACCGCGTTGTCGTCATGTCATGTTCTCAGACGCGAAATCAGACGCGTTGATCTCGTCACGTGACATAACAACAATAACAAGCCCTCGCCACCCACGCAGTGGTATTCTGCATGCCGGTCCCTCGCTGACATCTACCACATGCTTGAGAGAGAGTGAGTGCAGCTTTTTCGTCTGCTTCCCTCCTGCTCACGATACAGAAGCGATGTTGCGCTATGAAATCGAATCTGGTGATGCAACTAAAGGAGGCTAGGCAACTCATTATTACATTAACTGAAGCTACAGAAAAGAGTCCAACAGGCCGTGGTTTCGTTCTCGGGCCCAGCGATGAATGGGATAGGATCCTAGTTGAAGTGAAGAACGAGGCTCTCAGAGAGCAATGGCGGCGAGGGCGGCACCGACGCCGAGAGCGAAGCTGTACTCGAGAGTGTTGGCGCTGCTCTTGCCAGAGGCCGAAGCAGAGGCATGGGCGCCAGACTTGGAGGCTGAGGCCTTCTGACCAGTGGTGCCAGAGTCGATCGCGCTGGCGGCCTTGGAGATGCTGGAGGCGGGCTTGACGTTGCCACCGGAGGGGTCAGCGGAGGCGCCGCCCTTGCTGGCACCACTGGTGGGGGTTGCAGAGGCGCTGCCTGCGTTCTTGCCGACACCGACTTCGGTGTTTTGAGAGGGTGCAGCGGACTCGGAGCCGCCATTCTTGCCAACGCCGACCTCGGTAACTTGAGAGGGAGCAGCTGTCTCAGAGGCCCCGTTCTTGCCAACGCCGACCTCAGTGACCTGGGAGGGAGCGGTGTCGTCCTGTCCTTCACCGTTCTTGCCGACTCCGACCTCGGTGACTTGCGAAGGGGCGGCGGAGAGAGACTCGGTGGGGTCGATGGCAGATTCGGACGCGGGGTTCTCGGTGGGGTCGATCTGAGGTCCGGTCTGAGTTCCAGAGGCGAGGAGCGGGTCCGAGGAAGACGACTCCATGGGGGAGTCAGCGGCAACGCCAGCCGCGACGATGGCGAGGGACAGAAGCACACGGAAGAGCATGTTGTGTTGGCTTGAGGTGGAGAGGTTATTAAGGCAAGAAGCGAAAGGCTGTAGAGTGTAGAGACTGGAGAGAGAGGAGAGAGGAGGGTTGGAGAGAAGGAGGACGTTCGCGGGCTGATTGTGCCTTTTATCGCGCTCAACAGTCCGTCAGCTTGTGTCTTCCTCGTTCGTTCCAACATGGCGTACCAGTACGCTATGGACGGTTATGCTGCCGCAGCACCCAGGCGGTGCACGGCACTAGTCCAGCTGCTCGTTAGTCAGCCTGGACGCCTGGACATGGCGTAGTCGGCGAGTGTCAGAACGTCAATTGGAGGCTCCTGGTGCACAGCGACGAGCGGCGTGCTGCGCATGATAGCGCTCTGGAACTACGTTGGTCCGAGCTGCTGCCAAGTCGGCAGGCTACCAGATGACCCAGAAATAGAGCACCGCTCGCGGTAGACTGAGCGTTAGAACCACCTGGAGCCCTCTTGCAATCCACCAGTTCGTCATTGCCATGCGCAGCACTTCGTTAGCTCAGGCACTCGGCAGGTTTGCTGTTGCTGCTTCATGTGGGCCCCCATGTGAGGCCAGCAGAACAACTGGACAGCAATAGCCGCGGAGATCTTAGACACCGCTTCATCACGCTTCAGCTTAGGTCCGATCCGGCGGCACGTCGGCCAAAGCTGGCCGATGCCGGCCGAGTCCGCCGAATCGCTCGCTGTTCGTGTTGCATCGTTCGTCGCTAGCGCGTCGCTCCCGCCAAGACGATCGAGCGCTTGGAAGAAGGTTTGCACGCCGGGCTGTTGGTACGACTCCTCGTTCCTGGGTATTGTCCAATCCGTCTAGTCGTCTGTTGTTGTTTGGTCCAGAGATACATGAGCATTGTTACAACGTCGAGGATCGGTGGTATCCAGAGCTTTGAAAGCGAGCCAACAGACCAAAGGGCCTGGAGCTAGCCGGACGGCCGAGGGCAAGGCTGCAATGGCGCGATAGATCGGGTCTAGGTCTTTTCTTCGGTTCCAGCGACGCATTGTGGTGAAGTTATAAAGCTGTGTACGGGAGATCGGAAAGCGGGAGAGAAGTCACGATGAAGAACGAGTTGAGGCTGAAGCTGGTAATCGTGCCAAGACTAGCGGTGAGGGCTAAGGCCGTGAGTCTAGTCGTGCTGAGGAGGGTCGCAGTCCAGCTCGGACGTTGCGAATGGCCGGGAAGGGGTGAATGTCGACCACAGCGAAGGAGAAGACGGGTGGCGTTTCTAGGCTCATATGGCGAGAACCGAGGAGGCGAACACAAGGAGGAGCCCGAAGAGCGATGCTCGTGACCGCCTGGATGAAGAGCTCGAGCCGGTATTGGCCCCGACTGGGGCGAGAGTTACGGTCGAGACCGTCTCATTCACGGTCTCGGTCACCACTTCTTTGACGACTGTCGTTTCTCGTTGATGAAGGGTCATAGGAGGGATCTCAAAAATGGGAGAAGATAAGAAGAAGCTAAGAGAAGATGAGAAAGGAATGTCAGTTGCTTAACTTCACCTTAACGGCCATGTTGTTACCCAGCTCCATGACGGACTGAGAGTGCATGGGCGCGGTTCGCAGCATCAGCGGATCAGTAGGCTGTGCACCTGACTTGCGCTGCATACTCCGGCGTTTGTTCCTTACTCGTCAGTGTCGGCCCCTGGCATGTCTCCGGAGTTCAGGACAGCCCAGGACGATAGCGGGGAAGCGGACGTTTCGAAACGTGATGATCGGGCAGCAAGGTGTCAGCAGCTTCACTGCAGCACCGAAAATCTCCCTTCCGCTCCAGATTCCTCAACGTAAGTTTACGATTCTGACTGACGTCGTGCCTTCCTCAATCCTTATCCTCATATCCAGCGGGTTTCCAGTCCAGTCTGACCCATCGGTCCGAGCAGGCGAAACAATTGCTCACCGTAGATGCCAGACTGGTTAGCCTCATTCACCAACGGACTCACTGTTCAGCGGCGACGACGAAAACAACATAAGACCGACAAAGTCATTGGAAGGGGATAATCAGGCGGCGCACTCCGTGCACTGATGGCAATGCCGGCATCGGCCGTCCCGGAAGAGCGTCGTGAAACCTAGCACGGTTTTGAGTCTTCTTCGAATCTGTCAGGCCCGCAAATAAAGGCGCTCGTTCTTTGATTGGGCGATAGAAGGTTGGTATCGCGGATTCGAAACCAACTACCAAAGCTCCCGCACCTGCGGCAGTGCGCACAGGGTTAGAGAGCAAGACAGACACCATTCCTGTATCGGTTTCCAGTCAGCAAATCCTGGCGTGATTGTAGTCGGGGTCCCACGGGCATGCGACCAGATGTTGGAAGAGCGAGTGCGGACCGAGACGCACAACGGAGAGTTCGTTTACGACCGAGCCTGTCCGCGATCCGGCGTCCAGAATCGACAGTCCCATGGCATCCCAGCAATTCGTACCTCTGCCGTCCTACACGCCTCACCCACAAGCCTCCGGCGTCCTCGACGTTGCGCTCTCCAACTTGCTGGAGCGCGCACTGGCCGCTCCTGTGGGTCAGACGTTCTCCCAGAAAGCGACTGAACTGGGAAGTTGGGCAGTCTTGAAGCGGAAGAACACCGCACAACAAGGGCAAGAAGCCGAGACATTCCGGTCAAGTCGCCGCGTGGCGTCGGGGTGACTGACTGACCTCATCGAGTTGAGTTCAGCGTTCACCACTCCACGCGCTTGCACTGCAGAACGTTGATGTTCAGTACGATACATCAATCTCTACTTGAGCAGATGAAGCATTGAAGCTCGTTGGATAGCTGCGTGAGATAGTGGAGGTCCAGAACATGAGAACGCGATGATGCCAAGGCAGCTTCTTGGCATGACCGACCTGGGACCTGAAACTTTGCGATTTTTCGCAACTATCACAATATCAACAGCGAAGGAGCCATTCGGGCCGATATTCCCTTGTGCAGGCGGCGGGAGAGTTCCCATGCGCGCACTATGATGATCTGCCTTTGACCTTCGACAAGACCACTTATCTATCGCCTCGGGCGATGTGGTCAGCCCCAAGACAGAGACCGGATTCATCGTTGCGTCATATTCAACCCGTTCAAAACGAGACCCATCAGTCCACCAGGCTTGGAAAAGCACACGCGTCAAGCGGTCCTGCATGCCGTGATTCTCGCACACAATTCGCGAAGAGATGCATGGGGAGGTGACACCTGGTCTGGCTGAATTGACCTTGGGCACGCGTGTCCCTAGCCAAGGCCGGCACTGCCGGCCCTATGCAACGGTGCGTTCCGATTGCTCCCAAGCCATGCCAAGCCGCACGGCGAAGGACGAGCCTCCCTGGATGGTCATGGCTCCGCCACTTCCCTCACGTCCGCCTCGGCATCCACTCAGCGTCCCAGTCATTGTGCAGCGGGGCGTTCTTGGCTCCGTGATGCGGTTGCCTGCATACGGCGGCGCTGGCGCCCGCGCATTCACTTGGCTGCACAGTCCACAGCATGCAAAGAACGCCAAGGGACTGTCACCAGGATCCCAGGCCTTGATCACCTTAATCACCTTGCTCCATTCAGCCCGGTGACCCACCCAGTGTGCACATGCGAGCCCGTCGCGCCCGTCTCGCGCCAAGTGCACCAAGTGCAGCGCGATCGCGGCCGGCGTGCGGCGTCCCTTCTTGGCGGCCCTTTGTGACAACAGCACAGAGCGGACAACAATGCTTCCTGTTATAAGCATCAGCGGGGTTGCGACACGCCCCCGCCCGCCAGCTCACCTACTTCTCTTCCATCGCTGTCTGTACCACCTTCAATTGCCATCTACTCTTCAGTGCTTGCCGACGAGCACACGACCGAACACCACTTCACCCACGCTCCTTAACGAACTCCCCCCACGATGTCGTACCCTACTCCTGTCCCCGGAATCGTCTACGGCCGCATCGACCAGATCTGGAACACGACGATCCCTTCCGGGTCGATGGTGTGTGCTGTGCGCACGCCGGTGCACCAGCTTGTGATCGACTGCTGCCCCGAGGTATCCGGCGAGCTGCGTTTCGTGGACGACCAGGCAAACTGCCTCATCGACTCTTCCTCTTCCGCCGCGCCGTTCGCGTCCTGCCTCAATAAGCACGACAAGGAAGGCATGGACTACACGAGCTCGGTTTGCACCGCGACCCCGGAGATTGTAGAGGACATGGACCCGGAGCAGGCCGCCATCGAGGAGGCGGGCAAGGCAGAGATCCGCGAGGGCCAGAGCCGCTACTCCGAATCCTGGGCTAAGCACGGATTCACCTCTCCGATCATCAAGGGCGGAGCACCCGGTCAACTCTCTATGGCTACGCAGACCGCTCTGCCCGGACGCCCGGATCCCATCCCCGGAATCGACTTCGACCCCCTCACCGGCGAAGCGATCGCTGTCGCGGACGATGCCAAGGCCGCCGCCCCCGGAGCTGTCCCTGCCAGCGCGGCTCCCCGCTCGAAGCGGGCCGGCACTGTTGTTGCCATTGCCGCGCTTGCGTTTGTTGTTGTCACTATGTAGATTAGACTTTAGATCAGTGCGATCAGTATACCAAAGCATTTCTTGCTCCCGTTTTGATGTATTATATTGGCCGCCAGGCCATGGCTTCGGATCTCTGTGCGAACATCAGTGGTACGAGGGATAAGAGCGTTGATGACTTGACATCGAGAGCTAGCGATCTCCACAACCGGCCACCGATCACGGCGATGACGAGACGATGACGCGTGGGCAGCCAGTGTTCGACAGCCCCACCCGCTGTCCGGTGCGGACAATAACTGCGGCGGATTGGCAGGGTCGCAGCCCATGACGAAGACCCAGGTAGCGCACGGCATGCTAGTGGTGTTCCAGATTCCTTGAATCCTTCAAAATTAGAGGGTAAAAGCCTGCAGGCACGGCGGTCTGACCTTTATAAGGGAGCGTTCAGTTGCAGATCTCGTCATGATTGGGTCGGCAGAGTGGTAGGCGAGCTCGTCGCTCCTCATCACGAAACCCAGCACCATCAGCGTACTGTCCACGCCTGCCCACTTTTGTCCCGATGCGGGTGGTCGGACCCCCTGCTCGCAGGCAAGGAGGGTTAAGTGGGGCCACGGAATCGGGAAACAGTCCACATGTGACGCATTCGAAACACGCACAGAGCGGCTGCAAAGGGAGCATAAGGGAGCAGTTGCGAGAGATCGGCCAAGCGGCGCACAGGCCGGCAACTGCAGGGTTAATACCGACGCCAAGGCTGACGAGGCGTATGGCGTCGATACAGGCACCCCGCCCCCCCGGTCTGACCGGAGCACGACTGCTCAAGCACACATCACACTGGTGCAAGCTGGAAGAAACTGAAAGGTGCTCAGACTCGTCCCACTCGCTCAGGCCGCTGTTGCTCCGGATCGAGCCGGGGTAACAGCGCTGTAGCGTTGTTGAGATGAAGCCAAGGTTGGGCGAATCGAGGCTCAGCGTTTCAGCAAATGGCTGGCGTCCCCGGGCATTGCTTGCGATATCGATTGCATGTGTTTTCTGTTCCCCAAAGAAAGCCAACTGCTGCGCTCGTCTCAGGTTGTCAGGTTGTAACAGCGCCCAAGAAATAAGGAGATATGCTCTATTGTTCAAGTCGCAGAAGCGTGACGTCACAGCCTGGCTAGTCCGAAAAAAGTCGAGTGTTTATCTTATCGGCCCGGATGAATTGTGGAATGCAAACCGGTTTGGGTGCGATGGGTGCGCCGTTCGGCGCGAACCGCACATCTCTTCTGTCACGCTGCCGCCCCCCGAAGCTTCAGAAGCCATCACTCCATTAGGGGAACGACCAGCGGGGACTGGCCCATGGTCCAGCTTAGCCCAGCTGGCTCCCAGCAGGTGCAGCCAGAAAACTCTGGGCAGGTCAGTGCTTCTTCGCTCCAGCTACCAGGGAATGCGTGGGGTGCCAAAGCGTGAAACGGCGTGTCACCTAGGTCACTTTCGTCACCGAATAACAGTGATGTGGGGGATGATCAAAGCACAAAGACTCGCCTGGCTGGGTCAGAAAACCGCCAGGCAGGAGCCACAGGATCTGGCAGGAGCGTCGCGGGATCTGTTGCGGCGCTGGCAGGAGCCTCATACAGGAAAGAGCCTGGCCAGCCTGGGACGGCAGGCACACTGCTGCATGCACAGCTGGCAGGTGCAAAGGAGGCGCGCCCAGAACGCACGCAGCAGCCAGGCTTAACGACCCTCGTACCCTCGTGCGCTTTGATCACTACGAGTCGTTGTGATTTCGTGTGCGTTTCCCATTGCTCACTCGCCCACACACCTCGCTCATGCCTCCCGCCGCCGGGCGTTGCTCAACCTGCACGACCTTACACGCTACTGCACCGACATCCCGCACTCGCTCATACCCGTGCCAGTACCTCGCAGAGCACCTTGCACCAAAAGTACAGTGCATCTTAGCACGCTCCTCTCTTTTCTCTTCACGTACAAAACCACCAGCACCACACACCCATGTTCGACCACCTAAAGTCCTTTTTCCGAGGTCCGTCGAAACAACCCCACCCCCCCAGCAAATCTACTATGCCTGAAGACCCCAAGACTGCTACTGTCAACGCCGAGCCCACCGAGACCGCCGTCCCCGCCGTCCCCGCGACCCAGCCCACCCAGGCCACCGAGGCCACCCAGCCCGCGCCTAGCGCCAGCGCCGCCGAGTCTTCCTCCCCCAAGACCGTAACCGAGGAGACTCCCAAGACCGCCCCCGCTCCCGCTCCCGCCACCCCTGCCCCGGCCGTTGCTGCCCCCGTCGTCTCCGCCGTCACCGCCGAGAAGGAAGTCACCGCCGCCGCCACTCCTGCCCCGGACGCTCCCGCCCAGAACGGAGAGCGTCCAGGAGACTCCAGTCCGCATCCACAAGGCCGAGTCGGTTGCCGACTCGGAGACTGAAGTCTACGAACTCGCCCAAGAGCACCTCGACCCCGTCGACACCACCGTCGAGGCCATCGCCGAGGCCGTCGCGCAGCCCATCAAGGAGCTTGCTCCTGCCGCGACGGCCGAGGCGCCCGTTTCCCCCGCCCCTGCCGCTTCTCCCGTTCCCGTTTCTGTTCCCGTTTCCTCCCCCGCCGATACCCCCGCAGCTCCTGTCCAGGATGCTGATCTCATCCCCGCTGCGGCCGCTCCTGAGGCCGTGAAGCCCGTCGAGGTTGCCGCTGAAGCTGTAAAGCCTGTTGAGGTTGCCACCGAGAGCGTGACCGAGGCGTCGCCCAAGGAGGCAACTCCTGCGCCGATCCAGGTCGAGGCGACGCCCAAGCCCCAGCCTGCCCCTCTGGCTGAGGCTGCCACTCCCGCCACCCCCAAGGCTGAGCTTCCTGCGGTCGTCGAGGCGAGCCCGAAGAAGGCACCTGCGCCGATCAACACTTCCCCGAAGCGCCCGGGCACTCCCGTCTCGTTCGCGGACAACGACAGCGTGTGCGAGTTCTACTGCTCCCGATGTGGCTCGCCTGTTTCGTCCCGCCGCTCCTCGCTCCAGCTCTCCCGCCGCAGCTCGCGCCGCTCCTCCATGCAGATCGAGATGAAGGGTGGCGAGCCCCAGGGTCTTGGTCTTGCCACTGAGCCCGAGGCCGCGAAGCCCGCTGAGGTCAAGAGTGAAGAGGCTAAGCCTGTCGAGGCGGCTAAGCCTGTTGAGGAGCCCAAGCCTGTCGAGGAGACCGAGCCTGTCGAGGCGCCCAAGCCCGTCGAGGCGCCCAAGCCCACCGAGGAGACTAAGCCCGCCGAGGTTGCCAAGCCTGAGGTCAAGGCCCCGGAGCCCGTCGCTGAGCCTAAGGCTGCTGAGCCCGTCGCCGAGCCTAAGGCTGCTGAGCCTGGGGTCGAGCCTAAGGCTGCTGAGCCTGTGGTCGAGGCTAAGGCTGCTGAGCCCGTCGCCGAGACTAAGGCTGCTGAGCCCGTCGTCGAGACTAAGACTGCGGAGCCCGCTGCCGCGACTAAGGTCGCTGAGCCCGTCGTCGAAGCCAAGGTGGAGAAGCCCGCTGACGAGGTCAAGATCGCCGAGCCCAAGGCTGCTGAAGCTTCCGCCCCCATCTCGGAGAAGCCTGCTGAGGAGGCCAAGCCTGCCGCCGAGGCCGTGATCGACGCTGCTCCGGTTGTTGCGGCGGCTGCCGTTGTCGCGGCCGCAGTTACCGTCGAGTCTGCTCCTGCTGAAGTCAAGAAGGAGGAGCCGGTCGCGGCCACTCAGCCCGCCGAGGAGAAGCCCGAGGCTAAGGCGGCTGAGGAGACCAAGCCTGTCGAGGCGGTTAAGGAAGTCAAGCCCGAGGCTAGCCCCGCCCCTATCGAGGCCGTTGAGGAGCCCAAGGTTGTTGAGAAGGCTGCCGAGGAGAAGCCTTCCCCCGTTGAGGCTCAGGAAGTTGTCGAGGACAAGCCCGCGCCTATCAAGGTCAATGAAGTCGTCGAGGAGTCCAAGCCCGCCGCCTCTCTCGAGGAGAAGCCCGCCCCCGTCGAGGTCAAGGAAGCCGTCGAGGAGCCCAAGGCCTCCGCCCCTCTTGAGGAGAAGCCCGCTCTTGCCGCCGAGCCCGCGCCTATCAAGGAGGAGCCCGTTGTCGCCGCTGAGCCGGCCCCCGCCGTCACTGAAGTGAAGGAGGAGAAACCTGTCGAGAAGGCTGCTGAGGCTACCCCTATCGTCGAGTCGACTCCTGTTGCTGAGACTACTCCAGTCGTCGAGGCCACGCCTGAGGTCAAGAACGAGGAGGGTTCTGCCCCTGTCGAGGCCAAGGAGGAGGCCGCAGCTCCTGTCATCGAGACCCCTGTTCCGGAGGTGAAGAAGGAGGTTCCGGAGGTGAAGAAGGAGGAGACCTCCGCCCCCATCCAGGCCAAGGAGGAGGTCGCTGCTCCGGTTCAGGTTGAGGAGGAGGCCACTGCCCCCGTTGAAGTCAAGGAGGAGGCCGTTCTCCCTGCTGAGGTTAAGGGGGAGGCTATCCCCGAGCCTGAGGCCGAGTCGAAGGCTATGGAGGAGAAGGCAGTTGAGGTTGCTCCTGTCGCCGCTGTCGAAGTCGCCCCTGTCGAGATCAAGAAGGAGGAGCCCGCCTCCGAGGCTGAGATTATCGAGGAGAAGGCTGTCAACGTTCCTGTCCCCGTCCTCGAGAGCGCTCCTGTCTCTGATGCTGCCGTCATTGAGACGGCGCCCGTCGAGCCCGCCCCTGCTGAGGTGAAGAAGGAGGAGTCCATCGCCGAGACCAAGACTGCGGAGTCCGTCTCTGAGAAGCCGACCGAGAGCGCCGCTCCTGCACCTGCCGTCAAAGCTGCCCCTCCGGTTGAGGTTACGAAGGAGGAGCCGATTGTGGAGAAGGCTGCCGAGATCCCCGCTGATGCCGTTCCGGTCGTCGCCGCTGCTGCAGTTGTGGCCGCCGCCACTGTTGCTGTCGCGGCCGCCCCGGCGGAGGTCAAGTCCGAGGAACCCACTCCTGTTCAGGAGGTCAAGCCTGTTGAGTCTATCCCGGCCGAGGTCAAGGAGGAGGTCGTTTCCGAGGCCAAGCCCATTGACGCTGCCACGGAGAGGACTGAGGTCGTTGCAGCCGCCGTCGAGGCCCCAGCTTCCGAGGTCGTCGCCCCGGCTGAGATCGCGGAGGAGGTGCCAGTCTCCGTTGCTGAGCCCGTGGCCGAGACTAAGCCTGAGGAGCCTCAGGTCATTGAGGAGAAGGCGATCGAGATCCCTGCCCCTGTCGCTCCTCAAGTCGAGAGTCAGCCGAAGGAGCTTGCTGCCGAGAAGCCCAAGACTGAGGCCGTTGCCCCAGTCCCCGAAGCCGTCGCCGTTATTGAGGCTGCCCCCGTCGAGGTCAAGTCGGACGAGCCCATCGCCGAAGCCAAGATCGCCGAGCAGGTTGCTGAGGAGGCCAAGATCGTCGCTTCCACTTCCGTGCAGGAGGAGGTGAAGATTGAGGAGCCCAAGACTGTTGAGGTACCCAAGGAGGAGAAGCCTATCGAGCCCGCCACCCCTGAGGCGGAAGTTGTCGCGGAGACTCCTGCCCCTGTCGCTAGCGTTGTCAACACTAAGGCTACTGAGGAGGTCAAGACCGCCGAAGCGGCCCCTGCCATCGAGGCTACGCCCGCCCCCGTCGAAGCTGTCAAGGAGGAGCCTAAGCCGGAGGTCGAGGCTCCCGTCATCGACGCTGCCCCCGCGTCTGAGACCGTCAAGGCTGAGGAGCCCGCCGCCCCTACTGCTCCTAAGGTCGAGGAGCCCGCGAAAACCGAGACTGTCGCCCCCCCTCCAATTGCTGAGGCTGCCCCTGTCACCGAGGCTGCCTCTGTCGTCACTGAGGCTCCGCTGGCGGAGGAGAAGGCTGCTCCTACCGAGACAGCGGCTGCGTCCGTTGAGGAGAAGGTTATCGAGGCCAAGATCGAGGAGCCCGTTGGCAGCGCTCCTGAGTCCGAGCAGACCCCTGAGAAGGTCGCCGAAGTTGCTCCCGTCCAGACCGAGAAGCCGATTGAGGTTGCTCCGGAGCCGACCAAGATCGAGGAAGAGGTCACTGAGGCTCCCGCCCCCATTGCTGCTGAGACCTCCAAGACCGAGGCGGCCGCTGAAGCTACTACCGCCGAAGCTGCCCCTGAGGCCACACCCGCCGCCGAGCCGACCGTCGCTGAGCCTATTCCCGAGCCGATCGCCCTGAAGATCGAGGAGAAGGTTGTCGAGCCCGAAGCCCCGAAGGCTGATGTCGCTGTCGAGGCTCCTCAGGAGGTCGCGGTCGAGGCTCCTCAGGAGGTCGCGGTTGAGGCGCCCAAGGAGGTCGCAGTTAAGGCTCCCAAGGAGGCCGTAGTTGAAGCGCCCAAGGAGGTCGTCGTCGAGGCTCCTCAGGAGGTCGCGGTCGAGGCTCCCGAGGAGGCCGCAGTTGAGGCGCCCAAGGAGGTCGCGGTTGAGGCTCCCAAGGAGGTTGTCGTCGAGGCGTCTGAGGAGGTCGCTGTGGCGGCTCCCAAGGAAGTCGTCGTCGAGCCTGAGCAGGTCGCCATCGAGGCCCCCAAGGAGGCTGAGATCGTCATCGAGGCTCCCAAGAAGGTCGCTATCGAGGCTCCTAAGGAGGTTGCTGTCGAGACTGCTAAGGAGATTGAGATTGCCGTTGAAACTCCTAAGGAGGCTGAGGTTGCCGTCGAGACTACCAAGGTTGCCGAAGTTGCTGTTGAGGCGCCTAAGGAGGCTGCTGTTGAGGCTCCTAAGAACGTTGCCGCCCAGAGCCCCGACGTCGAGACCCAAGGCGTCGCTGAGATTGCGGTCGCGGAGAAGACAGTCGAGAGCAAGGCGGAGGAGAAGCCCGTTCAAGTTGCTTCCCCCGCTGCCGAGGCGGTCATCGAGAGACCCGCTGCTGAGACTGTCACTCCCGTAATCGAGGCCGTCCAGACGGAGGAGGCTGCCGCCGAGGTCAAGCCCGCCGAGGTCGCCACTCCTGAAGCTATCGCCACACCCGCGGAGGAGCCCAAGGTTAAGACGCCCGCTGAGCTCGCCGTCGAGCCCGTCCCTGAAGTCACTATCGCTCCTGAGCCCACTAAGGTCGAGCCCGCGCTTGAGCCCATTGTTCAGACCGAGCTGCCCAAGGTTGAGGCCGTGTCCGAGCCCGTTGAGGATGCGGTCGCCGCGAAGGTCGAGGTTGACGTAGTTGAGACTGCCCCGAAGACTGAAGAGCCTAAGGCTCTTGAGTCCGTCGCCGAACCAACCACTACGATCGAGGAGAGCACCGCCCCCGTCATCGATGAAGCTGTCGCTATTGAGCAGACTTCCGTCCTCGAGAAGTCCTCCGAGCCGATCGCCGAGGCTGAGCCCATCGGCATTGCTGCCGCTGTCGCTGCGTCCGCCGCTGTTGTCGCTGAGAAGGCTGCCGAGCCCGCCACGGAGACCGTTTCCGAGCCCGTCAAGGCTGAGGAGCCCAAGAGCGAAGTTGTCGCCGAGCCCGTCGCCGCCGCCCCCGAGCCGAAGAAGGAGGCCGCTCCTGAGCTCGTCGCCGCCCCGATCACTGAGGAGAAGGCTGCTCCTGTTACTGAGACCCCCAAGGTGGTCGAGCAGCCCGAGACGGACATTGCCACCGTTCAAGAGACTTCCAAGGCTGAGGAGCCGAAGGTCGAGAAGATCGCTGAAGAGGTTGCTCAGCCGATCGTCGAGGAGGTTAAGACCGAGGCTACTCCGATCGAGTCCGCCCCTGCCCCCGCGGAGGTTACCGATCCGATCGCCGAGAAGCCCGCCACCGAGACTCTCCCCGCCAAGGCTGCCCCTGCCGAGCCCGTCGTCACCGAGGCCGTTGTCGCCGCCGAGAAGGTCGCCGAGCCCGAGCAGCCCAAAGTCGCCGCGGCCGAGCCCGAGGTCGTTGCTGAGGAGCCTGTTGTCGCGGCTGTAGAGACCCAGGCTATCGCCGAGGAGGCCAAGCCGATTGAGGAGGCCAAGCCGACTGTCAGTGAGGAGGCCAAGCCTGCCAACACCGAGGAGCCGAAACCGGCCACTGCTGAGACGGTCGAGGCTGCGGAGGCGAAGCCTGCCGTCGTTGAGGAGGTGAAGGTTGAGGAGGCTAAGATTGAGGAGGCGAAGGTTGAGGTCCCCATTGTGGAGGCTCAGCCTGTTCTCGCTGAGAAGCCAGAGGAGGAGGTCGCTGAGGCGCAGCCGATCGAGGAGGTCAAGGCCATCAAGGAGGAACCTATCGTCGCCGAGGCCGCCCCGATCGCCCAGGAGGCCATTGTCTCCGAGAAGAAGGCAGACGTGGTTCCCGCCGTGGGGGCTATCGTTGTCGAGGCCCCTGTCATCGTTGCTGCCGCTGCCGAGCCGATGCCTGCAGAGGTTAAGCCCGAGGAGACCACTACCGAGGAGCCGGTCGCTGCCAAGCACGACGAAGTTGTGGTTGCGGAGGTTAAGGAGGTGAAGGAAGTCGTCGAGGAGAAGGAGGTCGTTGAGGTGAAGGAGGAGGTCGTTGAGACGAAGGAGGTCGTCGAGGTAACGCAAGAGGCCGTCGAGGAGAAGAAGGAGCCCGAGAACCAGGTTCAAGTCGAGGAGAAGAAGGTCGAGGTTGAGACCGTTGTTGAGGCTGCCCCTGCCGCCGAGTCCGTTGAGCGCGCCGCTCCTGCCGAGACTACTGTCTCGGCGGTTGAAGAGGCCGCTCCCGCCATCCCCATTGAGGAGACCGCCCTCGCTCCCGCCCCGGTCGAGGCTGAGAAGGCCGAGCCCGTCCCCGAAATCAAGAGGGAGGAGCTGGTCACTGTTGAGGCTACCCCCGCCCCCGCCGCGATTGAAGCCGAGAAGGTCGAGCCCGTTCCCGAAGTCAAGAAGGACGAGCCGGCCACTGTTGAGGCTACCTCCGCCCCCGCCCCCACCGAGGCCGAGAAGGCTGAACCCGTCCCCGAAGTTAAGAAGGACGAGCCTGCTGTTGTTGAGGTCGCCGCTGAGAAGAAGTCCGAGCCCGCTGTCGAGTCTATCGCTGAGAAGGTCGAGTCCGTCGAGGTTAAGAAGGACGAGCCCGCCCAGGCCGCTCCTACCGTTGTTGAAGTCGAGAAGGTTGAGCCCGTTGTTGAAGCTGCTCCCGCCCCGATCGCCGACGAGAAGCAGACTGAGTCCGCCCCTGAGGTCGCTCCCGCTGAGACCGCCGCCCAAATCGAGGAGAAGCCCGAGCCCGTCGCCGCTCCCGCTCCTACCGAGGAGATCAAGCCCGCTCCTGAGGCCACCGCGGTTGAGAAGGTCGACGAACCCGCCGCCGTCTCCGAGAAGCCCGTCGAAGCTGTCACCGAGCCGGTCGTTACTGAGAAGGCTGCTGAGGAGCCGGTGAAGACTGAAGAGGCTGTCGCCCCCGTCGAGACAGCCCCTACTCCTGTCCCCGAGCCCGAGAAGCCCGTCGAGGTTGTCGCTGAGCCGGTCCTCATTGAGAAAGCAGCTGAGGAGTCCGCGAAGACCGAGGAGGTTGTCGCTGCCGTTGAGACGGTCCCTGCTCCTGCCCCCGAGCCCGAGAAGACTGAAACCGCCCCCGTCCCCGAGAAGGCCGCTGAGGCTGTCGCTGAGCCGGCCGTTATCGAGAAGGCTGCTGAGGAGCCGGTGAAGGCTGAGAAGGTTGTCGCCCCCGTCGAGACGGCCCCTACTCCTGTCGCCGAGCCCGAGAAGACTCAAACCGCCCCCGTTCCCGAGAAGGCCGCCGAGGCTGTCGCTGAGCCGGCCGTTATTGAGGAGTCCGTGAAGACTGAGGCGGCCGTCGCCTCCGTTGCCGCCGTTGGCGCCGTTGAGGCCGTTTCCGCTCCTGCCGCTGAGCCCGAGAAGATCGAGTCCACCCCTGTCTCCGAGAAGCCTGTCGAGGCCATCGCTGAGCCTGTCGTCGCCGATAAGGCCGCTGAGGAGCCGGTGAAGACTGAGGAGGTTGTCGCCGCCGAGCCCGAGAAGGTTGAGTCCGTCCCCGCTGTCGAGTCCCGCGCCGAGTCGCCCGTCCAGGCCCCTACGCCTGCTGAGACCGCCACGCCCGCGTCCGAGGCTGTCGCCACTCCCGCCGCCCCCACGCCCGCCGCTGTCGAGACCAAGGAGCCTACGTTTCCCGAGTTTCCCGCCTTTCCGCCCGGGAGTCCTCAAGCGACGCGAATGGAGCTCTTTCAGTGCGTCCTCTGCACCGCCCGCGGGCTGGCCAAGGACCAGGCGACTCTGGACTCGCTTGCTCAGTGCTGCGAGGAGTTTACGCGCGCAAACCTTGCTTGAGCGTGCCAACCGAGATGCCGAGAGTAGTACCGAGTCATTCATTTTAGTATAAATCCACACGTTGAAACGTTAGTGAGTTAGAAAGTTAGTGTAGTAGACATTTTCTGTCCTTATTCCCCCCCTGTGAACCGCCTACAAGAGCGGTGTCGATAGTCATACCACCCCACGCCCGTTATAAAACCCATAAAAGTCGTATACAATGCAAGGTCGTCTCGTAGTGGTCCGAAATAGTTCGTGCGGTGCAGTCCATGCGGAAATAATACAACAGGTGGTCGTGTGCTCGTAAAGTGTGGGTGACTGCAGTTGGCAGCTCACGGGGAGTGCTCCTGCGCTTGCTGTTGCTGCTGCTGAGCCTGGGCCTGAGCCGTGACCTCGTTCAGCTCGTTATCCAGAAGACGTGACACGGCCATAAATCTGAGGTCAGCTCATCTCGCCTTTTCAGCCTAAACAGAATGGTTCAGAGGGAAGGAAGACGCACTGTGATCCGTTCGTGATGGCTAGCTGGCGCATGTACAGCAGCTGCTGGCTCATCATGCCGAAGAGCTCCTCCGTCTCGCCGAGGTTGGAGTTCAGATTCTTGATTCCCGACGCGAGGGCGGCGTAGTGCCGCGCCTTCGCCGAGTGGTGGTTTGACATGGTTCGGCGGAAGTGGCAGAAGAGGTGGTTGCAGGTGCAGACAGCTTGAGGGAACGGTTGTTGACATGTTTGGAATGTGAGGGGAGCGAACAAGGATCTTTGTCAGGCACTATCAGGCACACCGCAGATAACGAACGGTGCGTAGTTCAACCGTTGCGATTCCTTCGTCTTCGATACTCGCGGCGAAGCGAGGAGCTTGTCACACAAGTAGTGCGAGATTCTCCTTGGACTTGAGCACATAGGCTTCAATCTGGGAGATGGAGGAAGCTGCAAGCATTAGGTTGCCCTTGCGCCTAGCCTTATGTCGATCAACCGTCATTGTCTAACGACCGCTGACTCGCAGCCGGATCTGGACGATCGCCAGTGTATGATTCTGCGACTGCACCACTCTCTGCACTCTTCGAAGCCTGTGGGGTTTGCTTCCAGCTTGCATCCATAAGGCGTTCCAAGCTACCCTCATCCGACTTGCAATATTCGGGGTGACCACGTGTCCGCAGCAACTGCTCTTGCCTGAGTAGAACATCGTGAACTCTGTTACGAGCATCTGTGCATGTGAAGTGTTCATCGTTCTCAGCGCAAATGCTTGTGAATGAGCGCCTGATCTAGAAAAGCGGTTGGAATCATACGCGCGGAACATAGATACGCAGGCAGCACAGATCGACCAGGAAGGCGGGGCTTGGGGGCTCCGGAGCAGAACGGAACCCTGGGGCTTGTCCTGTGAGGGTCCGTCAACAACATTCGTTCCGCTGTCACCAAAGAGGCGTGTTTTGTCACCGTGTCACTGCCTGCATATCAGGTCCTGTCGCCTCGATCAACATTTCTGCTGGAGCGATGTTGTACGACTGTCAATCATCGTATTTTCTCAGCTGATGACAGCGGTGACGTGATAATCTGCCCGACTTCGGCGGTTCGCATGGCTTAGCGAATGCATAGGCTGGGCCATCGAGTGAGACTAAAGAATACAAAGTGTTGTGATGCACATCGGATACGAGAGCATGAGTTGCATGCATCATGTCGGAAGATCGCTACGGTGTGTAACAGCGCTGGTCACGTGCATTGAAATTGGGAGGAGGGGATTGGCCGTAGAGACGCCCAGCACCAGGCGGGCTGGCAAATGAAAACGCGGGGCTGACCTACGTGCCACATAGACGGAGAAACCGGAGCGTCCCCCAGGCGGGTGTCCTCGGAGGCTCACTCACAGTGGACGCCTGCAAGCAAGCAAGAGTTCAAGGTCCATCTCGACCAGACCACTCCACCCCACTCATACCCACCACCATGCTCTCCTCGGCCTTCCCCCGGATCGCTACCAGGGCCTCGCGGGCGCAGTTCGGCAAGGTACGCATCAACAACGACGAGCGAGCGCGAAACACGGATCATGCAACGAGCAACGGAAAGAGCAACGGCACATCGAAATCCGTCGGGCCTCATTGGCTCAGGAGCAACTCCGATGGCTTGAGTCGAGAGAGCCCGTGCAACACCGCCGCGGCGGACTAGTGACGTTGCGGCGAGGGCGATGTGCGCAGGGAGAATGTGTGCCGACGTTGTTATCGTGCTCGCTTGTGTCTGTGTAGCCGGAATCAGTCGTGGTCGGGAACTCGGCTAGATGGAGGAATCGCAACTGGACATGGAACGTTAGCTGACCCGCAACAGGCTCGCTTCGCCTCGTCGATGCCCCAGCCTCAGGCTCCCTTCTGGGCCTCGAAGACTGCCCTCGCCGGTGCGACCGCCGTCACTGTTGGTACCACCGCCTGGTACATGCACCTCTACGGCAACCCCTTCCTGACCGAGGCTTCCGCCAACACCGCCGCCGAGGTCGGTCTTCACCCCGCCGAGTACCCCTGGCCTAACAAGGGATGGCTCGACACCTTCGACCACGCTTCGATCCGTCGTGGTTACCAGGGTGAGCATGAGCGATTAGAGGTGAAGGGAAGGATTCGGAACTGACTTTTGCCAGTCTACCGTGAGGTCTGTGCCGCCTGTCACTCGCTTGACCGCATTGCCTGGCGTAACCTTGTCGGCACCTCCTACACTGCCGACGAGGCCAAGGCCATGGCCGCCGAGTTCGAGTACAAGGACGGACCCAACGACGAGGGAGAGTACTTCGACCGCCCGTGAGTGTTCCCATGATGAAACCGACACCAACCAATCGGAACCGTAGCTAACGTCCTCCAGGGGAAAGCTTGCCGACTACATGCCCGCTCCCTACCCCAACGAGGAGGCCGCCCGTGCCGCCAACAACGGTGGTCTTCCCCCTGACCTTTCGCTGATCGTCAAGGCCCGCCACGGTGGTGCTGTGAGTATCAGGCACGGCTTGGGGGCGCAACGATGTGGCACTTTTGCTGATCGTCACAGGACTACATCTACTCCCTCCTCACCGGTTACGTCGAGCCTCCCGCTGGTGTCACCGTCGCCGAGGGCATGAACTACAACCCCTACTTCCCCGGAGGCATGATCGCCATGGCCCGTACCCTCTTCGACGGTCTTGTCGAGTACGACGACGGCACCCCCGCCACCACTTCGCAGATGGCCAAGGACGTCACTCAGTTCCTCAACTGGGCCGCCGAGCCCGAGCACGATGAGCGTAAGAAGATGGGTCTCCAGGCAGTTATTCTGCTCGGATCGTTAACCCTCCTCTCGGTCGTAGTCAAAAGGTCAAAGTGGGCCAGTCTCAAGTCTCGTAAGATCTTCTACAACCCGCCTAAGAAGTAGTAGAAAAGACACAGAAATGTGTCGAGATGCGGATGCATTTTCGAATTATAAGAGCATTTTGAATGATTATATTCGACCCTGAAGTCTATTAGGTTTTTCCTAATCCCGTCACAGGCACAGTGATAGGCGGCGCGCCGATCGACCGGCATACCTGCACTGAGACCTGCTCCGAAACCTCGCGTTATTGCTCGATTACCGAGCCCGACTGGCCGATTGGCCAAGTTGATCCACCGTCAGCTCGGTTCAGTTCAGGTCTCCCACGCTCACCCGTCCAAAGCGATGGTTGGCAATCACAACCGCTCGAGGAGCGGACCACACAGCATCAAGAGTTCCGGACGTGGGCCGTGCCACAATCAGAGGTGTACGCGATGAGGGATAGGGTTCGGGTGGCGCGGGACGGTCTCATTCGACGCCGCCGAGACAGGGCCATCACGGTCGATGAGGACGCGATCAAGCGCGCCCGGTATGACGGGACCGCCCTGGACGTGGAATGCTCTCGCTCGGTGCTGGACCAGATGCGCGAGTCGTTACCTTTTGTGCTCGACTCGCACGGGCAGCAGACCCTGCGGGGCGAGATTGACCAGTTGTGGCCGCCGATGGACCTTAGTGAAGAGGCCGAGATGATCACCATGGCTGATCTGCCTCTCGAGGAGAACGAGCTGGACATCCCGTACCCTTCCCGACCTCTCGAAGACTTGCTTGACGACAGGGGCAGGATTCCGAGACGACCGACCAACGTCGACCCGTTTCGCGAATTGCACTTCTGCAACCCGCACCCAGGCATCCCATCATGAGAGCTTCCGGTTTATGGCGAAGGAGAAGGGACCGGGCGGGGACGCGACCGGCCTGACGATGCGGAGAACCACGGCAGAGGTGGCAAGTACAAGTCGCCAGATGACTCGATACCAGCGGATTCTTCAACCGAGGTCCACGTATGGGAGGATGGCGTCGGCGCTCATGTCCATCATGCAGCGGAGACAGCAACGGCACGAGCCGTTTACCTCCGCGCCCAGGCAAAGCTGCTTCAAGGTCAAGACGACCGGAACCGTCTGCTCGCGTTCGCTAGCACTCATGGCTGGTGCGCCTTGTGCCCTCTGCATGATGTCGGCCATGTCATGTGGGAGCGCACCGAAAACAGCACCAGCATGAAGTTGGGCGCCAAAGCCGTCGGCGTCGGGCAGGGCATCACCCTCGCCACTCACATTCGAACCCGCCACCCGGACGACTGGGAGCGAATCCAGCGCAGCGAGCCACCGATCATCCGACGTGCGACCAGTACCCCCAACTTCACGCCGTAAAACAAGAGGCTTATGGGGGAAGCGCTCGGCCGCGCTCGCCAGATCGCACTCTCGCACGAACCCGTCGTTCGCGGTAGCTTTAGCCGGGAAGCGCTCGACGCTCACCTGACAAATCAACGGACGTTCGATGACTGGTTCATCAGCCGCGGCGCGTCGTATTAGAGTCAGATTGCCCCTGCGTACGCGGTGACCGTGAGCGTCGTTCAGCCAAGCCAATGACGCACCCTTATCAGATACGCCGCACCTTCATCAGATACGCCCCTGGGTGATTTGTGTGAGTGAGTTCTCAGGGACGAAGTGACTGAGAACTCTCCGAGTGCTCAACATCAACGCCGTGGTAGCCCGCTTCCGAGCGGGGCAGGAAGAGCAACAGGAAACGGCGGAAAGGCGGCACTGTGTATAAGGCGCATGAGCGCAGGGGATCGGCGGCAAGATGTGGAGAAGGCTATGGAGCCGGTGGCCGCTGTCCGCTGAAGCCGCTGAAGGTAGAAGACGAAACAATGGCTGTGAGGTGAGCGCCACGGAACACACTCTTTCAGTACACATGACCCTCACTGTCGAACTGTCGCCATGGCATGCCGGCAGTGCCTGAGACCCTCGCTCCTGGGCAACGGTCCATACCGAGAATCGCCTGCTTTCGATGAAGGCGTGTGCTTTGCTCATTCCTCGTTGGCTTCCAGAGTCAAAGCCGTACCTCTAGTTGACGACCCAAGCAATTGCCCCACATGGCCGGGCCCTACTGCCACTGCTACAGCCAGACCCATACATGTACACACAGGTACTGCATACACGCCAATACAAACATACAGTTACAGCCTCCGGGACACGTTTCTCTTCGCCTGGCCCGGCTGGCTCGACTGGCTCTGGCTAGGCTCCAGTCTGCGCTTCTCACCGAGTACGGGTGCGAGCTTCTTCACGCCCTGCGAGTTCACCTCGGCCCTTCTCTTCGCCTTGAAGGGGTTGAATCCCCCCTGCGACGCCTGGGACGCCTGTGACGAGGCCGGGGCCTTCGCGAATGGGTTGCTGGCCCGTTTCGACTGCGAGGAGGACGGCGGTGCGGGCGACGAGCTCGTTGGCGGTTTGAAGAACGGGTGCGTCTTCGGTGCCCGTGGTGTTGGTGCTGGTGACGAAAGCAGCGGTTGAGAACTGGCGACCGGCGGCTGGGAGCTTGGCTGTTCAGAGCTCGCCTCCTCGTCGAGCACGATGCCCGCGCTCGCGAGCAGGTCGTACACTGCCTCTCCGGCGTCCGCGCGCTTCTTAATGCCGACCTCTTGCGAGGCGGGCACTGCTTCTTTCTGCGCCGGGATCCAGCGCAAGTCCCGCCAGTCCTCGGGCAGCATGCGCACGAGCATCAGCTGCTTGTTGCCCTGCATGCTCTTCTCCGCCTGCGCCTGGCTGAGCGCCTTGGAGCGGCGCGCCTTCCTCTCCGCCGCATCAGCCGCAGCGACAGCAGCGAACCGCCGGCTGCGCTCGTCCGCCGACGCCGCCTCCATCTCCAGCTCGCGTTGCGTTTCGACCTGGGCCTCGGATTCCGGCACGACAGAGCCAATCCGGCCCGTGTGCCGCCAGCTGCTCCCGCCCATCGTCGCCGCCGTCATCCGCCCGCTGCCCGCGACACGGCCCTCCATCCACCGCTTCTTCGCCGCCTTGTCCTCCCTGCGTGCCTTCACGGCGGCGTCGTATGCCTTCTCCTGCCGCGACTTCGGGATTGGCAGCCCGTTGTCCGCGCAGTACTGCGCGTACTCGTCCTCGGCCTGCAGCTCGAGCGCGGTCTTGACGCGCCGTCGGAAGTCTTGTGCCTCGTCGTGGATCTTCGACACACCTGTGCCCCACAGCTGCCCGTGCGCGGCGTTGAAGGCCTTGTCCCCGTTGTAGGCTGCGCGCGCTTGCTGCACCCTGTGTCGCCGGGGGAGGTGTGTCCATGCGTCTTCCAGGTCATGTAGGGCCGGCTCAATGTGCAGCGAGAGGTACGTCCGCTCGCCCTCCGGCACCTCCGTAGGTAACGCAACATCCGGAGCAAGCAATGTCATGCACAGCTTCTCGAGCACGCCGTCCAGCTCGTCGATGGCGAACAGCCCCCTAAGCCCGGGAGTGACGGGGAGGAAGTCGGCCCCGCCGTCCCAGGCCTTGTTGGCGCGGTTGAAGCTCCCAATGGCCGCGGGGGAGCACCCCGTGCCGCGGAGATCGAGCAGCGCCAGCCCTCCAAAGCGGATCAGAGCGCGCATGCTCCGGTCCGTCACACGCACGCAGTCCGTCATGAACCACGCTCTCAGCCCCCACGCCCCTCTTCGCTCGGGCACACTGGTCGCGGCGGCGAGGAGGCGCACGCCGTCGTCTGCAAACTTGCCCGCCGGCGTGTCCAGCACAGTCAATGCGGGAAGGTGTTTCAGTGCCTGCAGCCCTGCGTCGTCGAGATCCTTGAGCCTCAGCGTCGTCAGGAACCTCGCGTCTGGCCGCATAGCCGTGAATAGCTTCGGCAGCGCGACGAGCGGGTGCTGTTTCTCGTCCACCCGGTCGAAACCACCCAGCTGCTGCAGCAACGTCGCCTGTGGCAGCTGCAATGTCCACGTCGGCATCTGCCGCGCCTTGACTGGGTCCGCGAGCGCCGAGAACGCCCACAGCGTCGCGGCATCGGGGCGCGGATCGCGGTTATCCCGGAGGTCGTACCCGCGATCGCTCGCAAGGCGGGTGAAGAGCTTGGGCACGAGGTGTGCGGGGAGCACGGCCATGTCGGCTGCCGAGAGGAGGTGGAAGGAATGCGACAGCGAGGCGAGACACAGCGACACGAGCGAGGACATGCCGACGGGCTCCTCGGCACCAGGGTTGACTTGCGCGAGCGGCAGCGTCTTCAGGATCCATTGCGGGCGGGTATGGCCCGAGCTGTGGTCAGTGGCACAGATACGGGGTACTCACGCAATCACCTGGTCTGTCACCTCGCCGCCGAGGCCGGTAGCCAGGGTGTCCATGTCGGCGTCGTTGTTGTTATGACTGCTTCGACGCGTCTGACTTTCGCGACTGGCAGGAATCGACATGACGCCGTGCCTGGGCCACGTGGGAAGTGGAGGCTCGCGAGGGCGAACACGACGTTTGCGAAGCCGCATCTGTGAGACGGCCGTTTTACTGCATTCTCTCCCAGATCCCAGAGTCTCCGCCCATATCCGTATCGGCAGAGCGCGGGATTACCATTAGAAGGGCGCAGACGACTTAACCTACTCCGCTGCTACATGGCGGCTGGTCCACTGGTCACTAACAGCCGATTTTGCAGACACCACCATCAACAACCCTCACGCCGCTTCCCCCTATCGATCATCAAGCTACAGCTCGCTGCCCACACGAGGCTCACACGGTACAAGCCCACTGATATACATGACATACCCTGATCCCTGAATGATACAACAATGCTTCTCTTACAACGCAGGATTCACAAGAACTACTTCTCGCTCGCCTTCTTCCTCCCGACTCCCTTGCCCTTCGCCACAGTTGTGGGCTTCGCCTTCTCCTTGCCCTTGCTGCTTTTCTGCGCCGTGTGCTTGCCGAGATCTTCATCGTCGACGTCCATCTTCTCACCGCCGCTCTTCTCCTGCATCATGGCCAGCTGCTCCTGGCGGAGAGGCTCCAGGAGGCGCTCGACAGCATAGAACTGGGTGGACAGACGCTGAGGTGAGCGAAACCCGTCTTCTCATACTTACTGTCCAGATGTCGTTGGGGGCTCTCAGACCAGCTTTCTTGTATCTGCGGATGAGGGCAACCGTTTTCATCAGCTCCTGGATGTTAGCAGGGCAAGTGACTAAATGGAGCGCACCTCCTCAGCCTGTATGTCAGCTACACTGGACCTCGACCCCTCTTCGAACACAACTTACTTCTTCGACCTCAGGTGAAGTGAGGTAGAGCTTGCCGTCCGCTTTCTCGTTCTCGTTCTCGATAGATCTCGCGTTCGCGTTCGCGCTCGTGCCGGGGACAGCAGCCTCGGTCTCGGTCTCGATGGGGGCAGCCACCACCTCAGCCTCCGCCAGGCGAGGACGCTTGGCGGCCGGCTCGGGCGAGGGCGAGAGGGAGGCGGAGAAAAAGAGCGGCTCGCGGTGGTGGGACATGTTGACTGTCTAACATCAGCACAGTCTGAGCGAGGAATGGATGAGGTGAGCTACTCACAGGTGATCAGTCGCGGTGGGAGGTTGAGATGATGCTGTCTTGAGATGAGTGTACTGTTAAAAACGAAGACATCCATCCACCAGCGGCCACCGAGGGGCCATCGCAGGCCTGCCCTCTGCCTGCTGCCTAAGCGCCTGCAGCAGTTTTGCTTTGGGTCAAGCCGCGCGACGACCTTCCCTCGGCCAGACCAAGGTCGGCCAGATCGGTCAGTGTGGTCACAAACATCAGGCCTTAGGCCTGGCACCGCGGTGCTCAGGGTAGGGCGTCCGCAGTGCCGCTGATCAGTTCGTGTCCAATGCGCAAGTGAGCAACAACGACGCTTCGTCAACTCGGCGAGTTCAGCGCCATCGAGCTTTTTGGAAGCAGTTGTACGCGTTGCATCTGCTGCCCCTCATCTCGAAGATCTTAGGTTGTTGCGCCAAGCTTTCTGAGGGCGCCTTGCGCAACTCAGAGATGGACGACGGCAGCAGATTTCGGACCTGGACCCGTATCAGTTATCTTGAGACTAAGAACTTGCCGATGTCGCGGGGCCCCTCACAAAGTATGTCGCAATTGTTCCTTGTACCGCGAGTACCGTAGTGCTGCAACTAGCGACACATCGCGACCTACACGTTGTGCGCGTGCGCTGTTCATTTCGTGCAGCAATGGGCTTCATGTCCCTTGGAATCGAAGGGGAAAGCTGCGCCCCCGGGTTGGAGACGCTGCCACGCCGATCTTATGTCTCGGTGCTTGCTTTCACCGCGCTCGCTGATCAAAATCGAGATGGTGGTCTCAGAGGGCGAATGGTTGGAGAGACTTGGAGTGGTCAGCGACATTCGAGTCTGCGGTGGAAGTACTCAGTCTCGCTCGTCGTCATCGCAACTCGCAGGCATCGTACTTCACCAACGTTTCCACTCTCCCAGCTTTCCGGCTCCCCCGCGCCGCGCATCTGCTCGCCGCCGTCTCACACCCGAGGTCTCGTTCGACTTCGCCGCACGTTCTCATCTTCTCCAACTCTACGCACCTCCCCCACAGGATGTCTGATCATGGCGACGTCGCAGCATGCGCTCGATATGGCGCCGATACGCCAGTCCTCAAGTATGGGTTAAGGAGAGCCACTCCCCTTTCTGAAATAACCGTCGGAGACGAGGTCGTCGGTCCGGACGGCAGCCCGAGAACAGTGACAGCGGTGCGAAAGGGACGGGGGCGTCTAGTTAAGATGAGGCTTAAGAACCGAGGAGGCACCGACACCTCGAGTCTCCGCCCTCTTCACGTGGGAGAGATGACCCCCTTATCCGTCTTACGACCCCGAGCCATCCAAGGCGTTTCGCAAGCCTTGCAAGGTGTCTCACTCGAGGGCGCTCGCGCAAGCTTGGCCGCTGCCCTCGGCACCCAAATCGACCCACCCGTCACTACCGAGGGTGAAGAGAACCCGACCGTCGAGTATGATGGGAGCGCCTCCTTTCAGGTCGTTATGGGAAAGCTCTTGCAGTACTACTTCTCGGTCCCGAGATCGTCCTCGGCAGTCACTACCTTGGTCAACAAGATCTTCGGCACCTCAGGTCTCCAACCTCGGGCGGGAGCCTTCTACGTCGAGAAGAGGGTGAAGGGAAAGATGGTGGAGAAGAAGTTCGTTTACGGCAACGAGAAGTACTGCGCGTCCGAAGGCGTAGACCCCCAGTACTTCACCTCTAAGGAAGAAGCGCTGCAGGCGGCGGTGGTGGAGGCGAGGAAATCAAGGAAGGTCGGGGTTTCCATCTTTACCCTGGAGCAAAGGCTCGAGGAGCTCGTGGCGAGAGGCTACAATCTGCAGGCCGAAATTCAAGTTGATTCCTCGCTGCCTGGCATCCGCTTGAGGAAGAGAGGTAACGGCCTCCCCAGCCTGCGCGTTGTCGTTCAGCCATCATCCGATAGATCGCGAGGCAAGAAGAAAGGTTTCACGAAAGCGTTCTCTTTTCGGGGCCCGCCGACTCTAGACCTCCCGCCCGATGCCGCGCCGATGCCATACGACTTGCCTGTTACTGCGGACGAGCAAGTCTTCACCACCGGACACACGCTGATGGTTCGCGACCATCTCGCCATGACCGAGGACGAGGCCCCCAAGTGGCGACTCCATCGGTCTCAGTCTGTCGACTATCCGGAGCAGCCGGTTCCCGTGGACCCCATGTTCCTCGGCCTCTGGCTGGGGGACGGGTCCAGGTACGATACCCGCGTGTTCAACAGCCGCGAGGACCCCATCATGAAGTTCCTTGCCCGCAACGCTGCCAGATTGGAGATGTACCTCTCATGGCAACACGGCATCGCGTTCGCGACCATCATGCGTCCTGGTGGCGCCCTCCCGCCCGCCTCAGACAGCATGGACATCCCCCTTCCGCCGAAACGCGAGACCTACGTATCGATCTACAAGCGGCGTGTGGCCAGTGGGTGGACTAGGACGCAATCGAAGGATGACGCGGGACGATGGATTTGGCTTTTGCCGGACGGCTCCGAGTGGTGCGGGACGAGAACAGATGAGCTCGAGGACGGCCTCCTCGACTACGGCCCCGCACCCGCGATGAACGAAGAGGAGATGCTGGCGCAGGAGCAGGCCTTCTATGAACGCGTTGTCACCGTTGTCGACGTCGACGCTGACTCTATCGATGCTGCGCCGGCAGCACGAGGAGAGATTGATGGCGAGCACTCCGAGGACGAGGGTTCCGAGGTCGAGAGCCGAAAGGACAAGAACTACGAGGCTGCCGACGAAACGACCTCCGTTCCAGGCGAAGACGGTCTGGCCGACTCGTTAAGGCGGCTTCACCTCGACGAGACCGCCTTCGGTGATCTGCACCCCCAGGAGGCCGAAACACTGACGGACGCCATCATCACAGCTGAGGGCGAGGTCGAGGCGGCCAGCCAGGAGGAGACAGAAGGCTTTCGTGAGCGACGCCCAAGCCGGAACCGTCTTCTGCGCATAATGCAGAACCTCGGCATCATCACCCCTCCCGACCGCAAGGGACCGCAGAATGACACCAAACGAATCCCCGCCGTTTACCTCTTTAATAGCCGCGACGTTCGTCTGCGTCTCGCGGCTGGTCTGCTCGACTCGGATGGGACATATAACCCCATTACTAATTCATATTCCCTCGTGCAGGCCGATGCCTGGCACGGCAAGCTGTTCGCGGACATTCACTTGCTGTTCCGATCACTCGGCTTCGTCACAAACGTGCAGTCCTACGTTTTCGAAGATCGCAAGTATTCCTGCCTGTATATTGGCGGTGAGAACCTGCACGATATCCCGTGCTTGTTGGCGCGCAAGCGCGCGCCAGTCAACGCCCGGATCAAGAAAGGGATGAGGGGCTTTAGATTCGAGGGGACGCCTGACGTCCAAGAGTCTGACTGGATAGAACTTGAGATCACGGGCGACTCGAAGTTTGTGCGGGACGACCTGCTCGTCCTCTGTGCCGGTTCAGGGCCGGTAAGTCCTTTTCTTGTATTGCGCTCATCTCCCAGCAAAGCCAGTGAACGACGTAAGAGAGTCGCGACGCTACGTTGCGCCACGACAGTCGGCGGAGATCGCACATCAAGAATTTACGATGACTCTTGCGGTCGGTATCGAGATATGATTCAGTACTGATTCCCAGAACGAGTTTGCCCGCGTAGAGGTCGAATCTGACGAGGAGAAGGCGGAGCGCGTCGCTGAACTAAGGCGAGCGCGCTGGGACACAAAACCTGACCAGGACGAGGACACGGCCCTCGAGTGTTTGTTCGACACCCTGAGGGTGAGTCAACAAGCCGCCCACCGAAAAACAATCCGTTCACCAAGCTAACTTCAGTTTGAACCAGAGGACAATAATGACGCCGAGTGTACGAAGGAGAGCGCGGCGAGCGAGCTCAGCGACCTGAGCGATCTCAGCGACGAGTAACCGTACACCACTCTCAGCTTCCAGCGATCTGCGTCATTTACGTCGTGACGCGGTCTACACACTAAACATCCCTTACGACCTCTCCTTCATGTAGATCCACCGCCTCGTCGTTAGCAAGTAGCACTCCATCGCGCTCGTCGCCGACAAACGCCCCCGGACGACTCGAAACTCAGACATCTTCGTTCTCGTTCCTCACAATTGAGCTGTACATCACTTGACGATCATCATCTGTTCATACGTTTGCGGCCAGCTCGACCTTCCTACACACAAAATCCCTGTCCATGGTACGCTGGGCGCATGCCCTCCCACGCACCCCCTCCCACGCAACTGACGCACGTTTGGTCAATCGCCATTGTCTGCATGAACTCGCACCAATGATGTGAAGCCCCTCTCTATCATCCTTCTGCTCAGGGAAGGTCACACGACCTACCTAAGGGATAGGAGTGCACGCTCGGGTCGTCGATGACTTTGGTATTGAAGACGCGCACTATCTGTACAGTATCGTATATAGGATATGCAAATCCGATCTGTGATAGGTTACCTTCGAGCGGATGGTATACGATCTTGAGCTCGCTTCTCAGCAGAAGGGGCACCAACGAAGCGACCGTGTCAGTGGCCTACCCCCTCAACGTGCAACCAACCTACAGCCAAATGGCAGATGCAGATGGAGACGTCAGATGAAAGAAGCACTGCCCTCATGGCGTCACTGATACATGCAAATCCCGAGTCTAACCAGTGCGGTCTACAATCCAATCGTCTATCTCTATCCCCTCTCCCCTCGATCCTACTTGTTGATCAACGTCGCCCTCGCGTCGCTCTCGCGATACAGTTTCTTGTCGTGGATATACTGAATCACGCTATTCGGCAGCAAGTATTTAATGCTCATGCCGCGGCGCACAAACAGCCTGACCTTGGAACTACTAATGTCATTGTAGATGAGCTGTTTCACAACAATGACGTTGCGGCGATGGTGATAGAGGATGTCGTGCGAGAGGAGGAAGCTCCACACGTCGCTCCCCGTGCGCTCGACAATGAGGCAGCCGTACCCGCCGAGAATGTGGTGGAGGTCGGGCTCGGCCCAGACGCCCGGCTCGCCAAAGGACTCGATCAGGTCGCCGCCGGCGAGGAGCATGATCTTGTATTTCCGCCGCGTGCCGTCGGCCATTTCGACGCCGCCCTCGCCATTGGGCCCGTTCAGCATCTCGTCAAAGTGGTCCAGCACCACCGCTGTGCGCTGGTACTCCCCCTGTCCTGCCTCCCAGGGGTCGACCATGAGCCAGGTGCTCGTGTGCTCGACCGCGAGCTCGCACATGCGCACGCGGTCCAGCGCCGGCGCGAGCCCGCTCTTCTTGTAGTAGGAAGACACGGGTGAGTAGTACCCCGCCATGATCTCGTACGTCTGGCTCTCGACAATTTCGTCCTTGGCCATCTCGAACATGCGCAAGTGCAGGTACGTCGGGGGCGAGAACGAGCCGCACGCGACAATGACGAGCGGGATCTTGCCCTCGTCTTTCATTGTCCGCCGCAGGCGGTGGCGCGGGAACGAGTAGTCGCTCTCGCCGCGGAGGTACGCTGCGCTCTCGACGGGCGCGCGGGGTGCGCGGTGGTCCGCGTCCGCCTCGCCGTCGTGCAGCCCGGCGAGATCAAAGCCCGACGCACGCTCACTCCTCCGTCTTCCCTGTGTCGGCACGGCGCCGCGGGGAACACCCGGCGTGATGAGGTCGTCCTCGAGCTCGGAATTCACCGTGAGCGGCGGAGAGTCGCTGTCGCGGGATACGGCGTCGTCGTCGAGTCCCCCGGCTACGCGTGCATTGTTCGGCGAGTCTGGCGGGTTGCCCAGCCGGTACCCGGTCACGAGGCGGCGGGACCGGCGCGACGAGAGCTCGGCGTCGTCGTCGAGGGCAGAGGTCTGGAGGTACGCGGCCTCCTCGAGCGAGAGGGCCGGAGGGTGCGGGTGCTCGGCATTGGCGGTGCCGGCGAATGGTGGTCTGGGGTTAGCACGAAGCGAGCGCAGCGAGCGGAGTGTGAGTGGATAGCGAGCGTAGCGAGCGGAACAGATCAAGACAGGGAGCGGAGCGAGCTGGACGGTAGTTATTCCCACCTGAGCGCGGAGCAGCGGCCGAAACCAACGAGCGCACCGAATACACCGCCGAGCGCGTAGATGCTAGTGGGGCAACCTGATGGCGCAATCTGCGGCCAGGCCCGCCAGTGCGCAAGCCACAGTCCGCCCAACATCTAGCCCTAGCAGCGCTGCGGGTGATCCGGAAAGTTGACTCGCTGACTCGGCGACTCGTTAAAGGCTTCAACCGTTTCTCGGGCCTGAGCGCTGCGACCGCGGTACCCCATGCCAAAGGGCTCGTAGCACGGCGACAAGATAATCATACAGACGCGAGCGGACCGGGTGGTACCCCCGGTCTGTCGGCTCCACATTTGACCAGCCTCCACACATGAAATGGGACGCCCCGAGTCGAATTGGCACGAAGTTGATGGGATGGATCATAGAAGGGAGGGTTGGATGCCAGCTATCGCTGGCCAGAGAACAACAGACCGCGCTTGCGCGGGCTCTGTCGTCTGGCTTTTGGTGCGGCGACTCACGAGTCATTGTGGAACGAGTGCAGCCCCGTCGCGGGTAAGACGGGCGCTGGGCCCTTGGGCAGCGGCATTGTCGTGGTTGGGCGGGGTAGTCGTCGCGGCGGCAGTTGGGGCCGGGCTAGGCGGGGATGTCAAGACGCAAAGACGAGGGACAAAGCGGCAGAGAGTGGTGTAGTTGTAGAGATTAAAGAGTAGTGTGCTTGATCAAGTCAGCCGACAACGGATGGCAGACGACTAGAGGCAAGGCAAGTCTCGGTAAGCGACCCCGCGGACGCCCTGGTGCGTGCCCCAACTCCCATTCCAACCATCACAGGGCCGGCCGGCCCACCGAACTACTACTCTACATGTAACAAGCAAACCAACTAGCGGGACCAAAATTCGTCATTTTGAGTAGACTCTGGGCCTCTGGGCTCAGCGGTGCCTGGAAAGCCGGTTACCCGAGTCGCCCGCTGGCTTGCTGACCTGAGCAGACATAGCAAGCAGACAAGGACTCGCCCGACCCGACCCTCAGACTACGCTCAGCAGACACCCGGACTACCGCTCACCCGAAGAGTTACACAGTCAGATAGATGTTTATGGCCGTACCGGCGGCATCTTGAGTGGGGGAAGACGCTCCGGTGTCGGCCTGTGAGTCGTCGGGTGACTCGCACGACGCGTCGGGTCCTCGGCCCGTTCTCTTGCACAGATTGCACAGGTACATCTATTTCTTTGGGGCCAAGCCAGAAGTCCCATTCCTTGCGCATCCCTACCCCTCCAAAGCGTAAGCGAGACCTTTTGACCCCAGGCCCGCGGGCAGTTTCAGCAGGTCCTGAATTGACTGGCATTCAGTCAGGTGATCGCCCATTGCTCCAGCGCCATTGCCGCCGGTGCCGCCGGCTGAGGCTATGCCCCGCGCACGGCAAGAAGGGAGGGTCAGTGCACGTCTTCCTCTCCCCCGATGCGGGGTTTGACCACAAGCAAGAGGCAACACGATGCAAAACAGGTTCTAATCTACAGATGATTGGGGACAGATACTACGACACTACTCTAACACTCCGCCGGCACGCTCGCTACGCTCGCTTTCTAGTCAAAATCATTCAGACCCAGCACACGCGAGCGCAGCTGGCTCCTCGTCAGATCCTTGCACTTGAGCACCTTGGGAATGTCCAGCACCTCGACGTGGTTGTTCGGGAAGATGCCCTCCTTGCCGTCACACCGTCCCTTCCACCACTGCGCGTCGACGCCCTCGAGCAGCGTGATGATCTGTCCCTTGCGGAGCGGCAGGTCCTCCGACTCGGTGCTCGCATAGTCGAACAGAGCCACGGCACGGGGATACCCCGCCTCCGAGTCACGCTCGTGCGCGAGCGGGTTGATGTTGCCTCGCGGCGGCGCGCCATACATCGAGTTGCGGTTGTTGTAGGCGGACGAGCCAGCGTGGCCGAGCGGGTTGCCGAGGGATGCAGAACGCTCACGGGTCAGAGTATGGTGCTCCCCTCGCCATGTCGGCTCGGGGTACTCATCCAGAGGCGAGTCCCACTCCTTCGGGGCGCGGGTACGCTCCCACGGCGTCTGCAGGGTGGATGCACGCTTGCGACCGGTCAGCTTGCGCGTCAGAGCTGCCGCGATACCGGTGCCAGAGCGAGAGGGGGACATGCCTCCTCGCGACGGCGTGCGCGGCGGCGAAGGGCGGTTGATCGCATACGGGTCCTCGGCAATATCATCAAAGGGGCGCGCCTGCGAGCTGGAGCGAGAGCGCGGGGGCGTGCCAGTGTTGCGCCGAATCCCCATGCGGCCAAAGTTTTGAGTGAGGCCCTGCTCGTCCGCGTCCCAGCTGCCCAGCAGGTCCTTGCTGCCCGTGGACCAGGAAGCATTCGGCCCCTTGGGTCCAGCACCCGCAGCGTCCCAAGAGTCGGACGGCGGCGTGCTGCTTCGCGAGGTGCCGTTGGTCGCAAACGCATCGCTGAACGGAGACGGCGTCGCCTTCTTCTCGTACGGACGCTTCACGCTTGAGCTCCGAGACACCTCGGCGTTGTATGTCTCGCTGCTCGGGCCAGGGCGGCGGTCATAGTCACCCTTGCGCGTTCCGGGGAGATGGGGGAGGTTAGGGAGGTAGGCGCTGGAGCGGCGCTCCCACGGCCTCGACGGGGCGTTGCGCTGCTCGGGCGGCGTTGAGTTGCCCGAGCGCTCGGCGGGCTCGTGCGTGCTGCGCGAGGCGAACATGGGTGCGGCCGAGCCCTTGTCCTTGCCGCCGATCGAGAAGAGGGAGCTTGCACGCTTGCGGCTCGTGTTGCCGCCGGCACCGACGCCCTCCCCGAATGCGTAGCCCGCAGGTGGCGTCGAGTAGCCAGAGCGGTAGGGGTTCTCGTCCTGCTCTTCGGCGCCCTTGAAATCCGAGTCGTCATAGTCATAGCTGTTGCGGCGGCCGTCAAAGTTTTGAGCATAGCGCGAGTCGTCGATCCAGGTCTGGCCACCCGGCATGCCCGTGCAACGGTTCAGCTCGTCGATGAGGGTGTACGCCCAGTTTGGCGGGTCAAAGGAGCCAGTAAGGATCTGCTTGGCGGTCGGCTCGCCACCGTAAGCCGCCTTGTTCGCGTCCTTGCGCTCGCCGAGCACGGTGCCCTCGACGGACACACCACCGAACAGGCCCTTGGTCTTCGAGTACGAGTACATGGCGGCGAGGTTGCCCTTGGTGTTGACAGAGCCGGAGCCTTCAGCATTGCGGCCAAGCGGTCCGACGGCAACCTGCGAGGGGTCAGTGACATGAAACTCGGCAACAACTCTATTTCGTTTGGGGTTATCTCTGCCACGTCTCAGATTTCGCAAGCTGAAACTGCTCAGAGATGCAACTGCATCGAACGACGAAGCGATACTCACAGAGAGGTTGCCGCCGAGGGTGAGCGAGCCGGCGCTCATGAACGAAGCGAGGGCCGATCGTGACTATGAGGTCAGCTACATTTCACGGCGATTACGTGGTGACACCTCGGTCATCTGGCCGTAATGGCCGCTATGGCACGATAGCGGCTCCAGCGGAGCCACTGGAATCGGAACCACCACCTCCACTTTCATGAATGGGCCTACGCACGTTGAGAACGATGAGGAAGTCGGTCATTCTGGGCGATCGTCAGTATGCTGCTTCTCGCCAAAGCGGGTATGTAACTCACTCGGCACCAGCCTGTCCGCCGAATCCGAAGCCGCCGACACCAATAGCGCTGGGTGGCGACCAGCCTGCCTGTCAGTTCTCCTGGTGTATCTCTGAACTCACCTCCGTCCTCGAGACGAGCGATAACGAGACCGCTTCCAACGCGCGCCGAGGCGAGGAAGCCAACTTTGACGACGGTGAAGATGGCGAATCCCGCCGCGCGCTCAAGCACGCTGCGCGGGATGACACCGTCCAGGCCCTGGTTCGTGCCGTCGACGAACGAGCGAATCGTCTTGGCCGCCTTCTTGCATTCCTGCTGCAGCGGCACTGCTCGTCAGCTCGTGTCATCAGCTGGGTACTCACCTGGCAGGGGGGTATTCAGTCCCATGGTGACTGTGGGATCAAGAGATCAAGAAAGCCCAAGAAAGCGAGGTTATAGAGTTGTCGCGCGAACGTAAACGAGAGGGGAATGGATCTGTGTGTGATACACGAGCGCCGTGGGTGATGGGCGGGATGCTGGGAAGGTGGGGGAATATGCCGAGGGAGGGCGATTGGCGAGCGCCGGCAATGAAAATCGGAAGGGCGATGGGCAGTAGGTCAGGTGGTGGTGAATACGGCAGATGCGATGGGGCGGCAGTCGATGTCCGCTAGTTGTGTGAATGACAGATAAGAGTACGACAGATAGAGTAGTCAAGACACAAAGATAAAAAGCAAAGTGTGTGTGTGTTGCTTATGCGAGTGCCAGAGCGAGTGGACGAGTGGACGGCAACTAAGCGTGGTGGTCTGGCCCTTGTCGGTCGGCCAGGTGTCGGCCGTGTGATGTTCGGGTCGAAGCTCGCGGCGTGCGACGGACACGCAGTGGTGGCTGTCTGCGGGAGCTGCGTGCGGGCGTGCGGGCGAGGGCGGGGGCCACGGGGGCAAGGGACAAGGGCAGCTGTCAGCAGGAGGAGCGACGTAGCAGTGAAAGATTCGATGCACACTTGCAGGCCGAGGGCCGAGGAACCTCTGCGAGTCTTGCAGCACAAGCCAAGACACGGTCGGGGTTATTTTACGGTGATGACGAGGGTCATGTCGACCCTGAACTTGTGATGAGCTGATCCCTCCCTGCTCGGCCCTGCTCGCCCCCCACGTCCACGGACCGCGGCGGCAACTCGCTCCCCGTTGTAGGTGGGCAGCCGAACCTGGCACCCCAGCCCCGCAGTGCTCAGCTTCCGTGAACACCGCACTGCAGGCGACCCGCAGATCCGCAGACGACGCACCGCAGCCTCCATACGCAGGCCGTAGTCAACCTCTCACGCGTCGGACCCGGCTTTGCCTATCAAAACTTTGCTGCGACCGACTATCAAAAGCACGGCCATGCATCGCCCTTAAGCCACCCCGCCAGGACCACTAGTCGTCCTCGTAGCCTCTCTCTTTGTATTTCTGTCAGATCTCATCACCATCGACGCCATTCGGTAAGCCTGCGTCGCTGCATGGCCCTCGTCAGCCAGTCCTTCTCTTGGCCCTACATGCATGCGTACGACGCCATGACCAACACTACTCCGACTCCACATCCAGCATGCCACATCACATCACTTCAAACTTTACGCTGCCCCTCAGTGCCTACAGCTCCTTTTGCTTGAAACAGTGCATACAGACTGCGATCGCAGTATTTTGACTCATCGATCCTGCATCGAACGATCCCCCCCACATGGCCCCCCACTCCCGCAATCTACTTCTTGTCCTGGCCCAGCCCCGCCGCGCTGCCGTCAGCTTCCGCTCTACACCCACACCACCCAGGACTCACTGGTTCGACGCGACCTGGATCGCGCGCGCCATCGTCGAGCGCACCTTGCCGTCCTCGAGAGTGAGCAGACCCGCGATCGTGCATCCTCCCGGGGCTGCTGTCAGCTGCGTCAGAGTGGGTAGACTTACTCGTGACGCTGTCCTTTAACTGAGCCGGGTGGAGTCCTCCGTAGAGCGCCATGCGGCCGGTGCCCTGGATGGCTGTTGTTAGCATTATCTCGCAGCTGGAGGGGTGATAGCGATCGGTCAGGCAGGGAGAAGGCTTCCGAGTCGGGTCCCAACGCCACCGGGGTACTGATGATGACGGAGCCGCTTGGCACCGCACTCTAGCATGCATGGTTGAGTTGGGCTGCGCTGAAGGAAATGGGCTTGGCGACCTGCTTTCGTGGAGGCACAGCCGGGTCCGCGGTACAGGGACGCGACATGAAGTCACTCTCGCATGGCTCAGTGACGACTACGGCTGATAAAGCCATCGGTCATCTCGACGTCGCCGCAGACCTCGGCCCAGGCAAGCTGCGGGCCGTCGTGGGGCCCGAGACGTTTAGATTGGAAACCACGTGCAACACGTGCAACTCGTGCGACTCACTCTGAGCAGCGAGTTCCAAGGACTCGCTTCGGGGAAGGCCCATCATGACACCTCCATCGGCCATGGCCTCGAGAACAAGGGCGACGAACGCGGGACCGGAGCCGGCGAGCGCAGTAGCGGCGTCAAAGTACTTCTCGTCGAGGAAGCGACAGCGTCCGCACGAGGTAAAAATGTTGAGGAGCTTGGCGCGAGTCTCGGCCGAGTCGACGGGGGTAATGACGGTCATGCCCTCTCCGATCTGGTGTCAGTTGGCAAAGCGGCTCGAACTCACCTTGCAGGGGGTGTTGGGCATGGCGCGGACGACGGTGGTACCCTCGGGAACGCAAGCCTCGAGCTGCTCGAGCGTGACGCCCGCACAGATGGAGACAACAATCTTGCCGCGCACAGCGTCCTGCATGCCCTTCTCGGCGAGAATGCTCTTGGCGATGTTAGGCTTCGAGCAGATCAGAATGATGTCGCTCTCCTGTGCAGCCGAGACGTTGGCGCCGGCGCCAGAGCGAATGTCGATCATGTCGTTCAGCGAAGTCGACGTCTGGAAAGTCTTGCGCAGCTTGCGCGCAGTCTCCTCGCGGCCGACAGTGGCAATGAACGCGTTCGGGAGCGAGTCATCGGAAGCCTCAAGAGCCATCGCCTGCGTCGGGGTCGAGATGCCGCTGACGGGCTCACGCGGGGTGCTGCGCCCGTTTGGGTACGCCGCCTGGCGCTGCTCGAGCGACGTCAGGACGCCCGACATGATGGCGATACCCATCGTTCCGCAGCCTGTCGTCAGCTAAAGCTCCACGTAAGGTAAGCTGGAGAGGTGTTGCATTCCCCGACGGAGGACGCTGCCGCGACAGGCATATGATTGTTGTGACTGGGCATCGATAACAATCCTTCGTCATGCGCGATGACGCGCTCCCGAGCACTATCGCTCTGCATCGCTTCCGCACTCACCGAGAACACCAAGAGTGTAGCCCATTTTGATTGTCTTGTGTCAAGAAAGAGTGAGCAAGGGAGAAGGAAGACAACAAGGCTGATGTCGATCAGATAACGAGCCAGGGCAGGCGCCTAATTTTCGGTCTGAAAACATCCGACTCGGTTCGACCTGAAGCCCGGTCGGATAAGGCTGCTTATGCGCATTCCGACACCGCGTCTATGCACTATCGTGGTAGCCGATGCGTTGTTGACATGACGCTCGTGGGAGCTGCAATTCATGGCGATCTCGTGCTTCTGGCGTCCGTTGACCGCTCACCCCACTGTCTTCCCCCCAGAGTGGGGAGATCCAAAGCAGCAGCGGTCAGATGATAGGATGACTGTGGGTTCCGAATGTTCTCCGGGGTCGCCAGGGTGGGTGGCGACAGTTGTATGGTGTGATCGCACTGATATCGGTTTCCACCGACAATTTTCCGTCAAGTGCAGTGCAGCCAAACAAGGTGACCGGGACGTCAGCCCCCGTTCTCGACGTCATCTGAAGCTGCATCCCCACGAACGCTTCCCCACCGCACACTTTCTCACACACCATGGCCACCAGCATGTCCGACTCTGACGTTGTGATCGTCGAGGTGCGGAGCAACATTTCGAGCGGTGTGCTAACGGCAGAAACCAGAGTACCCGCCCATCGAGCCGGGCGCCTCGCTGATGCTGGCGTGGCAGCTGGGTGGCAAGAAGGTGCTTCTCGTGGGCGGAGGCGAGATCGCCTCCCAGCGGCTGGGCTTCCTCCTCGAGGCTGGCGCGCATGTCACCATTGTCGCGCCCGCTCCCCTGCATCCCCTGATCCAGCACCGGCTCGAGAGCAACGGCGACCAGATCACCTGGCACGACAGGCAGTACAACCAGAACCCCGACAAGGACGCGTGCAAGGTCGGTAGCTACGACATGGTGTTCACGGCGATCGACGACGCGGTACTCTCACGCCTCATCTGCGAGAAGAGCCGCAAGGCGCGCACGCCCGTCAACGTCGCAGACGTCCCGCCCGAGTGTGACTTTTACTTTGGCGCGCAGGTCCGTCGTGGCCCCCTCCAGGTCATGATCTCGACCTCGGGCGCCGGTCCCAAGGTGTCCGTCATGGTGCGCGATCTGATCCGCGGCGTGATCCCCAACAACATTGAGGGCGTTATCAACGGTGTCGGAGCACTCCGCCGTGAGCTCCGGGAGCGCGCGCCCGGTGTCGGTGGAGAGCTCTCCAAGAAGCGCATGCGGTGGATGATCAACACTTGCAATCAATGGGACATGGAGGTCATGGACCGCCTCGAGGACGAGACGATCCGCGAGAAGCTCCTCACAGATGGTTGGGAGAAGGGCGTCGTCCTCGGTCCCAAGGACGTTGGCGTCAAGCGGAAGAGCAAGTCGCGCGCGCCCAGCTCGACGGCTCTCGCTGGCACGGGCGGAGTCCTCGTTGGCGCCGCCATCGGCGTCCTTGCCACTCTGGCTTACCTTCGGAGGAACTAGGCAGATAAATACATGGATGTCGGGATAAGATACGGACGCTGTAAACTTGTAAGAGGCATTAAATCAACGGGATAGCATGAAGGGATGCATTGAATGATCACAACTGGTCTTAACCGGCAATCACATAACTACTTCTTCTACACTGCAGTGACACACAGGCCACGCTCGGCGACGACCGCCGCACTAACATCGGCGGCGAGGTTGGCGCTGAACAACACATCGCCACGGTCGCCATTCAGGTATACCGGCACGTTGACCGTGTCCTTTTCGACACTCTCCTTGGTCCATGCCAGCTCGCACGTGTCGAGCGACACGACCTGGCCGTCGTTCAAAACAAGCTTGTCCTCCCACCTGGCACCGTGCAGCTTGAGACCTGTAATGTCAGCTACCAACAAGCGAGCTGACTCACCCTTGATGGCGAAAGCCTCCGGACTGCCACTCGACTCGAGACGCAGGCTGAGCGACACCTGCTCCAGACTCCATCCCTGGGCGTGAGCAGCCGCCTGGCGGGTCGCGGTGATGTATGCTTCGGGCTGGAACAGACCGCCGAGCCAAATACCGCCACCATAGTTTTGGCTGGTCGACACAGTCTCCAGCTGTTCGAGACGCTTGACGAGGTCGTTAAAGTATTGTCCAACACTCGTGCCCTTGGGCATCTTGTAGCGCGCCCAGTGGGGCGGGACGTTACCGCGGTTGAGCTCGGTTAGGAGTGCGCGGAGCTCGTTGGTCTGCTTCATCTGGCCATCGCACACGGCGATCAGATCGGACAGGTCCTTGCGGACGCGCTGCAGGAGGCGGCGACCAGTCCATGCCTCGCGGCCGAAGAAGCGCGAAAGCGGGTCCGAAACCGAGGAGGGAGTCGAAAGGTTCTGTAGTCAGCTACTGACTGTGCCATGTGCTCACCTTGGGGAGAGCGTCGAGCCACTCCTGGGCGTTTGCCTTCAGTGTGGTCATCCATGCCGGGCGACCATCCCCGTCAACCACGGCCGGCGAGTCATCCTCGTCGTCCTCCGTCGTGCGCATCTTGCGAAGCTTGACAACCGTCGTGTTTCCTGCATGTCAGCATTGGCGTACCAGGAAAACTCACCTTCAGCAGCGGCAACAACACGCTCGGCAGTACCGGGCAGGCTGAGCCAGCTGGGCGGCTCATGCTCAGGGAGCGCCTGGGCCCAGTCGATGAACTGTTGCATGCTCGTACCCTCGGGAACGAGCAGCGGCTTGTCAAGGTTGACAAGAGCAAAGTCGGGGTCGTACGCCTTGGGGGTGAACACGGCGTCGACAAAGGCGTCGAGGACACGTTGGTCATAGTCGCTGTCGATGCGACCGCCATAGACAGCCTGCTTGATGATGGTGCGCAGAGCGACCCATGGAATGGCAGCGGGGTCGACATTTGCCTTGCCCTTTGCAAGGGCCGTGATCCACGAATCGATCGTTTTGTAAGCGGCGACAAAGTCTGAGTCGTTGAACTCGTAGGACTTGCTCCATCCGAGAGGAAGGTAGCGCAGACGCTCCTGGACAACGGCGTGGAGCCAGGCAAGCAGGAACAGAAGACGAGGCTTCTCGGCGGGACCGCTCTTGAGGCTGAGAGTGGGGAGGCCGCGGAGCGTGTCGAGCAGGTTGGCGCGGACACCGGGAGGAGGCTCGTTCATGATGATACGCGACTGGCGGAGGATGTTAACGGGCACCACGGGGTTGGTCTCCATCGTCAGGAAGAGACGGAAACCCTGAGCTGGGGACAACGAGTGCAGGCGCTTCTCCAGCTGCGCCAGCCACGACGGCGCGAGGTGGACGTTCTTGAGTAGGACCCAACCACCAGTACGGGCGGCATTGGCGATGGCCTGATCGGCGAGTGTGAAGCCTTCGACGGAGCCCATAGCGACCGATGTGCAGGTGACACCGAGTGAGCGGCAGAGATTGTCCACACGGTAGCTCGCGTCGTAGCCTGGCACGGAGGCGAGGGCAAGCGGGTTTGTCGGCTTGACCTGCTCCTTGACGACTGCAGCAAAGTCGTAGTCCGAGATCTGGGCGAGGTCGCAGCCGAACGCCTGGTTGGCGAACGTGGCGAGCGCCTGGACCATGCGGTCGGGACGGAACAGCTTGACGAGAACAAGGCGGCGAGCAGAAGTGACAATGTTGTCGGCCTCGGCCCACGGCCAGGGAATGTTGCGTTCCGCCTCGTCGTCGGCCATGAAAGCACCCCACTCCTTGGGGTTTGCCTCGATGTGGGCAACGACGGCCTTGGTGGTCTCCTGTCCGAGGTGACTGTCGAGAATGCGCTTCTGCTCGACGGTGAGGGCCGCCTCGGTCGCCTCGGTACCGGCCGGAACTTCGAGGAGGGCGTCCATCTCCTCTTGAACGGCGGCACTAAAGTCGCTACGTGAGAGACGGAGCTTGGCAAGAGTGGCGGCGAGGACCATGTAGTCCGTGTGCAGCAGCGACCGCGAAGTGCGGCGGTAGGTGACGAGGAAGAGATCGTTGAACAACGTCGTCTTGCGCGCCTCGAGGTCGGTGATGCCCTTGAGGTTGGGGTTGTGGTGCAGGACGTAGTCAAAGATCTCCAGGAAGTAATCGAGACTGAACTGGTAGAAGCGGTGGATGTTGGCAAGCTGCTCCAGGGTGAAGTAGATGCTGGAACACGCCGACGCGAGCGGCAGATACTCTGCCGTGACAGCCTCGACTTCCTTCATGATGATATCCGTGTCCTCGACCTTGCTCGTAACCTCCGCGGCCTCGCGCTTGAGCACCTCGAGAGTTTCGATGACCTTGTCGTCGTCCAGAATCGATCCAGTGCTCTCGTTGAGCGCCTGCAGGAGCGCGCGCTCGAGGTGTCGAAGGCGAAGCCTGAACTCGCCCTGCATCTTCATGAGGTCGCTGCGCTTCTGGTCGATCTCGGGTCGCTCGACCTTGAGCACCTTGTCGAGCGCCTGAGTCTGGAGCGAGCCACGCGTCATCGTAAAGTTGACAAACGTAACACGGCTGCAAATGTCGGGCGAGAACTCGACACTCGGATCGCGCGTCGACAAGAACATGGTGAACGACGGCGAAAAGTCGATATCTTGGTTGCCGATGCGGATGAGCACACGACCACCAGTGCGACGCAGCTCGCGATTGAGGACCGAGTTGAGGATGGGGTCGAGGTTCTCGACGTCTTGGATGAGAAGCGGGTTGCCGAAACGAAGAGCACTCTCGAGGTTCTTGAGGAACGCCTCGTCCAGGAAACTGGTGACAGTGATCTTGCGGTCACGGAACTCGTTCTGCAGGAACGTCGTCGCCTGGCCTGTCGGGTCGATGATGAGCGGGTAGCGGTTGTAGCGCTTGAGCATGACCGCATTCTCGACACACAAGCTGTCGGCTGGGAGAGCGTTCGACTGCCACTCCAGGCGCTCGTCGGCCGTGGACAGGAACTCGGCAATGGCGAGCTCGCTCTTGTAGCGAATGCCCGCATCGGAGAGGTGGTCCATCCAAGCGCGGCGCATCGTGTCGCGGTAGTGCTGGTCGAAGAAGCCGCTGTAGGCGAGGAAGGCAGCCGAAATCAGGACGTCACCGACAATGGTGCCCATCTCAGTCTCGAATGTCTTGCTGCCGGCGTCCCAACGGCTCTGTTCCGACGACAGGCTCTGGAGCAGGGACATGCTGCGGTCGACCTTGGACTGAACGCGCTCCATCTCGGCACGAATCGACTGCGTCTCGGCGATGAGCAGCGCGTACTCCTCCTTGTAGCGAGCGATACTTTCCTCGAGCTCGGCGACAGTCTCCTCGACGACCATGGCCTGCTGCTTGGTGGTCTCGGCCTGCTCCTCGAGCGAGGCAACCTCCTCACGCAGAGGAGCGACCTTGTCGAGAATCTCGCTGAAGCGGACCTGAGCGATAACCCACTGCACGAGGGGGCCGCACGCGCGAGAGGCACGGTTGACGGTCTCAAAGTTGAACGCTGGCTTGGAGATGTACTCGCGCATCATCTTGTCGCGCAGACCCTTGGTCATCTTGTGCGTGTCAAAGTTCTGGATGCTCGAGATGAAGTCGTCACGACGGATGATGCTCTGCACCGTCTTCCAGCTGTCAACGTGGAAGCCAAGCACAGTACAGGCCGACTCCATCGCAAGCTTGACGGTCTCGGGCGGGTTCGCCATCGAACGGACCTCAGACAGATGCTGCTTCTTGATGTTGCCAACGGCGGCGAGCGCTTCGATGACGGCGGGCTCGGCCTGAGCGAGGTCCTCCTTGACGATCTGGGATCGCTGCTGAATGTAGGCGTCCTGCTCCTCGAGTGCCGCCTGTATCTCAACACTGGCAGCCTTCTTGGCCTCAGCCTCCTGCTGATCAGCGACCATCTGCTTGAGCTTGAGGTTCGCCTCCTCATCCTTGACGTTGAGCTGCGAGCGCTTGGCGTCGAGACTCTGGCGGAGCTCCTCGACTTGGGTGACGGTAGCCTGGAGCTTGTCGAGACCGACGTTGAGGTGGCGCTGCTGCTCCTCAAGATCCTCCTTCTTCTCAGTGAACAGGCGGACGTAGTGGTTGATAAAGTCGAGAAAGTGGCGGGGCGTGACGTGGTTGTACTTGCCCTGGCGCTTCGCCAGACGAGCAGTGATGTTCTGCATCGACTGATGAACAAAGACCATGGCATTGACAACGGCCTGGCGATGGCTGGGAGGCATGGCGAGATCACGGTACGCGATGGGGAACTCGGCCGGCGGGGCGTACGTGGGCGACTCAAGGTCGAGCGTCTGCGTAAACTCCAGACCGACCTGGTATAGCGCCTGATCGGACCAGTCGCCGAACCAGTCGAGCACACAACGGTTGAACAGCGCAGGCGAAGTGGCAGCACGCGAAGCAAGACCGTTGGCGGGAGGGTTCATGGTGAACACGACGTGAAGGTTGCGAGCGACCTGTTGCGTGAACCAGCGGTACAGCTCCTCGTGCGAGTCGAGCATGAGGCCATCGCGCTGGCTGCCCTCCTTGCACGCGGTCATGAGCGCTGCGTGCTCGTCGCCCTCGAAGAGACCCGGCACCTCAGCGTTGGCCAGAAGCGTATTCATGCGCTCGAGGAATCCGGGGTCGAGAACGTTGGACTCGTCCATGATGAAACAAATCTTCTCGCCCTTGCAACCAGCGCGGCGGAGAACAGTGCGGAGGTCGTCGTCAAAGTCGGCTCCACTGTACTTGTTTGACACCTTGATCTGGAAGATGCTGAGACCGTTCATCCAAGCGACGAAGCGAGACAGAGTCGTCTTTCCACTGCCACTGACACCGATGAGGAGCAGGTGGCCCTGAACCTGGCGGAACACGCGGTCGATGCGGAGTACGTGGTCGAGTACATCGTTGAACAGGACGAGCGGCACATCCAGCTCCTCTTCGTGGAACACGCGGAGACGAGCCTTGGTGTACTCGCGCAGCGCCTCGCGGTCGACCGGAATGTAGTTTTTCGACGTCCACGTTGAGAACAGAATCGGGCGTGCGAGAGCCTCGGACATGTTTGCGTTCGGGAAGTACTTGGCAGCCGTCTCGTCGAGCACGTCGTCGGTCCACTTCTTCTCCGACTCGGACACGAGGCGGTCCTGGAACAGGCGGAGGGCCTCGTGTGCCCAGACACGGACAAGACCCTCTAACGACAGCGTCTCGAGCGGCTTGATCGCTTCATAGATACCGCGGGCCCAGCGCGTGAGTTCACGAGGCGAGTAGATGTAGTGCGCCTGCACATCGGCCGTGAACCTCTTCTGCGAGGCGAGGTAGAACGCAACCATGGCGTCGGTGAGCGCCTCAGCGCTACCACGGAGATTGGGCACGACCTTGAGGAGCGCGCGGTTGAAAGTACCATAGATCTGCTTGAGCGAGATCTCTCCGGGGTAGTCCACCATGACAACGGGAGCGTGGCGCATGAAACGGTGTGAAAGTGGCACACGACCAGGGTCGGTCGGAGGGTTACAGGCACCGACAAACTGGATGCGCTCAAGAGTGACCCAAGACAGGTCGCTGGTACGCCAGAAGCCGTTGCGCTCCATGAGCTGACGGATAAACGAAATGACACGTTGGGTGCCGTACTTGTCCGTGGCGGGCAGGTTGATCTCGTCGCAGAACACGACGAGCCAGCGGCCGATCTGGGTAGGCGCGAGCACAACACCATTGGGCGTCTTGCGGTACTCGCAGTACTGCTCAAATGTCTTGAGAATGAGCTCGGGCGTGGTGGCACTGGAGAAGTTGAGACCGACGACTTCGAGGTTGCTGAGCTTGCGAAGAGCGCTGAACAAAGTCATCGTCTTACCCGAACCGGGAGGACCGCAGAGGATGAGCGGCTTGTGCTCGGCGAGCCAGTTGTACAGCACCTCCTCGTGACGGACAGTGTCAATGGTCGGAATGACCACGTCGGCAGAGGTGATCGAGTGCGTCTCGACCTCGATCGTCGGCACACGCGATTGCCATGAGACCCACTCGGCATTGGCAACGTTGACGTCGTAATCAATGAGCGACCCGCCGGGCTGCATGGGGGGCGTTTCAATGCCAGACGTAAGACGCAGCTGCTCGCCGAGCTCTGCACGGATATCGAGCTTGGCGTCACCGACAAACGACCAGATCACATTGAGCAGAAGGCGCCGAGTAACGTACGCCTCGACCTTGTCCGCGGGCAGGGGGAAGTCGCTGTGGTGGAGGTTGTACTCGATGACGTTGCGAACCGTAGCCTTGAGGAGCGAGAAGAGTGTGTTGATCGCACGAGTGGCAGTGTAGTCCATGATGTGCTCCGACTTAGCGGCAAACTCAAGGGCATTACGGACCAAACCACCGGGGCCAAAGTGAGGTTCGAGGATGGTGGCAATCTGCTTTTGCGTCTCACTCTGGTGAGCGGCAGCCTCGGCACCGTACTCGAGAATGTCCTCGTCGCTGCTGACGATGGGTACGCTGGCGAGCAGGTTGAGGTTGTGCTGGCAGACCATGTCAATGTCGATGACCTCCTCGGAGAACCAGATCATGCCACAACGAGAGACAGTGGCGAGGGTGGCGTAACGAAGGTGCTCGACCTCGAACATGACGCGAACATTGGGCGGGAGGTTGAGACGCTCACCGTTGGGCAGCGTAAGAAGCTTGTTGTCGTCAAGGACCGAGTTGAGGTTCTCGACCCACTCGGGGTCGACATCACCGTCAAAGATGATCCAGTGGCGCTTGGCAGTCTCACCACGGACGTTGTCGACAATCTTGCGGAGAATGTGGGTGAACAGACCATCGTTCCACTCGCGAGTGGTCGGGTCGAGCGTACCGTAGAGCGCCTCCTTGTCGATAGCCTTGGGGTCGATGACGTATGAAGCACCTTCAACGCCATCGACACGCTCGAGGGCAGCGAGCAGGACCTGCCAGGCCTGCGACTTTCCGCTTCCCGACGGACCAACCATCATGAGACCATGCGAAATGTTCTGAATCTGGTACAGCTGAATAACCTTGTCCAGCCATGCCTCGCCAACCACAAGGCGACGCTCGGCACAGACTTCTGCAATCTTGGCCTTGAGCTCGCCAAGGTCGACTGGGCGGTACTCGATGCCTGGGAAGACGTCCTCGACGAGTGCACGAAGAAGAGGAACATCGTCGGCGACGAGCTTGGGCACAATCGTCTCGGTGACAGACTGGATCATGATTTGCTGCTCGGCAATCTCGTCCGAAATATCGTCGCTGCCATCCAGGTGGCGGTTGCGCTTCAGGATACCGGCACTGGCAAGCACGGCCTTGAGCGCACGCAGACCAAAGTCGTAATGCGGCTGGGCGCTGAGCTGCTCCGAGCAGAGGTTGAAGAAGGGCACGATCTTTGATGCAAGAATCTCGGCAGTGCGGAAGCCCTTTGAGAACAGAAGAACCTGCGCAATAAGCTCCTGGTCGGGGCGCGTCATAGCCATCGAGCGGAAGAGCTTCTTCAGGTTGTCCGGGAGGTTGGAGCGGCCAGCGTATCCCGGGTTCATCGTGATGAAGATACCGGTGCGCGGGTTGATCTTGAGCCTCTTGCCAACGAGCTCGACCTCCGTGTCGGGGTTGGTCACGGCAGAAGCAAGACCCTGCTGGATGCTCTGAACCTGCTGCGAGACAGCAGAGAGGATGCGCTCCTCCAGACGGTTGAACTCGTCGAAGCATCCCCAAGCGCCGACCTGGCAGAGACCGATGAAGATACGGCCCATGGCCTGGAAGTCAAAGGTCTCGTCACAACAGAAGACGAGGACAAAGCGTCCGAGCTGGACACCGAGCGACTTGACCGACTCGGTCTTTCCAGTACCAGCAGGACCGAAGGGAGAACCTCCGAGCTGGTTGTCGAGAGCCTGCGTGAGGGTGAGGTAACAGCGGTCCGTAAGAGGCGTCTGGACGAGTCGGTCAGGAATACCGAGATACTCGTAGCCGTATGGGAAGACGGCGTCGGCCATGCGGACCTGCAGACGCGAGAGCGGATCGTCGATAGACTCGTCAAGGTAGAAGCGCATGTAGTAGAGCCAGTCGAACGCGGTCAAAGAGGTGGTACCGTTGGCGATGAGAGTGCGCATGGCATCACGCTGGTGGACAAGCTCGGTGATAAGATGCTCGCACTTGCGACGTTGCAGGACTGGAATGTCTTGGAGGACAGTGTCCGCGAGCAGGTCGAGCATGCGCGAGACAAGGTCAAGAGCGCTCTGAAGCTTGCCCTCGGGCATGGTCATTTCGACAAGCTCCGTCCACGCGATCTGGACGGCGAGGACAACAAGCTGAGCGGGGTAGACACTGATCCACTCGAGCAGGCTCTCAGGCGAGAGGTCTCCATCGATGCGGAAGATGTCGCGGAGGTCCTTGACGGCCTGCGAGAGCAGAACAGCGAGGGATAGGCGCATCTCGCTTTCGATCTTGGCCAGCCAGTCGTTGATCTTGGGATAGTCTTTGAGGACGATCGGTTGGCGGAAGGCAACCTCCTCACCCTCGCGGGACGCAAAGGCGTTTAGCTGCGTCGCCTCCTCGTCCAGGTGCAGGATGGAAATGCCGGCAAACATCTTCTTGAGATGCTTCATGACTCGGTGGATGTCCTTGCTGTTTCCGATGATTTCCAGCAGGTCCTCATCACCAACAAAGTAGAAACGGGGGAAGGAGGAACGCTCCTTCTCGAGGTACTCTCCGAGCGCCTTTTGAATCTTGTTCAAGTGGTCCGCTAGACGCTCGAGACTCTTCTGGATACCGGGGATGTTCAGCACGTCGAGGACGAAGGGCGACTTGTACACCTTTTTCATGACGGATAGGAACTCCGAGTTGATGTTCTGGAAGCGGCTGCTCTCGACAGGGAGCAGGTGCTTGATGTCGGCAGAGCCCGAGAAGATGCCCTCGAGGTACACCCACTGGCGTTGAACGTCGATCCAGACATCGAACAGGACGTGCACACGATTAAGCTTCTCCTCCCACGAGGCCGCGTCCTCCTCGAAAACGCGATAGTACGGCGAAAGCTTCATCGCAGTGAGCGAGTTCAGGTGCTCGCTGCACTTGGAGAACAGGTCGTCCCAGCCGCGGATCAGGCGGCATTTGTTCTGATAGTTGACAAGGTCGAGAGAGTACGAAGTCCAGGTCTCACGAACTTGCTTCAAGAACTCTTCGAGGGCCATCTCGCCCTGTGCCTGGACGACCACCTCTTTGATGAGAGCGTGGTTCTTCTGCAGATCGAGGTCATAGACTTGTCCGAGAGTCATGGACAAGGGCTGGTACGAGTGCGAGAGGCGGAGAGACTTGTAGAGTTTGGTCCAGTGGCGCTCACGCAGAGCCTCCGACTTGAGCTCCGAGATGAGAATGTTGGACTTTAGAAGAGCACGAATGGACTCTTGGACGAACTCGAACGCAGCGTACTGACGCATACGACTGGGCATGTCGCGAGTCGAACCGAGAATGCTGTCAAGCTCCTGGCGCAGCTTGCGGGGCTGGACGGCCGACCACGCTCCCTCGCGCAGCTGGTTGAGGCGAGTCCATATACCAGTGAGAGCCGTCCAAACAGCCTTGAGATCGCGAAGCTCCTCAGTGACAGGCTGGAGACGCTCGTCCTTGGTGTGCTCCAGGTCAAGGGCCTCCTTGGCACGGCAAACAAGATCATAGTCGTCCTGGAGGACAGTGAGACGAGAGTCAAAGGCATTGAGCGTGTTGATGGCGAATTCGGCCTTGATGTTGCCCTGCAGCGGCTTCTTCTCCTCCCACTCAGCGACAAAGTCGCGGATACGGCCATCGACGACCTTGTCCTCGGCAACAATCTTGAGCTGAAGACCGGCAACCTGCTCCTTGATGGAGTCGTCCTTGCGCTTGAGGATCTCGGAGAATGCGCTCCACTCGCCCTGGATCTGGTCGACATAGAGCCAGTCAGAGGGGAAGGTGTAGCGCTGGCGCTCGAGCGTCTTCTGGCCGGTACCAAACTGCTCAATCTCGGGTCCCCAGGTCTCGACCTTGCGCTTGAGGTCTTGCACAAAGGTGATGAAGGCAACGACATGAGCAGTAGAGCTACCCTCGATCGCGTAGCCTTCGAGGTCGGTACGCGCTTTGAGGATCGCAGCATGTGTCTCCTTCATGGTCATGCCGAGCTTCGAGCCATACTTGGCAAGCAGGTCGCGCTGCCACGAATCGTACTTGGCGTTGACCTTGGACTGGGCGTTGGCATAGTCGATGACACAGACGCCAAAGTCCTTGCGAGTGTCTGTAGTGTCGAAAGTCGAGCGTGCCTGACGGATACCAGAGAGCAGGAGGTCCCAGTTGGAGAGCGAGTCGCCCAGTCGGCTGTAAACATAGTCTGCCTCGAGGTCCCAGAGCGACTGGAACTGCAGCCACTTGTCGACGTACGCACCGACGGACTGCACCTTGGTCTCAATCAACTGGAGCGGACGCTGCAGCTCGAGCTTGTCGGACGAGGTCAGAAGGCCGATGTATGTGGTCTCCTCGGCGGTCGCCTCATCAACCTGCAGGGTGATTTCGTAGCGCGAGCTGCGGATCCTGTTGAGGTTGCAGACAACACCGAGGGCGTTCTGGAACTGAGCAAGCCACTCTGCACGCGCGAGCTCGATAGGAGGGTCAAGGTAGATGACCTGGTTGCGAATGCGAACCTCGTGGATAAGTGGCTTGATCTTGATCTCAGCCTTCGAGTCATCGACAATCGTATCACGGTCCGCTTCGTGCTCCTCGTCAGCCTTAGTGAAAGCAGCACACCATGCGTCGATCGCCAGTGCCAAGCGGCGGCTGAGAGCAGCGTCGATACGCTCGTTCAGCTGAGTCACCCAAGCATCGAGGTTGCTGTAGCCTTCGAGGTTTAGCTGGTCGATCGTCTTCTGAACCTGTCCGAGGAGACCGGAGAAGGCCTCAGTCGTGTAGGCACAAGTCTCGAGCTCCTCGACGATGCGGCTGATGTCATTCGAAATGTCGATCAGGGCCGCGGTCTTGTCCTGCAGCAGGGACACGACACTGGCGAACTCTCGCACGTAGACAAAGTGGCGCGACTCGCGGCCCTCGGAGCCTGCGAGGAAGCGGTGGCTCTCATAGGCATTCACGAGGTGGTCCCATTGCATGTTGATGCCGCGGGCGATCATCTGCTGGGCCGTGTTACGGTAGGTGGCAAGCAGGATGGCGATGTCGGGGTTCTGCTCGATCAAGTCGAGCGTTTGGGTGTAGGTCCTGACCGATTCCATGAGCGAGACGGCATGAGGGTACACGCGCTTCGCGTCCTTGGCGCGGTGGGTAATGGTGAGAGGGACGGGGAAGCCCAGCCAAATCAGCGCCCTCACCTCCTTGAACAGCGCGACAACCTGCGGGTCGAACTGGACAATAAGCTGCAGGTTGCCCTGTTGGTTCGCGCTGGTGGCACGCGCGCGGATGATGTCGAACAACCTGCCAGTGACGGTAAGGTTGCCGCGGCGTGTGATCTCAGCAATCCACGCGTCGTAGAGCGGCTTTGTCTCGAGCTTGGCGCGGAAGCTGGCGCTCTCGACCTGGAGCTTTTGACCCTCGGCGTAGCTTTCCCAGCCCTTGCCCAGAACGTCTTCGACGCGCTTCATGTACGTGAGGAGCTGACGCTCGATCTGGCGAGCCCAAATGATGGCACTGGAGACACTGGGGAAGTCACGAAGCTGCGACATGTGGTACGCCTGGGAGTTACGATAGTTGGCAGTGAACTTTTGGCGCAACTCGCGGATGTCGTCCTTGACCGAATCGATCAGACGCGTCTGGTACTCCTGGATGGCGCCGCGGATTTTGGGGCGCACGAAGAGGGTGTTGAACTTGGAGAAGACACGGAACATCTCCTGCGCGGTCTTGGTGGTCGCGAGCTTGTCGCGGAGACGGGAGATGATCTGGTTTTCGATACGCGCAACGCGGTCGTTGTACGACACCTCGGCAGCGTACCAAATTTCTGAGCCCTCGGGGGTAACATCGAGGACGTCGACGTTCTTGACACTTTCGTAAGAGAGGCGGACTTCTTCCTCCATGTCAATGTCAAAGGGAACGTCGTTGCCCAGGCCGCTGAAGCTACGGGTTGAACTCGTCATGACACGCAGTTGTTCGTGCGAGCGGCGGAAGCCACGCAGATACACAATACGCTCCTGCAGCTTGGCGTGGGCCGGGTTGATCTTGATGGAGATGAATTTCTCCGCACGTTTGCGCGATACCTCACGCGCAACATTGGTAAAGTCCTTCATGTTGTCGTCCCAGGCGCCAAAGACCTCGGCCGTCAAGTTCATGACCTCCTCAAACTTTGAGTAGTCCATGTACATCAAGCGCTGTGCAGAGAGCACGCGAAGGAGCTGGTCGTTAAAGTCGGAGGAGATCGCCTCCACGAGCGGCAGCGTACGCCGAATCGGGTACGGCGAGAGCTTGAGCTTCTTGTTGATATGAGCAAAGATCATGTGAATCGACTCCCTAATCTTCTCCAGGTCCGTTGCCGCGAGCAGCTCGTCGAGCGGGAAGTCCTTCATGAGCACATTGTACTTGTGCACAACCTCGGTCGCCTCCTTGATACCAGTGTCGGCGATGAACGACACGGTCGCGTGGAAGCGCTTGGCATGTTTCAACACATCGAGGGCGAGCGTGACTTCCTCGCCCTTGAGCTGGGATTCGATGTTTTCGAGGGCGTGCTCCATGGACAACCAAAAGTTGATCTCCTGAGACGCCGTACCGGAGACGACATCGCGTGACAGTTTCGAGACCTTTTGAATCTCCTTGATCCAAGAGTTGACGTCGGCCTGGAGCTTGTTGAGGAAGGTCTGATCAGAGATAAGGGAGGCAGGCTCGACTGCATCAACGCTTACGCGCTGTCCGGAAGCATGGCACTGAAGTCAGCTCTCAGCAGATCGCACACTCACCTGGGCGACCGCCTTGCGGATGGCGGGGTGCACGGACAGATGCACTTCTGGGATCTCGACATTTTGCTTCAAGTGAAGAAGCGAAAGCTCGAGCTCTGCAAACTTCTTCTTCGTGACGGGAATACCCATCTGACTCTCATTGCCCTTCTTGTTCATGGGTCCATCGTTCAGTGTGCCCTTGGACGCAACGTAGCTGTCGAACCAAGGCGCAACACCCCAGTGCACGAGAGAGTGAAGGCCATCGTAAGGCGACGCCTGGGCAGTCGGAGTCGAGATCACGGTGCCAGGAGCTGACTGCGTGCCGTCGTCGGCCATGAGCAGGGGAGCGTTAGCTGACGACAGCTGCATGAAGTGCAGCTGCGTGCCGATCGGCGACAAGCTATCCAGTGTCGGGGAAGACTTGATGAGGGCGAGGGTGGTGAGGACGTTGGGGCTGTGAGGAGGTGTCGGCGGAAGGTGCAACCGGTATCCAACGCGCATGATCGGGTGGTCTGCTGTCAGCCTGAAGCGCAACGCGGCAGCTCACCGTCCTCGTCCATGTCGACATAACGCTCCTTGGTGACATATACGACTTGGCAGCCGGGGTCGGTGGCGAAGCGCAAACTCTTCTCCTCGAAGTTTGGGTCATCGTAGAGACTGTTCTCAATCTCGGGGCGGGTTGCCGACATCACTACTCGTCAGCGATTCTGTGTGCATTTCGCGGGCCACCGGCACGGACCTGGAGGCAACAGCGCCGAGAGATACGTCTTGAATACGCCCACGTCAAAGCCCAGCCCGCCGCCTGCTGCGGCGACGAAGGACTCCCCTTCGTCGGGAGAAGGGGACGCCATGCTGGTAGCGTTTACGTGAGATTCTCTTGACGAATGGTAGGTGTATGTGATGGGTGGTCGGGTCAACAACAATCTCAAGCGCGGTGGACCGCCTGGTCGCTCAGGTTACGCGTGACGCGTGGACGACCCTTACAGTGGCAACGGATGAAACGGCACGGATTGTCAGGTGGTCGTGCCTGAAACCTTGACCAACGACATGCTCTTACTCGTCTGACGGTTCAGTCGCTTCTCGGTACTCTACATTATGTTCATAACACTTATCTATCTAAGAGGTGTGACCAAGCTCACCCAGGGCCTTGACAAAGGCCTCCGGGTTCATAAGCTCGGTGCTTCCGTACGTGATCCTCTTGCCACCACCGCCGCCCTCGCGTTGACTTCGGTTGGCCCACTCCTGCAGGTTCGAGTACTCGACGTAGCCTCCTCCGCCAACGACGAAGACAATACCCTCTTGGTACTGCGAACGCTGTCGTCCTGACTGAGCGTTCCGGCTACGCGTCGCTCGCGGGTCGAGCGTGAGATAGTCGTCAGTGTCCTGCAGCGCCTGGGTGTTCGCAGTCGATGGCTCCATCAAAGCCTCAACGAGACGAGTGATCGTGAGCTCCTTCTTGACAGGGAGGAAGTTCTTCACACCGGAAATAAGATTGTCAAGGCCAACACCCGCGATACCTCCCTCACGAAGGCGGTCGGTAATCTACTGTCAGTGCTGAAAGCAATGCTAAACCTACGCGGTTGCCAAAGGCGCTGAAACCCTTCGTCCATTCACCACCAGAGCTGGCCGTCTGGGCGGCAACAGCAGGCTGGGACACCATCATGCTCATTCGGGTGACCTCGCGAACCTTCTTCACATAATCAAGCGCACCGACGTCGGCACCGGCCTCCTTGAGAAGGTTGGTGATCTCCTGGAGGTCTTCCTTGGAGAGCTGAGGAGCGGAGAGGTAGTAGATGATAGCGAGACGCAACTGATCCTCTGGCGTAGGATGAGCGACCTGACCAGGCTCGTCGGTCTGTCCCTTCATGGCAGCAATAATCTGCGCCTTGGTCTCTCGGGTCGCGTTCTCCTCGACCTGGAAGAGGTTGTCCAGACTCCTTTCCTTGATGGCCTGCAGCAGCGCGGTGGCAATGTTCATGTGGGTGTCGAGGGTGTGCTTCCTCTCGGAGAGCTCAGGGAGGGCAGTAATCGCCTTCTTCAGGTGCGCAGCACCGAGAGAGGCGTCCATCGCCTTTTCCAGGTCACTCATATCCGTAAGACCAGTCGAGCGCGTGATCTCCGCCGTGTCCGCCTTGTAGCGGTTGAGCTCGGTGTCAATGTCCTCTGCGACCTGGGGGAACGGGTTGCCAGCATTTTTAGCCCAGAAAAAGTCCTTCGAATCGATGTCGTAGGTCTTGGGCTGCATCTTGCCTCCCTCGGGGTTGGGAACAGTGACCTTGTTCAATTTCATGTTGAGAACATCGTGAACGAGGGCCTGGTAGGTCCACGAGTGAGACAGCATGGGGACAAGGTCCACATTGCGATCAAGGATAACTAGCACTGTATGTCAGAACCGCACGACATCCATCACGAACCTGGACGCTGCAGGCTGTCCGAACCAAAGCTGGGTCCGCCGCGCTGCGAAGAGGTGGAAGTGATGTGGTTGCGAAGCTTGTCGTGCAACTTTCGCGCAACCATCTCGGCCGCGTTTCCGCGGGGGGAGCGGATGATAGGCACCACACCTGCGTGTCAGATATACTCCTTATGCCACGCACCCATTGTAACGATCACACTGAACAGTCCTTGAGCAATGCGCTCGACCTCCTCCTCGATCTCAACCTCTCCGGCCTTGGGGTCGCTCAGCACAACGTAGCTGGGACGCGTGTCGGCCGGCTTCCCTCCATTGCCCTGCGTGATCAACCTCCTTGGGAGCAAAGAGAAAAGGTTGGAGGACGGAACGACAAAGTCGAGGAACTGGTCGTGAACGGAGCTGATGAGCTGTCCAGTGGCTCCGGACGGGTCGTTCGCAAGAATCAGCGAAGCAAACTCCTCGAGGAGAGAGCGAGGAAGGGCGGATGTGAAGGAGAGATGGTAAGAGGAGTACAGGGGTGGGTTGAGATCCTCAGCGATGCGCTTAATGTTCTCGCGCGTCGGTGCAACAAAGTAAATCGCGGGAACGTCATTGAGCGGTGGCCGCTTTTGATGCAGACCCCTGGATGTCAGTGTGCACCAGGGCTTGGACGGTACTCACATGTGGAGGGTTACACCCTGCTCTCGGAAGTCGGGGATGCGGAAGGACGGAGCAAAAATGGCCTGGCTCTGCTCGTCCAGGATGAGAACCTTCCACACGAGCTGCGACTGAGCATTCTCATCGAAAGCTGTTGACGGCGTTCCCGGACGGGGAGTCTGTCCCGACGAGCTGGAGCTCGTTGCCGGCGGCTGGTTCAAATTGAGGAGAGTGCGCAGCGCATTAGTCTGCGACTGCAGCAAAGTCGGGTGCGACATGCTGGCTCACAAGTGGACGCTGGGTATCGGAGCTCGCGGTGTCGTCGGTGTGCGCAACAAGTCGACGAGCGTGTCCCCATGTCGGTGTCATAGCCGTGCCGCTCGTCGTGGAAGGTGGCGAAGTTGGTCACGTGATAATAATGTGTTTTTCCCTGACTCCAAAACTGAACTTCAAGAATTCTGAGGGCATGTTCACGACGCTCTCGACGCTTACCCATCCACCCAAAACCTTGCTTCTCGGCCTTAACAGCTCTCTCCTGTTGTCAAAGCAAGTCCTGCGCGAACACGATCTCTCGAGGAATTGACTTCGCGGCCCCTTCATCCGCGTAGCTTCCCGTTCCGACTGTCCCTTCGTGTTTATCTGGCGTAAGCCGATCCCCGGCAGAGAGAGTGTTGCCGCCCGTGGTCAAGATGGACGCCGAAGAGTACATCGATCACAACGCCAAAGAATACGTGTCTCAAGATGCCCCGAAGCGCATGTGAGTACAATTGGTCTGCGCGTACCGTGCTGACGAGACAGTAAGCAGATCCAGTTCCAACCCTTCGCGCCAAAGGATATCGTTCGTGTGGCCGAAGTTGAGGTAACGATCCCGGAGCTGTATAAGAACCACGACGATGGAACGCGTACGACCGCCCCGCAGGGGCCTTTGGATGCTGCAATGGTGAGCTACACTCCTCTGCAAGCGCTAATGTGCAGGGACCCAACGAGAAGGGCGGCACATGTCCCACCTGTCACCAGGACCACACGCACTGTGTGGGACACTACGGCTACATCAAGCTTGCCCTCCCCGTCTTCCACATTGGCTACTTCCGCCCCACAATTAACATGCTGCAGTGCATCTGTAAGGTAAGCTACTGATAGCCTGCCTCTACTGACATCCAGACCTGTGCGCGTGTACTTCTCCCTCCGGAGGAGCGAGCTTCGTATCTGAAGCGTTTCCGACGACCGCGCATCGAAATGCTTCAGCGACAGGCTGCGTCCAAGGGCGTCCTTGCTTCTTGCAAGAAAGTGACGACCTGCCCTTACTGCTTCGCTCCGAATGGTATCGTTAAAAAGTCGGGTACCCTCAAGATTTCTCACGAGCCCTTCCGTTCGAACAAGAACGCCGATGCCAAGGCCGAGTGGCTGAACGGCTTCAAGGCTGTGGTTTCCGAACAGTCGGCCATCGGCAGTCACCTCGGCAAGTCCGTGGAGGACCTGAACCCGTTAAAGGTCCTGGAGCTGTTCCGTCGCGTGACAGCAGAGGACTGTGAGCTGTTGTCCTTGCACCCCGACGTTGGTCGCCCCGAAGACTACCTCTGGACATACATCTCTGTGCCCCCGCCCTGTATTCGTCCGTCGGTGGCCTCGGAGGCCGGAAACAACGAGGATGACCTCACCGCGAAGCTTGTCGAAATCGTCAACCAGAACCGCATGCTGTTGTCCGTCATGGAGAAGGGCCAGGGATTGACGCAGACGATCCTTAACTGGGACACTCTGTCGCAGATGGTTGCCCTGTACATCAACTCTCAGACCCCCGGTATCAACACGACGGGATCGAAGCCCATCCGTGGTTTTGTGCAGCGTCTGAAGGGTAAACAGGGTCGTTTCCGTGGAAACCTTTCGGGCAAGCGTGTAGACTTTTCAGGCCGAACGGTCATCGGTCCCGACCCGAACCTGCGTATCGACGAGGTCGCCGTGCCAGAAAAGATTGCCGTCAAGCTCTCGTACCCGGAACGCGTCACCGACTACAACATGGAGGCGATGCGCAAAGCAGTGGTCAACGGCTCAAAGATGCACCCAGGAGCCAACATTATCGAGACTGGTCGCGGCCCCTTCCCGCGTCGTTCGCTACAGCCGATCAAGGACATTGAGCGACGAAAGGAGATGGCCCGCAACTTGCGCGTGGGTGACATTGTTCACCGCCACGTCCGCGACGGAGACATCGTTCTCTTCAACCGTCAGCCCTCGCTGCACAAGATCTCTATCATGTGTCACCGTGTTCGTGTTCGTCCATGGCGTACTTTCCGTCTCAACGAGTGTGTCTGTAACCCCTACAACGCCGACTTTGACGGAGACGAGATGAATTTGCGTAAGTTGCCGAGCTGTTCAAGTAGCTGACAGGACAGACGTTCCGCAGACCGAGGAAGCTCGTACCGAGGCTCTGGAGCTCATGTCCGTGAAGAAGAACCTGGTTACGCCACGTAACGGAGAACCCATTATTGCTGCTATCCAGGACTTCATCACCGCGTCCTATCTTCTGTCGCGACGAGATCGTCTTCTCGACCGCCAGCAGTTCACGCAAATCTGCTCCTACCTCGGAGATGGCGATCTCGAGATCGACCTGCCGCCCCCCACGATCTGGAAGCCTGTTCGTCTCTGGACCGGCAAGCAGGTTTACAACCTTCTGATGCGACCCAACAAGAAGTCCAAGGTTCTGATCAACCTTGAGGCCAAGTGTCGTACCCTCATTGAGCCGCGCAAGGAGGACAAGTTCTTCATGGACATGGCCCCCAACGACGGTTATCTGGTCATCCAGAACAGTGAAATCATGTGCGGTGTCTTTGACAAGAACACGGTCGGAGACGGCAAGAAGAACTCAGTGTTTGGTGTCATGCTCCGCGACTATGGACCAAACGAGGCAGCCATTGCAATGACGCGCCTGGCCAAGCTCAGCGCCCGTTGGCTCGCGAATCAGGGCTTCTCGCTCGGTATCAACGACGTCATTCCAGGAGAGATGCTTCAGAGCAACAAGGATCAGATGGTGGAGGAGGCGTACGAGAAGTGCGAGTCTAATATTGAGCTCGCCAAGCGTGGTAAGCTCCAGAACGCCCCGGGATGTGACCAGGAGACGACTCTCGAGCAGCTCATCTCCGGTATCCTCTCCGGTGTTCGTGAGGCGGTCGGAGACGTGTGTATGAATGAGCTCAGCCGACACAACGCTCCGCTTATCATGGCTACGTGTGGTTCCAAGGGTGAGATTTGCGAAGGCGACGTTGGCTGACCGCAGGTTCTCGTATCAACGTCGCGCAGATGGTCGCTCTAGTCGGACAGCAGATTATTGCTGGTCACCGTGTCCCTAACGGTTTCCAAGATCGTTCGTTGCCTCACTTCCGCAAAAAGTCAAAGAACCCGCCGTCAAAGGGTTTCGTCCGAAACAGTTTCTTCTCCGGTCTCACCCCTACCGAGTTCTTGTTCCACGCCATCTCTGGTCGTGAAGGTCTTGTCGACACTGCAGTCAAGACTGCCGAGACTGGTTACATGGCGCGTCGTTTGATGAAGGCGCTCGAGGACCTTTCCACGCAGTACGACCTCAGTGTCCGTAACAGTGTCGGCGGTATCGTGCAGTTCCAGTACGGTGACGACAACCTGGATCCTGCGTGTCTCGAGGGTGATGCCACACCCGTCGAATATGTCCGTAGCTGGAACCATGCTTGCGTGAGTTTTGTACGCCGGTGCGTCAAGCTAACAAACAGAGGACCGCTTCTAGTGAGGGCCGTCCGCTTTATCCCTACGAGATCCAGCAAATCGCCCGTCGTATTTACCCCGAAATCGTCGCCGAGGAGTACGCAGAGGAGGATGTCAAGCCGCGTCGCGGTCAGAAGCGCAAGGCGCCGCCAACGATCCCCGAGGTGCCCGTCGAGTGGCGTCAGGTGCACGTCAAGTTCCGTGAGAACACGTACAAGTTTATCGTGGACAAGATTGTCAACACGATGGCTGCTCAGCGTGAGGCTCGCGGCGTTCCTGCCGCGCTCACGAAGGAGGAGATCGAGGAGTATGAGGACTTCCTCGACCCGCACGACCCCGCAGTTCGCGCTGTGCTGAACAACTCGCACAAGGTGACCGAGGCGCAGATCGAGTCGTTCCTCGAGAACTGTCGCACGCGCTACCTGCTCGCGAAGATTGAGCCCGGGTCGACTGTAGGAGCCGTCGGTGCCCAGTCGATTGGTGAGCCTGGAACGCAGATGACGCTCAAGACTTTCCACTTCGCCGGTGTCGCGTCCATGAACGTCACTCTCGGTGTCCCCCGTATCAAAGAGATTATCAACGCCGCCAAGGTCATCTCGACGCCTATTATCACGGTCGAGCTGCAGAAGCCCGAGTCCGAGCCCGTCGCGCGTATCGTCAAGGGCCGTATTGAGCGGACAACGCTGGGCGAGATCGCGTCCATCATCGAGGAGGCGTGGACTGGTGCTGGCGCCTTCATCGAGATCCACATCGACATGGACGCCATCCAGAAGCTTCAGCTCGAGATCACGCTCGACACTATTAAGACCGCCCTTGTGCTTGCGCCCAAGCTCAAGATCAAGGACAGCGATGTCACGATCAACTCGAGGAAGGCGCGATTGAAGATCTATGTCGCTGACCCGCTCGACAAGGACAAGTGCGATGGCGTGTACGAGCGACTCAAGTCGCTGAAGCGCGCGATCCCTTCAGTCCAGGTCAAGGGTCTGCCCGAGGTCGACCGTTCAGTCATCACGCACGACGAGAAGAAGAAGGGCGAGTACAAGCTCCTGGTGACCGGTTACGGCCTGCAGGAGGTTATGGGCACGGACGGAGTGAACGGCTACCAGACGAGGACGAACCACGTCATGGAGACGGCCAAGGTGCTCGGTATCGAGGCGGCGCGCCAGACCATCTACGACGAGATTCAGCACACCATGCGCTCTCACGGCATGAGCATCGACCCGCGTCACGTCATGCTTCTCGGAGACGTCATGACTTACAAGGGCGAGGTGCTCGGTATCACCCGTTTCGGTGTCCAGAAGATGAAGGACTCGGTCCTCATGCTGGCGTCGTTCGAGAAGACAACCGACCACCTCTTCGACGCCTCCCTCTACTCCAAGGTTGACGACATTCAGGGCGTCTCCGAGTGCATCATCATGGGTACCCCCGCACCCAGCTGCGGAACTTCTCTTGCCTCCATCGTCACCCCGCCTCCGTTCCTTCCCAAGCGTAAGCCGCTCATCTTTGAGGAGGCGTACCGTGCCGGCCGCGAGAGGCGCGCTGCCAATATGGACGTGGACATGTAAGGGGCCGACGGGAAGAACAGTAAAAGCATATCAACCAATATCCAGCATTTCATCCATTTTGGGATTCGATTACCAAAGCATTACCTCGATGCAGCGTGTGTATATAGTTATAACAGGACTCCGCATGCATCAACACAGTCTAGTTTTAGCCTCAGGGATTGTCGGTGCGGTTCTGCGGGCGTTTATAGGTATAAGTAAGTCTATAGAGGACAGAGAGGGACGAAGAGGACAGAGAGGGACGAGGGACAGTTGGAGGTTTAGAAGGAGAGGTGCTTGTTAAGCGCCGCCTTGACCTGCTCGTAGACCTGGGGGATGGGAACGCTCGAGTCAATGTCGGCGACCTTGCCCTCCTTGCGGTACATGTCGACGACGGGCATTGAGGTCTCGCGGAAGGTCTTGAAGCGCTTCTTGAGCGACTCGAGGTTGTCGTCGTCGCGGCCCGAGGTCTTGGAGCGCTCAATGATGCGCTGGGTCATCTTGTCCTCGTCGGTGTTGATGAAGAGGACAAAGGCCGAGGGACAGACCTATAAGTTAGCTTGATTTGCTTGCTTTCATCTTCTTCTGGACACTGCTGATCTCTGGGGAAATGAACCACGAAACACGGCACGAGATACTCACAACCTTATCGAACATGAGGGCCTGGTCCATCTTGCGGGGGAAGCCGTCGATAAGGAATCGGCCCTTGCCGTTCTCCCATCCGGCCTCCAGCTTGGGGTCCGTGAGCTTGGGAGGGTTAGCCATGGCGTCGGCCATAGCGTTCTCAAGGAGCTGGGGGTGTCAGCAACTGCACGCACGATACGCTCGAGCTACGCCCGATGAAACTTCAAGGGAACGTGTGCGGATCGCTGCTGTTTCGGCAACCAAACGCTCCAGAGACAAGGGGGAGGACACGGGGTCTTGTGCGGACCAGAGGACCTGCACACGCGCTTCTGTCCATAGCCGAACCATCGAATAGGCTACCGCTCGCGCATTTGCTCACCTTGATCGTGATCTCCATGGGGACGATGAGGCCCTCCTTGATGTAATGCCTGATCAGGTCGCCGTACTGAGATCCAGGACGCTCCTGCTCAGCGCGGAGAAGGTCGCCGGCACTGAGGTGGACGAAGCCGTAGTCCTTGACCATGAGCGCGCACTGCGTTCCCTTGCCTGGATTATGTCAGTGCCATTCTCTCGCACCTTCAATGTTCCTCCGCGCTCCACCTCTTCCCCTCACAGGGGAAGCCTAGCAATCCGGCTCGAAGGGCAATATCGAATAGCCTGGCGACATGCTGTCACGGTGCCGACCAGCAAACGTCCTGCTCCCAACCCAAAATTCCATGGTCTCAAACTTACCAGCTCCAGGTCCGCCCAGGACGAAGACGACGGTGACCTTGCTCGGGTCGAAGACGGGCTTGTCGCCCTTCCAGAGGTCCTCGGCCTTGGGAACTTGAACGTTGCTCATGGTGTTTGACGGTGATAGTTTGAAAGAACGTAAGAGGAAATGTCAAGAATTGTTGTTGCCGGGAAGCCAACGCGTCAACCGATCTTTCGACCGTTGTGTGGTGCAATGGGCCGGCCGTGCCTGAATTTAGGTCTGTTGGTGCGACTTTCCGGTGGTGCGGCGGGACAGGAATACGTCAATTGCGCTGCCATAGTAGCGTCGGTGAGCCGGAACACATGCATGTGCTGAACCGGTGCTGTTGAAGTCCATGCATAACCCTATAACGTACAACATGTAGTCCGACGATTGAGTATATCTATGTAGGAGTAGAGGCCCGCGACCTAATTGCCTTCCCGCTGCTCGCCTCCGCCGTTCATATTGGCAGCATCCATTGCCCTCTTGGCAAGGTGCCGGAGCACCTCGGGCTTGTCGCCAAACTCAACCAGTCTGAGTCGAAGCGAGTAGCACACTGCTGTCAGCACGGGCACATTTATACATGCTTCATCTGGCCGGCTGCACGGTCCGTCCTCGGACAGCACTCACCCTTCTCAATCTTTTCGAGAGATCGCGTAGTCTCCTCCTGCTTCTTCTTGAGCTTGTGAAGAGTCGACTCGGGGATGGAGTCAAACACTTTGGTCAGCTAAGCAGTTTAGACATAGACTCACTGCTCTTGACAGTACGGACAAAGTCGCACACCTGCAGCGGCGTCTCGTGGTCACCAGTCGAGAGCGCGTTGGTGGCGTATCTCATAAGCTCCCCAGTGAGGTCGGACATGCCGAGGATATAGTCCTCCGGTGTGATGACAACAAGCTGCGGTCAGCCTCTAACGTAGCAGATTTAACTCACTTTCTCGCCCTCCTCATCAGTCAATGCCTGCTGAAGGTGCGGCAAGCTGACGAGCTCGCCGCACTCGAGATAGTACAGGAAGCTGTAACCCTCGATGTACTCCTCCAAGCCTCCGGAGCTGGCTATCAGCTGTACTCTTCTGTAGCAACCTACACAGGGCGGCTGAACTTCCAAAAGTTCTCCAACGTCTCGCCATCCTCCTCCGTTCCAGATGCCAACTCGTCGCGAACCGCCACGAAGTTTTTGTAGATCTCGCGCTCCTTCGTTCGAGCGTCCTTCAAATTCTTCTCACGGGCAGCAGGAGGGGAGGTCGCTCCGCGGTGCAGATGGAAGATGAGCTTCTTCGACAGCTGCGTGATTGCGCGCGACAGGATAATGACCTTCTCTCGACGTTCATTCTAAAGTCAGTTGCGCCTGTGACAAGTTACCTACATTCGCGTCGAGCTCGGCACGGTACGACTCGAAAGTCTTGGCGAGATGCTCGCGGCGAGTCATCGCCGACGAGGCGTCGGGCATTGCGACGTCTGCGGAAGCCATGGTGAAGGGATATTTACAAAGGGGTTGTAGCTCTAGGCAAGGGTCAAGTCGCGCTCGACTTTCATCATGCAACCACTGAAAGTTCGTCATCACGTGATAAGCCACCTCGAGAGACAAGCTAATGCGCAACAACAACAGATGCTAATCGACCCTGAAAGTCATTAGAACGCTCAGGACGCGTCGTCACAGGCGGCGCACACATTGGGAGTCCAACGTCACTCGCGAGGTCAACGTTGCAACTGCGCAGAACACCCTCTTTCAACAACACCTCCCCACCATGGCATCGCTCCGTACAAGGAGCCAGTACATTCCAGCCAACAAGGCGCCTGTCGGGCTGCCGTCTGGCCCGGCGGGCGGCCAATCTGCGCGCCGATTGCCTGGCCCCAACTTGTTGCGCAAGGATAACCGCAAGAGTAGAGTGGACGAGAAGATGAAGCAGAGGCGAATGAGCATGCGGTGGGTACCGAGGCCGTGTGTCGCTTACCTCTCAGATACGCCGCGCCACCTGACTTTGGCATGACGGGACACGACAGTCCCAACTTTCTCGCCCAAGACCCATACCAGCAGTATCAGTACACCCTGGATGTCGCTCCCCCGATAGCAGAGATGGATTACGACGACGAGATCCCACCACCGCCAAACGTTATGAACAGGCAGAGTACCTACCAGACCTCGCCGAGGACGTACGAGGAGCGCGAGCTTGAGGCCGACAATGAAGAGCGTCATGAGGATATCCGACCAAGGAGGGTAACGAACGAAGACGAGTGGGACTTTAGCGAGCTCAGCAAAGACGGCGTCGACGTTCAGGCTTTCATTAGGAAGAATCTGAGCGGTGCCGATGATGAGGAGAAGGCGCGTTTCATTGCTGCCCTGCAAAAGCAGAAGCAGAGTAACGCGAAGGAGGTGAGCTAATCGGTCCTCGACGATCAAGCACTGACAAGCAGCTTGAAACGACAGTTTTCAAGAAGTGCGTGGTCCGCTAGCTCGATTTTCGTATCAGAGGCACTGACCTATAGCTATGCCGAGTTCGTGTCCATCTCGAAAGAGATTTCTACACTGGAAAACGACATGTTCGAGCTGAAGGAGCTGCTCACGGAATGGAAGGGTGTGCCGCAGTTGATGGGAATGGAAGACACGTTGGCGCCCACGCTGGACAAAGATGGCAATGGTAGGAGCTGGAAAATGACAAGGCTGACTCTGCAGTCGAGCGTCACCGTCAGCGAAGACATTCACCGGGTGACTTGCAGCAATTATACAAGCAGCAAGTCACGCATCTGTGGACAACTGTTGAGGGCTCCCAAAAGTACCTGCCGATCGTTCCCGGTCGCCATCTTGTGTACGAGGCGCATACCTTCGTTGAACTCAACCCGGCAACCTACAAGGCGAAGCAGAACGTGTCGCTCTTCCTCCTCAACGACCTGCTACTCGTTGCTGGGAGACGGCGATTCAAGGGTGCCCCGGGTATGGACCGTGAGGCGCAAGAGCGAGGTCGTATGGTCGCCGAGCGCTGCTGGGTCCTCACTGATCTGGTCGTCGTCGATCTCAAGGACAGCGGTGATCTGACCAACGCCCTGAAGATCAAGCGAGGCAAAGAAGTTTGCGTGTACCGCGGCAGCCGGCCTGAGGACAAGAAGGCTTTGCTCGCGGCTTTCAGGCAGGTGTCTCAGGAGCTTGCCGAGAAGCGACGAAAGGAGAACGAGGCGGAGCAGGAGCGCCGAAAGACGTTGTGGCAATCCGAGGCTGGTCCCAACTCTCGAATGACCCGCATGTCACTCTTCGTCCACGAAGGTTCCACTGGCAACGACCGGCAGTTGTCCACCATCGGTACCAGCCTCACGAACTCGAAGGACCTGCTCTGGATCGATGACTTTGGAGACGACCTGACGATGGCGATCGCAACGAAGGACTGGGAAGAGGCGGTGCGCCTCTTTGAGAGGGGGCAGGATCTCCTCCGCACTGTTCAGGGCAATAAGGAGGCCACGGAGATGTTAAAGTTCCGTCTAGACTCGCTGCGACCGCCTCTGGTGGAGAAGATCGCTGGAGATCTCCGATTGTCTGAGCTGCGGAAAGGTTCAGCAGCGAACCTCATCAGTCTCCTGATCCGTCTCGACCGAGCCGAGCTCGCCCGCGACACGTTCCTCGCCGCGCGACATGAGCACTTGGAGGGACTGGTCCGCAGTATCAAGCACGAAGGGGACATTATTCTCTACATCAATGAGCTTGCCATTGTGTGCTTCACAGTGATCAAACACACGTTCGACTGGTTCAACAACGCCTTCAACAACAGTAGGCTTGCCTCTGGGTTCGTGACGTGGGCCAAGGATCAGATCGAGTACTTTGGAGACATCTTCCGTCGCCAAGTGTACGCGCCCACCACTAGCGAAGGCGTGATCAGTGACTGTCTGCGAGTCACGCAGAATGCGAACAGGAAACAGCTGCGGGAGATTGGCCTGGATTTCACCTTTCTGCTCAATGCCGCCACGGAGCGACCCGGTGAGAGCTCCGCCGCTGCCAACGGTGTCCAGCGGACACCCGCGTCACGTGCCGACATGGGGACGCCCCGACGACCGACGCTTAGCCCGCTCGCAACAGGTACCCCGTCACCAACACCGTCAGCGGATCTGTCCAAGGGCAGCACGGCACCTCTTAGCATCAAGAACAGACGTCCGAGTGCAAGCACCTTAACCCCGCAAGAGTCGTCGCGTGGAGAGCTACCGTCACGCACTCAGCGCAGCCCGCAGCGCAGTCCGCAGAAGCTTGCTCCATCTGCTACGCCCAAGGAGCGCCGACCGTCACACGGGTCTAGCTCAGGTTACGGACACTCTCCCCACGACAGCTTGGCACCCACACCATCCTCGGCTCTGAGCACCAGCCCGTCATCGCAGTTTCCGGGATCGAGCAGGACCCCATCTTCTCCGTACGCGCAGCGCAGCGAGCTGCGCAGTGTCAGCAACATGTCCAACGCGTCGGCCTCGGCATCGACGCTCAGCTTGTCTAGCACGCTGTCTGGGCCGCCACCGACCCGTCCCGAACGCAGGAGCCGGCCACCAGCCGTGCGCTCTGGCAGCAGCGGCCAGCAGTTCCCTCACGACCACATTTAGCCCACCAGTTGTACACCATACTCAACACTCGTTTTCTATATTACATATATGCAATTATCACTCTGTCTACCCGAACATCTTAGAGAAAGCCTTCTTCTGCGCGGCCGTGCGGGCGGCTTTCTTGCTCTCAACTTCCTTGAGGGCACGGGTGACGCCAGCGTCGCCGGGCACGACCTCGAGGGCCTTCTTCAGGTCGGACTCGGCACCGTCCTCGTCCTTGAGCTGGATACGCGCGAGGCCGCGGCGGTAGAGCGCCTTGCCCTTCTCGGCGTCCGAGATGGGGGAGACATTGAGGGCCCGGGTCGCGAGGCTCTCAGCGAGTTTGGCCTGGGGCGGGTTGCACTTGAGCGCGGAGAGGGCCGCGTTCGTGAGGAGCGGGAAGCGCGTATCCCGGTACGACTTCACGACGGCCGGGTCGGCGTCGGCGGGGAAGTCGGGGTGCTGGTCGAGGTAACGGAGAGCCTTCTTGTACTTGGCGAGGGCCTGGACATAGTCGCCCTTCTTGAACTCCTGGGTGCCGAGGTCCTTGAGCGTGGTCGCAACCTTGAGCGCCTCCTCGGGCTTCTCGGGGTCGATCTTCTCCTCGTCCTGCGGGTAGTCCTCGTAAACGTCCTCGGAGCCCATGGCGTCCAGCGCGTTCTGGCGCTTGCGGTCCTCCTCCTCGACCTCCTCGGGGCTCAGAACACCGGCGCCAGTGATGACGACGGGCTCCTCGGGGCGGTCGTTGGCGCTCGTCGGGAGCGACTCGATCTCGCGCACGATTCCCTTGCCGCTGCGCACCTTGCCAAACACGACGTGCTTGCCGTTCAGGTGCGGTGTCGGCACCGTCGTGATGAAGAACTGCGACCCGTTCGTCCCCGGTCCAGCGTTCGCCATCGACAAAAGCATCGGCTTGTCGTGGATCTTGTCAAAGTTCTCGTCCGCAAACTTCTCGCCGTAGATCGACTCGCCGCCAGTGCCGTCGCCGCGCGTGAAGTCTCCGCCCTGGATCCTGTGCTGTCAGCAGATGCTCGTCTGGACCGCGACAGTGTAACGCACATAAAGTCCTTGATGATGCGGTGGAAGCCAGATCCAACGTAGGTGAGCTTCTTGCCCTCTGCGTTGGTCTTGTCGCCGATACAGAGGTGCTTGAAGTTGTCGGCGGTCTTAGGCACGCTGTTGTCAGATACCTGCTGTTGGGAACAACTTACACATCGTCGAAGAGATCAAACTCGATGCGGCCCGCGGGCTTGCCGCCGATCGAGATGTCAAAGTACGCGACAGTGTTGGGCATGGTGATGATGTGGAATCGAAAGCGCGGCGACGTTCAGATCTCGACACGCAGCTAGAGGTGGTCGCAGAACTCCGATCAATCAGGGGCCCGTTTCTGGAAATTTCGACGTCATTCCCTATTGTGTCGCGTCAATGTTCACCTTCACTACACATGCATCGCCGCCGCTGCGTCTGCAGCTTTGCAGGAACCGATCCCAGGCGGGTACATCATCTCTCCCCCTTAGCAGTGAGCTGCCGACGCGTCGTGAGATTCAGGTGAATGTCCGGCTCACTGCCGACGAAATGACTGCCAGTGACCGTGGCGTCATTACGTTCCTAAAGCCCCTGTCCGTTTCACATTATGCATGATCTGCCAAAAAGTGTCCTAGGCGTGCAATACAAAATCAATCAAACCGTGGGCTCGTAGCTCTACTCGTGCTCCGCATGCTCATCGTCATCGACTCAGACAAATTCACCCGTGAAGAGTTTCGGCTGATGTCGCCTAACGTCCTGTTCCGAGGTATCGGCTGCCACAGCTCGTTGTTGTCGTCGTCCCCGGCCCTCGCCACGCCGAGGTTCGGCGATCGGTTGGCCGTGCTTGTCGAAGACGCGAACATTGAGGATGGAGGGTCGTTCCAGCCACCAGCGTTCGAATAGGGAGAGACGTGGGCGGACGACTGGCTGCGTGGAGGACGGAGAGGGGGTCCCTTGGGCGGAGAGGGCGGTGGGCGTGTTACGTCCATCATGGATGCGGAGCGATTGTTGTAAAAGTACCCGCCCGATGATGACCCTTGACCACTGGGGCTGGGAGGTTGAGACAGACTGCTCGGAAGGCCATGACCCAGACTTGAAAAGCCCATTCCGGCCTTGCCTTTGCCTCTGATGGCGTTCGACACTTTGCGACCCCATTTGGTGAAGGATATGCCGTGGTGTGGACGCTCCTTGCCTGTATCGCCGCTCTCCACCATTTCGTAGGCATCCGCATCCGGTCGCATGAATCCCTTGAGCACGACTGGCAGCGACTTTGACCGCATGATGGATGGCCGCTTCCTTCGAAGCCTCCTACGAAAGAAGGCGTTGTAAACGATTATCAGGAGCAGGACGGCAATCAACACATAGACCCATAGTCCATAGCGGAGATCGTAGCCGAGGATGGATGTGCCGCCAGTGCTGTAGTAGGGGTTGCCCCCCACAGCCCTGCTAGCTTCGATAACGATCTTGCCGAGTGTCCACGAAATGGCCGTTGCGCCAACCTCGTCCATGGACTGGAAATGAGAAGTCTGCTTATCCTTCTCATCAATCAAACCTTTCTCGCGAGCACGTTCAAGGGCCGCCGAGTTTGTGTCGCCGCCATCTTCTGCCAGAGTGGCGTTTCCGGCCTGATCGATCATGCGCGGAATGCCGATTCCATCATGTAAGACATTGCTGATCCAAGCACCCTTGAAGCATTGCAGCTTTAGTCGCTCCAGGTTGACGCTGTCGGAATGGTGCTTCCACTCGTTGACCTTGTCCTCAATTTGAGCCCAATCCTTGGCACAAAAGTCGGACATTCCGCGCTCCCACTCTCCCCAGTCCCATACCCCACCGAGACCTAGCACTTGCTGGGCGGTGTACCAGTACTCAGAGATTCCAATAAAGCCACGCTGGTCCTGTCGCTCGAAATCGATACGCGGAGTCGCCATGCCACCGAACAGGCAGTGATCAGTGGGGCATGGCTTGTCATGCTCGAGTAACGGCTTCAAAGAGGCCAAACACTGAGTGAAGGAGCCAGATCCCTTGATGTCGGGACGCTCGGAAGGATCAGCGCTCCCAACGACCAGTCCGGATGGCAGACATGGATCCTCCACCGGGCTAGTCCGATCGCCGCCTTGGCCCTCGATCTTCGACTTCCAAGCGTCCACCAAAGCGTCTTCGTAGCGATCGCGAGCCTTGTTGGTCCCAAAGCCGAGCCAGGAAGCAGCGAACACTGGCCACTCAACAACCTCACCAGACAATAGCCTCAGCGAGACCTTTGAGAGTTGATCTCCAGGAAATCGAGATTGCGACAGCTCCTCCAGGGACGGTGAGAAAGCAAGCTGGGTACTGGCGCCACCCATATCGAGGAACCCAAAGGTTGGCGAGTGGTGATTGATATCGACTGGAGTGACCACCGAGTCATCACTGCCATCTGGCGGCGGGAGGGCGAGGGGAGCTAGTGGGAGCAGGTGATCGTGCTCCTCCTCGCCGTTTTGGTGCTGTCGCTCGGGAGCGTGTCCGAATCCGTCCATTAGGTAGTTGACAGCAACCCAGCCCCAAAGACCCTCCTCTTCACCAGAGATGATGCGGACACTCTCTCCGCAAGGATCACTACCTCTGGGAGAGTCGAGGAGAAAGGGCGTTTGAGCCTTGATCGCTTCGCAAGTCTGCCGAAGAATGGCAGCCTGTTTCTCCTCCGGGATGAGTCGCATCCCTGCGGTCGCGAGCACGTAAATGGGAGTTTTACTTTGCTGAGATGGAGGAATGTGGTGCAGAGCATGCTCCAGTAGCGGCGTCAAGTACTCTGACACGTTTTCCGGCTCCATCTTGGATATGCCTAGCACTGTCAGCGGTGACTCTCAGCCCGTTACTCACCTGGCTCGACACGCTTAACCCAGTCCTCTCCCTTCACGCCCTTTCCGACACGCACGAGTCGTCGGAGCGCCCTCATCTCCATCTCTGCTTGCGAAGCCTTTCCCTTCCCTCGGATACTGTCCCACCACCACCACTTCTTTGATGGTTTGGCTCCATCGTTTCCGAGGCCAGCGGCGCGGGCAGCCCTAACCTCTTGGATGATCTCGTCTCTCTCTAATCCCGGATCTCTCCACGAGTAAATCTGGAGCCTGGACCCAGAGCTTCCCGCGTCAACAACAAGGGCATAATGTGTCGAACTTCCGGGGACTGGCGGAGCCATCGAGTTGGATTAAGGGGTGGTCTGTTATCGGCGGGCGTCGGTAGCTGAGTTCGAACCGGTCATATAGGACGTATCGATTAGAGCAAGGTATAAAACATACACACGAGCGAGACGGTAAGGCCGGCGAACGTCAATGGTGAAGTTGGGAAAGTGATGTGTCGGAACGCGGGAAACACTCGTCAAAAGGCTCACCAGCGTGGACAGCGAGCATTAAGGGTATCGAGGCACGGTCTAATGGCGCGTTCCACTTGACTGCCCAGTAACCCCAGTCTTGAACCTGCTGATTACAAAAACAACCCTTTGCATTAAGAACACGGTCTGTAAGACGTGAAAGTAACGGACTCTACCTGTGCATTCTCGTGTGCTACATGTCCATCTACAAGCCGGGTGCCCTGCGAGAGGATTATAGTGCAGCGACTGGCGTAGGCTAGCCACGCGACAGACCATCCGGTCACCTGCTCGGTTGGGAAGGTAGTTGCGAGAGGCTGAGGGCCGTACTCGGATCGGTTTCTGCACAGTAGGGCTTTCATGTCACTAATTGTCGGGTTCCATGGTTGATCACTGGCCGGGATCTTGGAGAACAACAAGGGTGTACTTCTCGTCTGAAGGTTAGCTCGATCCGTACAAGAGATTGGCTCACCAGGCGTAATAATGAGCTCGTGACGCTTAGTCCGGATCCTCATGAGCTTCAGCTCGTCCTCCTAGTCAGCTGTTGCAGGTCTAGCGAGCACTTACGCCTTCGTCGACTGCACTGACCGCACCCGCCGTAGCCGCGACAACGGCTTCCAAGCTTCCAGCATACTTCCGTCCGCTCTCTCCCTCAAAGACGGAGCCGGTGCTCTGAATAATCCCCGATCCTGTTCCGCCTGCGCGAGCTAGGATCATGACACCGCGGACATTGCGGTACGCGGAGAGTCGAGAGAGGGTGGCTTCGATTTCGGGGGGAGGAGCGCTCGGAGCGACAGGCGCACCAGCGGCTGTGATCGGGGTGCTGGGAACGGTTGCAGAGGACACAGAGCCGTTGGGGATCGTGACGTCGGCGGGCATGACTGGTGAAAGTATGTGGAAAGTGTGGTCGGAAAACAAGCATCAGCCTCGAGCGGCGGCCATCCCGTGTCAACAATGATCACACTGTGACCTCCACATGCCCGCTTCCGTGTTGTTTCAAAACTGGCCATGCATGGTCTCATTTCATCCCTAGTCACATTAGCTCTAGGCGTCGAGAATGATACGTTGTTATATATCCCGGCTACAACATTACGAGGTGTGTACGATCAACAGCTCGCAATCCGTGTCATTGGGTTTTTAGTTCTCCAACGCAATTCCATTCCGTGAAGCTCGTATAGTGTAGGTGGTTATCACCGTCCGTTGTGGTTCTTTACACCCCGTTCCGGGCTGACCGCTGTTCGACTCAGCGTGCGAGCACGTCTTTTTGTTCTCACCCTCTGGTGTGGGAGACTGGCTCAGGGGCGGCGCCGCCTGCGGGCCCCGACCAAGTGACAAGACGTACCCAATGCGCCTGTGTCGCTACTCGAGGAATGGAAGGGTAACGCACAGTCGTCGGATTGTCGGACAGCATCGAGTTTCGGAGCGTACGAGCGTGACCAGGGAACACGGGGTACAATGCGGGCTAAACTGGGAAGCCCTGTATGGTGGTAGAGCTAGTGTCTTTGGCGGAAGGCACTACCAAGCCATCATTCCTGCATGTGGTTAAAGATCTCGAGGACATGCTCACGAGCTCGGACCTCCTCGGCCATATTGCAAGCCAAGTGCGCCATCAACCCCTTGCCTGCATCGTCCGTAGACAGGCGGCAGGGCTGATGGCCTGATGGCTGCCATGCAGCCTGCCAGCGCAACGCGTGCCGCATCGGAAACGCAGGCAGTGCGCAGGCGCCTGATGAATGCTCCTTCTGTGCCACCATCTACGCTCCTGCAGCTAGGAGACCTTCCGCTCTGGATTGCTCCGAGCTCAGTCGCCGTTACAAAAGTGCCCACCACATCAATCTTGCTGTTATCGAATGTTCTCTGTCGCGTTGTCAAAACAACTCCCTCTCATCTCCGTCGTCTCACCCATTCTCGACCATTCTTCGGCTGTCTTCGCAAAGTCCAACTCTTGACGTCCCTCCTTTCCCGGCAGCCTCCTCGACCCCCCTCTCCCTAACCGTCACCGCATTGTATCTACCCTTCGCAAAGAAGTCCCTCGAAAGCCTACGCCCGATACGCCTTCTAGAGGTGTATCTTCCCGCTCGCGAGTCGCCCAGAGACAGAGCACCTCGGCAGCTCTGTGACCGACTGATCCTTCCCTTACTTCCATCCTATTCACTGCGACCGGTGCATTGTGCGACGTCTCCCAACTCTGGCAGTGGGGTTTCACCGATTCGTTGACTGTCGCTCGTTTCCTTCTAGTTCGTCACAGTCGTCACAGTCGCGCCCATCGCATCTCCAATCGTCCTCCAACACGGCATATTCCGTTTCATCCTGTCACTTTTCACGCGCGAGTCAGAATGGAGGTCGGGGTGCTGGTAGCTAATGACGGTAAGTAAAGTCTTCCCATTCTTCAAACTCCCTTATCATCGGCGAACGCAGTGGAGGGTGGTTGCAACTCGGCGTGGGCTGTGGATAGTTCAGAGTTAGCTCTGTCCACAGACGTAAGGGTTAGAAAGGTCTCTAGACGCGTCGTCTGTCCATGTCCACCGGTTGAGGTCGTGTTCCAGTGATCGGACAGTTGAGTTCAAGGCACCACTAGTCCAGTTTCTCCGGACTGTCTGCCGAACTCTAAACGCTGGGCCATCACCGGCCACTCTACCCTTCTTCTGGCTCGACCGTACCCTATCTTACCACCCGTCGTCTCAAAAGCGTCGCCTGTCTAGGCGCGACGCGCTCCGGCTTCAAGCCGTGCCCAGTCGGTAGGCAGACCCCGAGCCGGTGCAGTATTCACTATATCATCCACGGCCCGGGGCAGTGATGTCAGTATGATCTGAGTGACTACCTATGGTCCTGGTGTCACATGCCTCGTATTCTGAAGTGATCGGGGGTGTCTGATTTGTGTTCCGACGTCAATGAGGGCAGAGCGCCGAATGAGCTCAGAAAGAAGACAGAGACAGGGTCGAGGGCGACAGAGTTCAAGCTTCCAAGCCCAAGAGGCTCACGATGCCGGGGTCCGGTGGGTCTGCCGATGCTTGCCCACGGCTGTTCTGAGGAGCCGCGGACCTGAATGACCGGGACAGTGGGCGAAAAGCGCACGACTACTGAATGCATGGTGGCTTGGGTTCCCGCTCCCGCTCCTCTGTCCGCGTGCAAGTGAGGGGCCACGTTCGCTTCATTACCAAGCTCAGGCGACCGCGACTATCGTCTGTCTCGGTCAAGCTGCGGCCAGGTGGTGCTGCGTGCTTGCCGATGCACGGCGCGGCGAGGTCGAGACGCGCAAAGGGGTTCGAAAGGGGGCAAAGGGGAGGGGATTGACACCCTGTCTACGTCCGACGGCCGCGTCGAGGTCAACACTGGCGAAAACGGCGGCACAGCGGGGACGACAGACGGACCTGGGCCTGAACCTGCGCCTGGCGGCCGTGTTTCATAATGGCATTAGGAATCTCGTCAATTGATTTCAATACGGTCAACCTCGCTCAGCCCTCGCTAGCCCCTCTGTCCTGACCTGCTCTCCTACTCTGTATTGCCGCTCGTCCACTCTCCCCTCGTGTTATCGCTCTCATCCTCACTCTGTTGTCCTTCTTCTCCACCCCTCATCACGTCTGTCCACACAACACAGATTTGACTTTCATTCCTTTAACGTACCTTAACGAATTGAACGACTCCATCCTATCAACACTCCGGCTCATCCTTGGTCCCTCTCAGTCTCCCGCTCGCCCATCACCCTCCACTGCTTTCTGAGTGATCGCCTTACCCTCATCGCACTCGCCCGTGTCCCGCCTCAGTCGACCTTTCTTTGCTCACGCTACCCAGTTCATCACCTTCCTCCATTATCGAGAGCCCGATCACGCTCGTCGTCGTCGTTCGAGCACCGCCCCTTGCCTGACCCCGTGTTTCCACACACCCGAGGTTACGCCCAGCCCGCTGCTGCTGCACGTCATCAACGTCAGCTAGAAGAACTCGACCAGCTCGAACTATTCGCGGACACTTTCAGCAAGGCCGGAGCTGTCGCTTTTCTTTCCCATTCGCCGACTTCAAGCACAAGCTCTCACACATTTTCGCTCCACGGGCATCAGCAAGTCACAACCGCTCATCGGAACCACAGCCCACGTAAACACCAGCATTCGCCCTCAAACCAATCTTCTTCGAGCTATCAGCGACAGCAGAGGTTCCCTCAGAAGACACCGCCCTCTTCTCGCCCAGGCTCGCGCCCTGGCAGTCGACCAACATCCCCCAGTCGATCTGCTGAAGCCGCGAGCACCCCGTCAGTGCCTGTCCCCCGCCCCGGAAGTAGGAGTTCTCGTCCTGGTTCCCGAAATCGTTTGGTCCGCCCAAGCAACAACAACGCGCCCGCTGCGGAAGGAGGTAGCCAGCCAAAATCTCGGATCCCCACTCGTCCCAGGGCGTACTCCGCGCCAGCTCTCGACTCGGAAATACTGACCGACGAGAACGCTCCACCTCTACCGAACATGTCGATGACCGAATCATATCGGCTTGGCTCACTGGCGAACGGCACCGCCGGTTCCCCAAGCCACATTCCCGTCCTCAAGTCGCGCATTCGTACCACGAGCCTTGCCCGAGTCCCCAGTCCAGACCTGCCGGAACTCACAGACAGATTGGCGGATGTGAGCCCTCCCTTTCGTGTGGATCTCGACGCAGCGCTGGCCGAAATCGAGGATGAACTAGAGGCCCGTGCGAACGAGCGGTTCAGGAAGGCGCAGCCAGCTCCATCGACTCCGTCACCGACGTTGTCGACGTCACCAAATCCGGGTGCTCGCACACCTCAAGGCTCCGGTACCAAGGGCAGCACTACAGCCCGGACGCGCACGACCTCAACAAGACGCCAAGCCAACGGAGGCAGCACGGGTAGCATCTCGAAGGCCAACGGCACTGTCACTCCGCGTACGCCGAGGACGCCGAACCAGCAACGCACGACTGCTGGTGTCAGCCGGGCCTCCTCCGTCGGGGCGTCGCCCGCTGAGCACACGCCAAGAGACCGGAGGATCTCTGCAAACGGTGGAACCCTCAACGGACGCAAGCGCTTCGGATCAGACGCGACTCCCAACAGCGTCAAGAACTGTGGCAAGATCCCACGACCCCGGACGAAGGCTCGAACTTCTTCAGCCTCCGCCGTTATTCCGTCACCATCAGTGCACCCTCAGAACAACACTGCAGTCGCTACGCCACCATCGACAGTATCACGTCCTGGCCTCGCCGCCCACTGGGTTCCACCCGAACCCACATTCACCCCGCCAAAAGACGCAGACTGGGACGACGTCGTTCTTCCAACGGTCGCGAAAAAGCTTGGTATTTCGACACTTTCGAACTCTGGACACGGCCGCAACCAGTCCATCGCTAGTGCCCTCGAGGTCAGCCAGAGTAGCACGAGTGGAGAGGCAGGGGAAGATGACCTCGCCGTCGAATGGGATCGGAATGGACAGCCCATCCGGTGGGAGAAGCAGCAGCCGAAAGCGAAGCGAGAAAACATCGAAATGTCGCCGATGCGGGCGAGTATGGCTGCGACGAGCGAATTTGGGGCCATGCCCGCTCAGTCTTCGAAGCCACCAGCATCGGCAGAGATGCCCTCACCTGCTCCTACCGGCTACCCTTATCAGCCCTATGACCCCGGCTACGGACGATCGCCCAATGCTCAGTTACAGCAGCCTCCCGCCAACCAGATCCATCATCACTTCACTCCTGGTGAGATGGAGCGCCCTCGCCCCGCTCCTGTTCCTCCTCAGCAGCCGATGATGCCGATGACGGACTCTGTGGAAAAGCCGACTGGCAACACGAATAAGAAGAATAAGAAGAAGAGAGCGGACGACGATGTCAAGGGTTGTGCTTGTGTCATTATGTAGACTGTGTATTTTCTTTTGTCCCTATTTCTGTTTTCATGTCATGCTACAAACGTGCTTAAATGAATATCGTATCTGCGACTGACATAGTACGTCTGCCTGCTGTTCAGTGAGATCAGACTTCCCAGTCACGGAGGCAAAGTGTGTATAGGGAGTTGCATGACTCACCGCGTATGCAACGGTCTTAGGCAGACCGAGCAAAAGCTGCCGGTACTGCAAGCACGAACTCTCTCTCCTCGTGATCTCGGAACGTCTGTGGAAGGTGACTAATGTGAATGAGCCACCCCCGAATGATCCCTCGTGGCTCACCTTTATGCCTCCGTAAGTGCGGCTATCGTAGTTCCGAGATAACCAGGTGGACCACCCCGGGAACCAACCGAGTGATTAAAGGTAGGGCTGGACAAGGAAAGCACGCCACCTGCCAGTATTCCCGTAAAGCTCCGTGGTGATCGTAGACCAGGCACGTTGCGCTCGTGGCCAAGCATGCGGGCACGGCGAATAGGCACACCTGGTAGGCTTGGTACGGCGAGGGGTGAGCGCCAGGGTGCAGCATAAGCAGCTGCCTACAATGAGCAAATGATGTACTTGCACTACACCTTGGTCTACATCAATCATCCATACTCTCTCATCCAACTCGACGTTGCCAACTAGATATCGACGAGCGCGCAACCCAATCTTTGAACCGTGACCACCGCTTTTCCACATACAAAGCGGCGACGACATCACTTAGAGAAAGTGCAAGCGCCTCAGCTATTCAGACACACTTTTGAGCCCCTCATTCTCTCCCCTCCTTCATCTCCCTTCTCAGAATGGCTTCCTCCGCACCGTAAGGATTTTTGCGGCCCAGACGGCAGCTGACTGGTTTACAGAGCGCAGGATGACTACCGTGCTGGTCTCAAGCGGCCCCCAAAGGACATGCGTCCTCAGACTGAGGCAAGTCGCGTCTGTTTAGCACTACTGACTCTGCCCAGGATGTCACCAACACGCAGGGAATGACTTTTGATGACATGGGTCTGAGTCGTGAACTGCTGATGGGCATTTGGGAGGCGGGGTTCGAGCGCCCATCTCCCATTCAAGAAGAGGCTATCCCTACAGCGCTCACCGGCCGTGATATCCTTGCCCGTGCCAAGAATGGAACCGGCAAGACTGGCTCCTTCATCATCCCTACCCTCAACCGCGTCGACCCCAAGCTCCCCCACATCCAGGCTGTTCTCCTCGTTCCCACCCGTGAGCTCGCCCTGCAGACGTCGCAGGTGTGTAAAACATTGGGCGCCCACATCCCCGGCCTCCAGGTCATGGTAACCACCGGAGGAACGACACTGCGCGACGACATCATGCGTCTCCAAGAGCCTGTCCACATCCTCGTCGGCACGCCCGGTCGTATTCTTGATCTTGGCGGAAAGGGCATTGCCGACCTCAGCAAGTGCGGCATTTTCGTCATGGACGAAGCCGACAAGCTTCTCTCCGAAGAGTTCACCCCGGTCGTTGAGCAAATGCTCCGCTTGTGCCCCCGCGAGAGGCAGGTGATGCTCTTCTCCGCGACTTTCCCCGTTCACGTCAAGGACTTTAGGAACCGTAACATGGTCCAGCCTTACGAAATCAACCTCATGGACGAGCTCACCCTCAAAGGTGTCACTCAGTTCTACGCTTACGTCGAGGAGCGCCAGAAGGTGCACTGGTGAGTGACAGCGGTTTTGCTCAGCTGATATCCAGCCTCAACACCCTTTTCTCCAAGCTCCAGATCAACCAGTCGATCATTTTCTGTAACTCGACCAACCGCGTCGAGCTCCTCGCGAAGAAGATTACGGAGCTCGGCTACTCCTGCTTCTACTCACATGCCAAAATGCTCCAATCTCACCGTAACCGTGTCTTCCACGATTTCCGCCAGGGAATGACCCGCAATCTTGTCTGTTCCGGTGAGCTTTCATGTTATTCATAGCTGACGTCAGATTTGCTCACCCGTGGTATCGATATCCAAGCCGTCAATGTTGTCATCAACTTCGATTTCCCCCGCACTGCCGAGTCGTACCTCCATCGCATTGGTCGTTCCGGTCGCTTCGGTCATCTTGGTCTTGCCATCTCCCTCCTCACGTACGAGGACCGTCAGAATCTCTACCGCATCGAGTCCGAACTGGGCACCGAGATTCAGCCCATCCCCGCTGTCATCGACCCTGTCCTCTATGTCGCTCCCGCCATCGAGGAGCCCACTCCTCCCGCTCGCTCCGCCCCTCCTCCCGCATCTCGTCCCCCTCAGAACCAGAACAACGCCAGCCCGCCGGGTCAGCAGCAGCAGACCCAGCAACATTATCAGCAGCAGCAACAGTACCAGCACCAGCAGCAATACCAGCAGCAGTATCAGCAACAGCAGCATGCCCCTCAGCAGCACCAGCCCCCGGCCCACCACAACATTGCCCAGCCGGCTGCTCATCCGCCCCCTGAGGTCCTGGCCGCCCAACAGGCGCAGGCGCACGCCCACAACGGCGCCACCCCTCCTCAGCAGGCTCAACAGCCCCAGCAGCAGCAGCAGCAGCAGCCTCGTGATGGTTCGCGCCCTAACAGCAGCAACCGCGGACGCTCTCAGCAGCGTGGCCGTGGCGGTGGTCGCGGAGGAGCCGGCAACGGCAATCGTGGTCCTCGCCAGGGCGGTCAGCAGCAGGCTGCTGCTACCCCTTCGGCTTGAGCCCCGAAGGAAGGAATGTGGAGAGGGAGCCCGTCAGAAGTACAACCGCATCAGAAGACCCGCGTCTAGGCGTGCACAGGCGAACAATCCCGCAGTGTGTGCCGGGCGTAAGTGACGAGCGATTCAACTCGATCGATCACCATAAAGAGAAGTGCTAGGGAGTGCGTGTGAAGGGGGCGAGATGGCGGAGGAGGCCTTTTTTTTCTTTATCCCATAGCTTTGGTAGTGCGCTGCTCCGAGAACCAGCGGAGTGATGCATACATGGCGGGGTACTGCATTTGCGGAGTGTGGTGGAGGTGCGATGGTGATTGGGCTGCATGTTGATAAGGGACGGTTGCGAGTGAATGGGAGCAGCTGACGAAATGACATGGCGGTGGTCGGGTGGGCCAATTGCAAGCGGAGGTTGGGGTACGACAGGGACTGCCGCATGGCTGGGTGGCACGGGGATCGGGGAACCGGCTGAGCACTGCGCGCGTAGGCCGACTGTAGTGAACTACAGTCCACTGACGCCCATCCACGCGCGGCGCCGAGCAAACGAACGCCACGCTCCTCCAGCCAACAGCGCCATCCTTGCTTTCCTTTCTTCGCTCGACTAGATCGATCAATCCCGACTTCTCCCACTCGACCCCACTCGGCCAACAAGCAGCCCGCATCCCAATAGGCTGCACTTCCCTCCTCAGCCCGCTAGCCCGCTGCCACCTCCGCCGCTGGCTCTTGCGTCAGTCCCCCTCCTTTCATCCGTTCCTATTAATCCACCTACCATCCTTCTGTTCCGTATCCCGCGTCATACCCCTTCGCCCAAACACAGCAATTCCCTGTCGTCCAATACTCGATCGCTTGCTCGCCTGACTGCCAGCAGCCAGCCCACAACTGGGCATCGGTTCCTCTCCCACAAGCATCGCATCACCTAGGACCATCACGATCACGTCCTGTGCGTGACGCGTAAAGTCGGTCCCCTGTTACCCCCAACTCAACACTAAACCACGTCACGCCCCCCATCTACTCGTAGCCACTTTGGCCACCCGTCAACGTTCGTGTTTCGCCTCTCAACTCCTCAGCACGACAAACGATGAGTGCCCCAGGTCCCTCGCCGATCCCCAAGCCCATTCCGGGAGCCCAAGCTCGCACCGCCGCTAACATTGCGGGGTCCCCCGCGGGCCGCGGCGCCGCGTCTCCCGCCGGAGCGTCCTACCGGCGACCGTCCACCAACGGCTATAGCGTCGGCGCCGACGACAACAACTGGCGCTCTCGCGACAACAAGGAGGGCACCTCGGTCCCCAAGGGCCGCGGCCCGGAGCGCACTGTCGGCGGCTTCGAGAAGCACGAGGTCCGCGCCGCTGGTGGCGGCACGTCCGCTCTGTCTACGTCCAAGGGCAAGGGAGAGGTCAAGTGTGAGTGCGTCCGATCGCGGTGAATGCTGACGAACAAAGCCGCAGCTCTCAGCCATGTCCCGTGCCGCTTCTTCAAAGCCGGTGCTTGTACTGCCGGCTCCAGCTGTCCCTTCTCCCACGAAGGTAAGTTGACCTCTGAAACGAGTGCGTGCTGATCTCTCAGTCGGCGGCAAGAAGGAAGTCTGCCAGTGGTTCTTGAAGGGAGAGTGCAAGTTCGGCCACAAGTGTGAGTTCTTCGATTGCTCAGCGTGGCGTAAATTGTGGCTGACGATCCAGGTGCTCTCGCCCATATTCGCCCGGGCGAGCCGATGTCGATGGACCGACGCAACAAGAAGGAGCAGCAGCGCGAGGCTCGTGAAAAGGCGGACCGCGACAGGGGTGAGGGCGGTACGTCGTACAAGGAGGCTCGTTCGCTCGGCGACGACCTCGGTACGTCGCCCGTCACGAGCACCAGCGCGCGGTCTGCTGCGGTTCCGACCTCGAACTCGAACCCTGTTCCGATCAGGTCAGCAATCTCCGCCTCGCTTCAGTCTGGCTCCGCCCAGTCGCCCGGTCGACTCGCTTCGTCGCCCCTGCGCGAGCCGTATGGACCCCCCGCTGCTGTCGTCGCTGGCTCGCCGTCGGCCGGCTTCAACCAGGCTCGCTCGATCTCTGGCGTCGCCGGGTTCGCGTCCTCGCCCAGCCGTCCCTCCCCGCTCTCGACCTCGTTTAACGCGCGCGGCACCACGTTTGTCGCTGGCTCGCTCAAGGCCAGCGCCGCCATTGCCCACTCGCCCCTGCGACCTCCCCCTCCCTCTGGCGCGTTCTCGAGCTCTTTCTCCTACTCCAACCTTGGCGGTGACAAGCCCGGCACCCCTCTGTCTGCCTCGTTCGCCGGTGGCCGCAGCATCTGGACCCGGTCAGAAACGCCAGACGAGCCGCTCAGCCCCAGGCGCCGCCCGGTGCTTCCCCCGACCACGACCGTTGTGGACGACGAGGGCGTGTTCGAAGCGGACGACGATCATGGCGAGGATCTCCTGCCCTCGAGCTTATCGGACCTTTTGACCCCGACCGAACGCGCGCGTCGTATGTCGCGCCACGACAGCCGCGACGGTGCCATTGTTGGTTCCCCGAGCCGTGCGCCGTTTGCAAACCCGCACCAATACGTTGGAGCGGAGCGTCTGGCGCAGTCGGCGGGTGCCGCGATCCACTCGGGCGGTTTCCTGCAAGCTCTCTGGTCGCAGGACGGCAAGGACGCACGTACCACTGGTGGAGAAGCCAAGCCCTCGACGTCGTCTGGTTCTTCCTCGCAGAACGAGGCTGCCGGACAGCAGGGATCCCAGCGCGCGTCGCTTCTGTCGCAGCAGCGCAGTCCCGACAAGCGATCGTCGGCCAACATTTCGCCCGCCGTCGACGCGCCGTACCTTGTCCTGGATCTGGTCACGGATCCGAACTCGCCGTCGGCGCGCGCGCTGCAGGAGCACGCGCCCGGCCAGTCGTTGCCTGGTGGTCTCGCGGCCGCGCTTTCGCGCATGCACATGCAGCCGCGTGCGACGTCGGGACTCGCGACCCCCGGATCCAAAGCCGACTCGTCTGCGACAACGCCGCCTGGCTACAACGCGCAGCTCTCGGGTGGACGTCGCGACGACGCCGACGACGAAGGCCTCTTCCACATGGACGGATAACGACATTGGTAACTCTCTTTCTCTCTTACCCAAAACGAACTTGACACAAAGCAAGAAAAAAAGTACAAGTCTGGAACAGACAAACGAAGACAGCATAACGACGATGAGCAGCAGAAGAAAAAGCAGAAAACAGGATGAAAGCATAATTCTTGTACAAGTATGTCGTAGCACGGTCACATACGCATACGGCCGGGATGCATCCTCGGTCACAATAGCAAATACATAATATCTAGCAGTTGTCTAGTCTACTGGGCGGGGATGATGCCCTTCTCCTCAAGGTACGCAATAACCTTCTCGACGGCCTGGGTGACGTCGACCTCGTCCGTCTTGATGTGGATCTCGGGGTTCTCGGGGGCCTCGTACGGCGCGCTGATGCCGGTGAACTCCTTGATCTCGCCCGCGCGGGCCTTCTTGTACAGTCCCTTCGGGTCGCGCTGCTCGACGACCGAGATGGGGGCGTCGACAAAGACCTCGATGAAGGGGAGGGGAGGGTTGTGCTTGGCGTGCAGCTCGCGGGCCAGCTCGCGGTCCGCAATGTACGGCGAGATGAAGGCGGTCAGGGCGAGAGAGCACGACGAGGCAAAGAGGAGAGAGACCTCGCCGATGCGACGGATCTGATGTTAGCGGGAGTTCTGTGGTACCGGACGGTTTGGTAATGCGCTGCGTCGAGTTCATCCTGCAGCGTAGTGACCATTCTTGAGGAGCAACAGACCGGCTAGGGCAAAACGCAGCATATAGCCCGCACATTCGCGCCTCCGGACTCACGTTCTCAACACGGGACGCGGGGTCAAAGCCGAGGTCCTTGTTCAGGCCGAAGCGGACGTTGTCGCCGTCAAGGCGGAACGAGTGGAGCTTCTTGTTGAGGAGAGCCTGCTCGAGGGCGGTCGCAATGGTGCTCTTGCCCGAGGCCGAGAGACCGGTGAACCAGACGGTAGCGCCCTGCTGTCCGAGGAGCTGGGCTCGCTCCTCCTGCGTGACCGCGCCGGGGTGGAAGGTGATGTTGGTCGCCTTGGTAGCCGTCATTGTTTTCAGTGGTAATGCGGGGGAAGGGATTGGACTAAAGCTCGACGCTATTATGGCTTTGTCGGCGCATGCATGCTCAGTCGTAGTGAGGACGCAGGGTGGACATGACTTTTCGACACCGTGCTAGCACGCAATCTCACTATTCCAGACGGACAAACATGGGGTCCCCGCAGTTGTGTCACCAAACCAGCCCCTCCACCCTGCGTACTAAGACCCACGTACCTGGCGTCCGACCATCGAAGCCGATGCACAGTGGAGCAAACGAACCGCGTCCCGGGCGGCTGGTAGCTCTCCCATTTTGGTTTTAGAGTCGCAACCCTGCTCTGGAACTGTATTCCAGACACTCTGACATCACACCAAGATCGTCAGCGTTGGAGCGTCTTGCTCGACATGGCGCCATGAGCTCGGAAGCGTATATCCGTTATCTACGGGGACCGTCTCGAATATGGCTGAGCTCCTGGTGTTACGTAACACCCCACCAGACACGATATACGCAACTCTCACCACACCCAAGCATCCCCCCGTCTCTGTCTGGACGGTTAAGGGCCCCGCCCGCTTAGCACAGTGGCAGTGCGTTCCTCTCGTATTACGTAACCGAAACTTTACGTAAGCGCGATATACAAGGAAAGGTCAACGGTTCAATCCCGTTAGTGGGCAACAGCACTCGCGGAAACGCGAGTAATTTCTTTTGGAGGTTGGTTCGTTCTTTTGCATGATACAGGGAGGTGCTGCACTGGACCAGTGGGAATGAATGTAGTCGGCTCACTGGGGAGACGTGGGAGTGTCGGGAGGCGGTGCCACTGTGCGGAGGTGGCGCTTAAGATCGCCACCCTTATGGCCGCAGATGAGAAATTCATTTTGGACTGCCGATTGAACGGTCGATGGTTCAAATCCTTTGACGATTATTATTTGCAACCTTGTGCTCCTCTGGTGGACCGTCTCCTGGTATGCCGCGCAAGCCGAGGAACTGGCGTGCTCGTTCTCAGCGACTGGCCCCATCTCGAAAGGGCATGAAGCCCTCTCACGCGATCCGTGGTGTGTCTTGGTTAATCTTGATAAACGCGTGGTTATCAGCGCATGCCATCGGCCTTGGCCGTCGCGAGCATGAGATGCATGTCTGTATTAGATTGTACGTGGGACCGCGCTGAAGCGAGGAACTGGTCTGGATTACAGGGCTAACGAAGGAAGGAAGCATGTGCATGCGGACGTATGAACACCAAGAGCGGATCGCCGATCGGCATTCGTTGGCGTCAACGGTGTGAGCGGAGCAGTCGACGACGACATGGCGCAGTGGGACACCAGGGTGCCGATCTCCCACTCCAGAGTCCCGGCTAGCTTGGTGCGGGGAGCTAGCCATCATGCGTTTGATCGCCCTCGGCCCTCCGGAGGCCGAGTGGCGAATCCAGTCACCTGATAGGCCCGCAGCATCTTCCTGCTTGTCTTCCTCGAAAGCAGTCACGTCTTTCTTGTTCCTCATATCCGATAACAGCAGAACTCCATCGACCTCACTGAGTTTTCATCACCGCCGGCGCCCGCTGCACCCAGTAGAGCGGAACTGCAACGGTGAGTACCACGACCTATCTCGTGCCGTGCCTCCCTCGCAAGGAGGCATCGGCGGCGCACGACCAGCAGCGACACTGGTACGTGCGATGCGTCTACTAGACAGCGTCGATGAATGCGCGCCACGGCCGCAACCAGGGTGCGCTGCTCTGGCTGTGTATCCTGAGCCGCTCACCATTTTGTGTCTTCCCTGCTGCTGCCGGCGACCAATTACCACACTTGCATCACAATGTTCTTACTGACTTGATAGATGCCGGCGCCATTCCCCGACGACGGATCCATTGTGGATCAGAACCGTGTTGGCCAGAGCCTCGTGATCGAGTACCGCAAGATCGATCAGACGCGGCGAGCCGCAGCTTCAACGTTGATGGGCAATGGCGACATGCAAGAGTTTGTCAACCGCATCCGCCACCATCGAGGAGCGAGGCCAGTCGGCGACGGCCACCTGCTGCCTGTAAGTTCTGCTGTTAACAAGACTGACGACAGCTGGCACACATCGCACGCGACCTTTGCCGACTCGCGCAAGACCCTCTGCACGAGCACCTGCCGCTGTGCGCCCGTTTGATCGACCACGGCAATCAAGACGACAACGGGTTTTATTTCCGCCAACTGGAGTGGAAGGACGCTGCGGCGTTCGAGGCGGACATGCTGACCTTCCGAGCTCTTCACCCCGGTATGTTGCTTGTCGAAAGCCAGGCTAACAGGCAGCCGAGGCCCCTCGCATCGCCGTGCTGATCGACGCCGCTCGTCGCGCCCCGGAAGCTCCCGTCTTCCTGCGATACGCAGGGGTAACAGCCGCGACTACACCATCTGCGCGCAACCAAGCCGACCTCCTCTTCACGGGGACCTTTTGGTCCAACCTGACGGCGGTGCTGGAGCTCACGCCCAAGGTCTTCTCCCTCGAAGGTGCGCACCGTAACAAGACAACCGCTTACGCTGCAGAGATCCGTGTCCCCGTCTCAAGTGCCGAACACCGTGCCCGGATCGACCTCCAGGACATTGAGCGCGCCCTCGTCGCGGCTGTCTTTCCCCTTTGCGGCAACAGCGCCCCAGGGGGGCTCCACCACCAGCCAGATCTCTCGCCGTACGAAGCAGTGCCCTTGCCGCGGTTCGATGTGGAGGACGACAAGACTGCAGAGAGGTTGCGTGCGCTCAACCTGCAGATCAATCAGCATCATGACGACGCTCGCAAGATCTGGTCATCGGTGAGCAGGAAAGGCATCTCGGATGCCGCGGCCGAGGATGCGCGCCGGAACGCACAAGTGACGGAGCTATATCAAGGAGGCGTGGGTATAGACTCGTATGGCAGTGTGCTGCACTATAAGGGTATGGAGCAATTCGCAAGAAGCCTCATCAGGCCTTCGTAGCTCCAAGACGCCGTGAGCCTATTCTGTAGCTCCCTGCGAGGCAGCTCCTTGAAGCATGTATGTGTTTGGCTCTGTCCAGATAAGAAGTCCTCAAAGTAGTTGCTGGAAGTACAGTGGGGATGCTGGCTGAGGCACTCGTAGGTGCCGCCGATGTGCCCTTCCATTATGCAGCATCGAGCACGATCTGAAGTCCAGGTGATGCGCTGTCTGGGGCAAGCGCAACTCACCGGTTCTTCAGAGCCACGATCTCAGAACGTTCCTAAGTCCTCGATGCCGCAGTATTCGAAGCTTTGCGGGTTTCAGAGTCTGGCGGGAACACCGGAAATCGACTGATCACGACCGTTCACCCGCTCCCCCCTTAATCACACATCGTCTATGACGGGCCTTGATCACAGCTTTCCATCACCGATAATCAAGGTACGAAACAAATGCCAACGGCCTTGAGGCGCAGAGGTTTCGACCGCGTCGACTCGATGTTCACCGTGATAGTGTATCGTTTATCTCGCGGCGTCCCCATCCTTTCACAGAGTCACGGCCTCAACTTGTCAGAGCGTGGTCCAAAGCTTTGAGATACTGGCGCACAGTCATGCGCACGGAGAACATCAGAATGGCGTTCATGATAGGGTCGCAACTGACCCGTGACCACTTTCGGTCAGCGGACCCCAACACTACTGCTGCGGCGATATCAGATGGCGCGGGGATATCAAGTATCATATCACGCCAAGAGGCTGACTACGATATCCTTGAGTCTATGTTGAGATATCAGCTGATAGCTACGTGGAAAGGCGGATGGCCTCGATACGGTGCCTCTATTTTGACGAACAATTCCGTCAAGCATCATCGACACACGGATTTCGAGAGGTGTCCAACGTGCCAGCAACTGCAAACACAGGGCTCAGTTACGTCTCAATGAGCCCCCTCGCCAGTGCCATGCCTCGAACGCCATCGCACTACCAGCCTTGCTAGGTCGGAAACGGTCCAGCGAATCGTTCCGACGTTATCTGCGACTTACGTGGCATCGATAGTTTATCACCAAGGCCATGGCGGACGCGTACTCCGCCTATCCCGCCAGCGGACATCCGAAAACGCGCTTTCATACCTCATCCATTCTCCAGTCCTCCATCTCGTGGCGACCGTGTCCTTCGTCCGGGCCGGAGTTGGTGACTCACTTGGCCCCAACATTACTCCAGAGTGACCCGTGTCTGCGCATCTGCCGAGTTAAGGTTGGGTGAGCCGAGATTCATGGCATCGTGCACCCGCTCGCGGATCGCTACGAGGCATCGCGTTTGCGCAAGGCGACCCAGAGATGATGCGCCAAGACACCAAGAGGTCATGCAAATAGGTCACCTGACCTGAAAAAACCTGGGGCCGGATGGGGAAAGCTGGGGCCACACCGACATCTGTCTACGGCAGCGGGAGCTCCGTGTGGCTTGGGCGAGTTTCAGTGCTCAGCGGTGCCGTGGCGTCCGCTCTTCCCTCTGGCCTGTGCGCAGATGCCTCGCGTGTTGTGCGTGTTTCGCGCACCCGAGATGCACCCATAGCAAAGGGTGCGATTCTCCTATCTTGCGGTCCTATCTAGCTTACGGTGGACACGCTAGACCACCGCCAAAAACCTTTAGTGGATTGCACGACAGCTGCTGGTAGAGATCCGGTATTCATCCTGGGCTGAACGCGATTCGACAACTGGCCCGTACGAGGCAGGATTTTCCGCTCCTTGCCGGCGGCTCGGTTACTCGTAGCGTCATCAGGGGCAGTTGTAACCAACCAGCCAATGAACCGGCACGCCTAGTAACCGATTGGGCTGTTTTGCAATCCTTGCAATCGGCCTGTGCGCTGCGCTCAGTGCCGCTCAGTCGGAGGTCGATCTCACAATGTTACCTGGATTCCTTGGCGCTCGCGTTCGCCGGATGCTGCGCCCACTGGGAAAGGCCTGTCGCGGTCTGGCCCACCCAATACAATCACTCGCCCCGGATGTAATCTGCAGACAGGTGCATATCTGCTCCGCATGCCAGCAGAGGGTGACCTGCCCCCCGCACCCCCGCAACCAGTGCCAAGTGGGCGTATGCTAGTCCTGGGGCCAGCCTTCGTCTTGGCACTGTCAACTCTCTCTTACTCGGTCCGGGTCATCCATATCTCGCTACGCGGGCACCAGGGACGGGGCGTGGGATGGGCGAGCGTAGTTGAGCTGCGCCTTCCCGGGCTGGATGTGCGCACAAGGGGAGGACCGTGGAATTGCAATACCGATCATGCCGAGCCTCAGCGCGAGACGCAAGAGAAGACGAAACAGCGCGCAGGTCCAAGCTGCCCGAGCGTCTGGGTTCCCCGGTTGTGGGAGTGCTCTGCACAGACACGCGCTTGCACCAACGCAGTGCTATGATCGCCCACCCCACCCTTCGCGCAGCTCCCCCACCGCGCTCCATGCCTTCCTCGCAACATGAAAGTGAAGAGCTTTGGCATCTCTTGTGCGAATCTCCATCTCTTTCCATCAACTCATCCAGTACAAGGTTCGAACCGTGCCAGCTGAGTGCTGAGGACACGGTCACCAGACCCGCAATCGACGTAATACCCGCGCTGCTTCCCACACGCCAGCAATCGGACCGGGTCTAATCGCTCCACCCAACATGGTTATTTCGGGCTCGGTATCTAATCAAGGTCTCAGTGGCAATACATCATCGACCGGGATCGCGACCAGCCCACCCAGCGCTAGCCCGCGACCGGGCTTCCTGCGCCGCTTATCATCAAACGTCGTGCGGCGTGTTTCGACGTCTTCCTCTTCTCCCGACAACTCGCAACCCGCCACTAGAAGTTCGACGCCGTTTTCCTCCCAGCCCATGACTCGCGACAACTCGGATTCGACGAGGGAGTCGAGGGCCCCGTGTCAACATGAAATTCCCCCCACGGGCCCACGGTCTACCTGTCTTGGCATCGAGGGCCCCAGAGTGCACGGTGTCTTCTACACCCTCAGCACCTACTCTCAGGATGTTCCCCAGTGGTCGATGTGCGAGTGTTGCTTCGGGGCCACCGTGCGTGGCACTGAGCTCGAGCCTCACTTTACGAGGAAGGCGATGACCTCGGTCTGCCGCTTCTCGACCCCGCGCGCACGTCGGTTTATAGCGGCTGGTGACCTTCTCGACCTCGAGGAGTTTATTCGCACGCGTTCCAAGGTTGTCCCATGCTCTGGGTCCACGCCGACAGCGTCCACCAAGTGGTATGACTGCGGAATTGAGGAGTTCAAGACGTGCGAGGCATGCTACGAGGACGAGGTGGCCGAGTCTCGGTTCGATCGCCGCTTCACCGAAAGTTCCACCAAGGCGCCCAATGTCTGCACCTTCAACCAGCCCTTCATCAAACGCGTGTATGAGGACGCAACGAGCTGGGCGCAGTGGCGCCTCGCTGTGCATCAGCGCCTTTCGCTGCCAAATTGTGTCGCTGAACCAGTCGCGCCCAGCCACATGACGTTCTATACACTCACGGGCACCGGTCGCACCCTTGACGGCTTCCAGATCTGCGAGACGTGTTACCTCGACTTCTTCGCCCACACCGACCATGGGACGCAATTCGGAGTCGATGATCTGTCGCACCTGCCCCCGGATGAAAAGGTGTTGTGCAGCCTGTCGGTCAACTCGCTACGCTATCTGACGAGCAAAATCGACACATTCGATGCCTGGTGGCACTCTGTCAAGGCTATCCACCTTGACCAGAACCGCAAATGGGCGCACACGCGTCGACAAATGTTCGAGCTGCCCGGTCGCAACTTGCACGTATGCGAGTCGTGCTGTCACGGCTACCTGAGCCCTATGGGGTATGCCTCCGAGTTCGACCCTGCGACGCGGACCGACATTGAGTGCGATCTGTGCTTCGTCTCGCCCAAGCAGGAAAACTATCTCAGCAAGCTGATCGAATCTGCTTGCTCGCCGCGCCGTTTCGACTTATTCTTGGATGCAGTGCGGATCTACGAGCATATCCCGCCGTTCGAGCTGTGTCCCGGCCGCAAGCTCAAGAAGGACTTTTACGGATACGAGTACTGCGGCGTCTTCATGTGCCTCGAGTGTCACGAGGCGTTTGCGCGCCCCACGTTCTCCTCGCTCAACCTCCCTGCTCACCGCGCGGCGCGCGTCGCCCGGAACGACCAGGGTGACGAGTATCTGATCTGCGAGCTATACTCTCCACGCGTGCGCAAGATGTGGTCACTCGTTGTTGCGGGCAAGATGCGCTGGGACGACCTGCAGGCGGCGATCTGGCGCCGGCGCGAGACCTACTTCCGCACCGTCTTCGTGGCAGAGTACCTCAAGTACTACATGCAAAAGCAGGCACAGGAAGGCGGCAAGTACATCGTCGCCGCGCCCGCCAACTGCGGCCTACCTGTTCCCGCTTCCCAGCGTCGTCTCTCTACCTCCCCCGCGCCCGAGGAGGACGTGGCCGATGCAGCAGGCAAGCGCCGCCGCCCGAGCTGGAAAAAGATGTTGTCACAGCACCAGGTGCCTAAGAAGCGCCCGCAGGAGCAGGCATACGACGTGCAGGGCCAGATCAGGCTGCTGGAGTCGCAGTGGGCTGCCGTGGAGTGAGCATTAGTGCGTCGTCCATATCGAGAACGTCCGAGGTAGAAAGAGCGACTAGAATAAGCAGGAGACGGGAGGCACGAGGAGGGCAGAGAAGAAGAAACAGCAATAGCGCGGCAGTCGTGAAGGTACGGAAGATACGTAGTGGTCCTGTCTGTTTATACATTGGGTTTTGTGGTTCCGAATGAATAGGTTCAGTGCACGCACAGCATGTCAAGCTCACACAATGGCTTTGTAACGAAAGGATATCTGACACGGTAGGGGTTACAGGAACCGACGGCGTCGGCATCGGTGGTCCCGTCAAGGTGTGGGAAGTGTTCGGATCTAGTGCATAAGGTTTGAGTGCAGTGGTATCTAATCATTGTACAAAGACATGGGCACAAGACATATAGTACGGGCGGAAACGAACATGCGATGAAGTTCAAGGGCTTATAATGGGTGACAAATGTTGTGTTCGAGCTAGTGTGTGTGGGCTGTGTGAGATTGATTGCTATTTCAGTGGTGGGCGCTGCGGTGGGGTGAGGTTGGAACAGTGACAGAGGCGTTCGCGCTCAGTCGTCGTACAGACTTGGGCCCGAGCTCAGTCGCTTCGCGCCACCAGGGGCGCCGTCCTTGTTGGACCCGTCCTCGTCCTTGCGCTTCTTGCCGGCTGTCGTGTTACGGAGAGGAGCGTTCTTAGTGCTGCTTCCGACGGCAGACTGGAAAAAGATCGGTGGCGAGCGCTTCAGTCCTGAGAGCGGGTTGACCGGCGGGGCGAGCTCGCCAAAGCTGGACGCAATGCTCGAGGCCGACGACGAGATTGGCGTCGTGGCGCCATCGCTCGCTTCCTTGGGTGCTAACAGATCTTCATAAGGATCCGTGCGCTTGAAGCGGTCCGCGATGGGCGTCGAATACACACGCGACCGAGCCTTGACCGTACCAGGCTGCGGAAGCGTGTCCTCCAGGGTGTCAGACGCCTTGACCATGGGCGATTTTGGCAGGCTCGAAACGGCCGACATGTTCGACAGACCCGACTCGCTCGTCGCTGGGGACGACGCCAGGACGGCGACGGGCGCTGAGATCTTGAGGCCAGAGGTGCTCGTTCGAGGGACAGCAAGAGAGTTACGCGAACCAGCCGACGATGACAGAGAAACGCCAAGATCACTTTGACTTCGGCGCACGGACGATGAGGAGCCGAACCGAGCCGCGCCAAGAAGATTGGAGAAGCTGGGCTTCTTCGACACTCGAGGCGCCGGCCGCTTTGAGAGCGATGGCGCCGGAGGTGCCAAGGGCTCCATGACAGGAAGAGGCGCGTCATCGAACTGAGGCGTTAATTGTAATTGCTCCTCGTCACCAAAGTCCACCAAGTCCCGAGGGGCGACTTCGGGGGGCTCAGCGAACACCGTCTTGCGATGCTGTAACAACAGATCGATGTGTTCGCCCTTGAGCGACAGCGTCGGGCCCAGCGAGATCATGAGCGCATTGTGGCTCATTCTGTTTACATCCATGTGTTTCGGAATCAGGTCGATGAGCATGATGACGTCCGCCAGCAGGAACCAATGGGCTGGTGGCAGGTCCTTCAGCATCTCCACGAGCTTGTCAGTTTCCTGCTCCTTGCTTGGCTTCAATAAGTAGTCGTCAAGAAGGTCTTCCACGTGCTTGGAGAGCATTGGCGAAGGAAGTTCTCGGATGTAGGTTTTGAAGATGCCCGAGACAGCGTGCGGATCCAGGTCGCTGGGTTCAGATAGAGACAGGTCAAGGTCGGCCCCCGCGTCAAACTCCTTTCGGAGTCGAGCGAGATGGCTGCTTCTGCCGCTGATCCGGAAGATGCCCTCCTCTTTCGGTCCCCACTGCTCCACTGTATTGTTAGCACGTCACAGGAGGATGGACACTCACAATATTCGACGCATCGGACAACGATCGCCGGAAGACAGAGTCTCCGTCGACGCTCGTACTCGCTATCTCCAGCCCGCTCGGCGTCCGCCTCAACAACACCGTATAATCGTCCGGCGATCTCCAGCTCGCGACCGAAGACCCGCCCAGGCTTCAGGCCAGATCGTGCCGCTCTTCGAACGACTCCATCGGTCCAGGAGAGGGGCTCACTGGCAGGAGCAAAATCCGAGTCGCGGGACAGCTGCCGCATAAGGAGTCCCGGGCTCCGAGGGCTGCTGGCGATAGCAGAGTCGTATTGACCGTGGGGCGAGCCGGCCGCAGTTGAGATGCTCATGTTGCTCCCAACGCCGCGTGCACGCATCCAGGTACGCGAGACCGCATGGCTTGCCGTCCCAAGCACACGCTGCGCAGACGCTGGGAGTCGCTGGTGCGCCGCAGAGGCCGTGCTGAGAATGCTGTTCGTCGAGGATGAGCGAGACACGCCGTTCGTGGACCCCTGGCCACCTCCCCAGCCCCATCGGCTCTTCCCACTGATGCTGGGAATGTGGTGCGAGATCGAGTCCCTTCGACCAGGGTGTTGGGGAGGAGGGGCCTGCACTTCGTACCCCGTATCCAGTGGTCCGGTTGGAAATTTGCGCGGAGGTAATGCTGGTGGAGTGGCCACGCCGTGGGCCGAACCGGTCAGGTGCGTCGACATTCGGGGAGACGATGGCTCGGGAGCGAGATCAATAGGGGACTGAGCTGGAGATCGAGACTTGGTCCGGAGGACGGGGGCCATGGAGGCGCGCTTGAGCCAGTTTGGCTTGACTCGAGGGGTTGGTCGGCCCAGGTCGACAGATGAGCGAGGCGAGGAAGTTGATGATGTAGAAGGAGTATCCTTGTCCTGATCGGCAACGTTAGTCGCGCCATTCAGCTGCTGCCCGGTCGGACGCAGGTTCGCGCGCATAGACGCAAGGAGCGGAGAAATGCCTTCTGAGGCTTCACTGAAACATAGGTCAGTAAGGTCATGCGAGGTACTACCCGGCCAGAACAGATACTCACGACAAATCAATGACTGACTCCTCGTCCGCCCCCGACTTTAGAGTCTCTAATGTCTCATCCGAAGGTGCTGACGGCGAGGTCGCGATAGCAAGGGCCGGCGGGGGTTCATCCGCCATAGACTTCCGCTTGCCGGATGTCGTCGTTCCTGATGCTGATACCGGGCTCGTGCAGACGGTAGGCGGCGCAGTGAACGGTGTTGACGGCTTTGACGTCGGGCTCGGAGAGTAGTCGGCAAGATTGAGGGTGATGGTGTGAACGGGGACACTCATCCGCTTCGTGTCGTCTCGGGTCTCGCTAGCTGGCCGTGAGACCAATTCGGCACCCTTAAGGCTGAGGGTGGAGCTGTAGCTGGAGATGCGTGCGCTGACCCGTCGACGGTCCTCGTTCTCCGAGATTTCAGACAACGGTCGGCTTACTGGCCGCTGGATAGTCTCGGACATGGTGGGCACTCTGCGAATGGGAGGTGGGGAAGTAGTTACGGGAGGAGGGCCGAGCGTAGGAGGTCACAGCGGCGACAGAAAGGGGAGTCGTCGAATAGTCTGCGCCGAGAAACTGGACGCTCTAAGCCGCGCTGGTACTCAGGTGCCGTTGACCTCTCCTAATCGGATGTCGCGAGGTAATGGAACGATGCTGTAAATGCTCAAGGGCGGGAGATGTGCGTTAGGAAGGAGGGGTGTGACAGTGACTGATTGTAGAGCCGCGCTAAAAGCCGGTGAGCCGATTCACGCTGCGCCCAATGTTGTGAGGATTTCACAAGGACCCGAGCATGAAGGGCGAGCGGAAGAGTGGGCTTCGCAAGGACGTGCTGGTCGCTCGTGATAAGAACGCAGCGGCTTCGTGTCGGGGATGGCGGTAGTGAGCAAAGGTGGTATGGTCGTTTGCGAGGAAGAATATTGTTGTGGAGAGAGGGGGAGAAAGGCGGGAGTGGATCTCAATGGTTGGACAGGGACAATGGACCCCGCAGGCGCCCGAGACCGGAACGAAAGTGGGAGATGAGACAAAAAGCGTCAAGGGCTTGGAAAGGGGACGAACAGGGGGAAGGGTGACAATTCGCAAGACGGCGCTGGAACCGGGAGAGCTGTCGTCTCAGCGATCTTGTCGTGCTGTCGTCTTGGCCACGGTGTGTGAGACGATGCGATGGCCGTTGCTGTGACAAAGTGCGGCGGCATGTCAGGCCAACGGCCAGAGCAGCTGGGAATGAGGCACACACACCCAGGAAGGATCAAGGATCGGATTGGGTTGATTCGATTGAAATTACCGAAAACGTAATTCATCACTTAGCATATTCTCGCTGTTTGCACCCCGCAGCCTCGCGTCTCCGTCGTCGCCCTCGCCCTACCAGGCAAGTGCCGTGCAATGCGAGTGGGAGTTCCGGGCGGCAACATGAGAATCCAGTGGCCAGTGGACGGCAGTGTGACGGACGGCGCTGCGGGCAGCACCGCGCGTCTGCCCCGGTGATGGGACGACGGATGGGCTGCCGATGGCGAGGAACCCACGCATCCCTTGCTCCCCTTCCGGAGCTGGCCTATGGGTCATGTCGATTGCGCGCCATGTTTGCGACATGAGATGCGCAGAACACAGTTGTGCTCTGAAAGTATCGAACTCATCGCAGCCTATGTGTTGATGTGTTTCCAAGCCGTAGGGGACGGTCAAGGACACGTTACGCAGGGATGCCAGGGTAAGCAGGGCATGCAGGGCGCCCAGGGAAGCAGGGCCAGTGCAAGGGCTCCAGGGCTTTCAGAGCGCGTCCACCAGCGAGCAGCCAAAAACCTGTCGACGAGGTGGGGCCACTATGCCAGTAGCGCGATCACCCGGCTCCTGAGTTGTCCTGAGCGCTCGCTGCTCGCTCCGGTCAGCGCTTTGCTGCTGTCCCTGCCGCCTGTCCGTAGGTTCGTACACATACGCAGCCGCCTGGTGTGTCTGTCGCGTCTGATATCTGCGCATCCTCGCGCGGCTGCCAGGCTGCCCAGGAGGGGCCAGCAAAAGTCATCAGCGGCCGACATGCTGTCCTTGCCTGTGGCTTACGGCCGCCCTGACTGCTTTTGTTTGTTGCTTGATTAAGCGTCCACACCATGCAGCTGCATGCAGCCCACCCATGTTTGCATTAATGTGCGGGTTTTGTCCCGTGAGCAGACTCGCTGCCCAGCGCATGCCCAGTCTGTGCATTGTCCATCTTCCTCGACGTTACAGAATACAGAAGACTTGCTGGTCGGATACTTCTTAGCGTGTTGCAGCCTGACATAAACTCCTTACGGCATGGATCGACTGCTTACCTTTGGTAACCAAGAACGTGCCCCGGACGGTAGTGCCCACCGCCACCGGGACCGAGCAAGGGCCGCCAGCGCACCTCCTAGATGGGCGACAGCATACGCTTGACATCAAGTAATGTTCCCAAGCCTAATCCGTCAAAGACTTAAGGAAGCTCCGGGGGGTGGGGAAAACTGAGGAGGTAAAGGTGTGGGCAGTCATGCACGAGAGGATCGTCATTCGACCGGCATACCTTCACGGGCCGCGGAGTGCACGGCATACGGTGGGTTGGCAAGGGCTCTCGTCATTAACAAGGGTGGGATGGCAATTGATGGATAAGAAGGGTGCTCCTTGGGTGCCCAAAGGTGACAGACTGGTCGCTACTGATCGTACTAGTCGCTGCTGACATGCTACATTCAGGACACAGCTGACACATCGCGCGTATCATGTCGACATTTGCGGTGCGACGATGAGGGCGCACCCTGGTCTTGCAGCGTCAGCCACGTACATGAAGAGATACGGCTTTGCTGGGCCCGCCCAGGAACACCGATGGACATCCTACAAGCAACGCCGGCCACCGAACTCAGAATCGCCGCGAGCACAGGGTTTCCTGTTGTCCCACTGTCTGGCTACGAGTCGCCTCCGTCCGTGTGTGCATGTGCGTTCATCATGTAAGCCACCGCGCCGGGCCGCCAAAGCGCCAGCTATGGCGCTCCGGCACCGCCGCAGGATGCGCAGCATATGCGCGATAGGAAGGGTGTGAGAAGGAGCAGGATCGCAGGAATGGCACGACCAATGCCGCAGTCCGTAGTCTCCCGTCTGCGCCGCGGGCGCTTGCAGAATTGCAGAAGCAAGCCCTCGGATTATCCGTAACCACGTAAAGTCACGCGCGCAGCCATCGGAGCGCCCCCATGCACGCCCCCGCACCGACGCCGAGCGCCGCCCGCGTGCCCCGCCCTCGTTGCATACACGTCTTCCGCCGCATCCTCTTTCCGAATAATTCCGTCGCGTTGCCTGCTGTTGTATAGATAGCTGTCGAGCTGATGTCGCATGATGCATGAGCAGTATTACCGCGCGCACACTTGAGCTTCACGCAGAAGGACCGTGCTCGGCTTTTGCAGGTACGACGTGCAACGAGCACAGCGCGTACGTCCCGAAACGAAGGGCACGGAACATCCAAGGCTGGATAAGCTTTTGGGAATCGGCAGCAAAGTCAGGTCACAGGCTGAAACACTCACTTCATGCTAGGCTGAAACGCTTGTTCACGCCCCGTTTCGGCTGCCCATGTTGGAGTGCACCCCGCACGCAACGTACGCAACTTCGATGGACGGCACATACGCGTCAAGGACTCTGCTGGGGTGCGTTCTCGTAACGCTTCAGTGACCCGCGCACATATCGTCCATCATTCCTTCTCCAGCATATGTGCTTCTCTGCTTCCCCGTCTTGGTCCCGGCATCGTTGTGTTCCAGCTTTTAAAGTTTATCACCCGATACGTTCCTGACAAATGTAACCTAATTTCAGTACAGTGCTACAGTTATGTCGCCAGAGTGGTTGTGCCGCGGGCTGCATTGCCATGTGCAAGTAGCTCGCACTTTAACCACGTAGCGGCAGGGGTGTGTCCAGGTGCTTTAACAAGCCTGACGCAGTGCCACGGCTGACCCCGGGTTATTCTGAGGCGGACCAAAATGCTGCTAGCAAATGAAAGGGACGTGTTCGGAAGGTTGGAACCGGCAGAGCTCATTCCACGGCCGCCTGAGGCAGACGGGCATCAGTGTCCACGATAACCGCTGATCAGATACAGAGCGCAACATTGATGCATGTACGAGAAAAGTGAGGGTCGTCTAATCCACGACAGGTTTGCCCTTCAGCTGGTTCGGCTTGGGGGGCGCAACCGGCGCTGCAGCACGATGTGCCGCAGCTTTCAGCTGCACGGGTTTTGCAGCCACAGGCGGTGGGGTCTTCTTTGAGACATCAACCATTTGTGGGGTAGGCTGCAAGCCCGTTTTAGGATCACTCGCCATTGACATCCCGGGTTTGTCTGGACGTAGGGCAGGTTCTACCAGCCTAGCGGGTGGAGCTGAGTCCATGTCCAGCGTTGGCATCTTTGTCACAGGCTTCGAGGGGCGAGGGGGGATGGTGGCACATCCTTCTTCGCCGCCTCGCTTTTAAGGACAGGCGCCTCTTTCGTAGATCGAGGGGGAAGCGGCGGCGGTTTCGAGGGCGATGCTACCAATACAAAGTCTCCCGTCGCAACCGGCGTGATCTCAGCACTGGGAAGACCTATCTTGCGAAAGTCGGAAGCGGGAACAGGGGGCGGTGCACGTCGCTTCGGCTCATGGGATCCGCTGCCGACGGAGCTGACGGAATGGGTGGAGTTGGAACGGGGTGGCAAAGGCGGCGGCCGAATGGAACGTGCCAGCTCAGACACTGCAAACGGCTTAGCTTTCGGCTTGTTGTCCCTTGAGATGGGCGGCGCCGGCGGCTTTGGCGACGTAGACGGCGTAGGTGCGAGCGACACAGAGGTAAACTCTTTTACCAGTGATCTCACTCCGCCCTGAGCGGCGCTTTCGACCCTGTCGTCTATCTTCAAACCAGCCTTGCTCCGTGCGATGTTCACCAGTGAGTCAGCTAGGGCGGCCTTCTTCACCTCGTCTACGTCATCCACAGTCAGGTCGAACACGGCATACACAGGGCGGTGATCGGATGTGCGCAACTCGGCGCAGTTGTAATCCAGCAAAGAAAGCTAGCGTCAGACAAATTCGCTTTAGAGCACGTACCCCATCGCCCTTGTACAGAACTCGATCTGTGGCACGTCAGTACTTTAGACAGCGCGGCTTGGACCTACCCGTCCACGCTGGGATTCTGTGCTTCTCCGAGGTATCATAGTCGTCCGTCCCATTGTCACTAGATATAAGCGCTGTGGAGCCAACGAGAACGAACTATTTGTACGTCGGACGGAAAGTGATCGCTCCTTCTTCGTAACCGACAAACACCTGACCTTCGTCACGGGCAAGAGTGAGCTGGTCTGAAGCTACCAGAGGATCGAGCTCGTCGTTGACAGCGTAATGGCGAACTTGTTCGTTAGACAGGTTGATACGGTAATTCTGTGATTAGTTTCATTGGCCAACTGCAGCTCACCAGATCGGAGCTCCACACCACAATACTGTCCGTTAGTACCACTACAAAAGCGTACCTACTCGTGGCTATCAATCGTTTTGCCCCGAAGGAAGACGAGGCCATTCGAGATTGTGCGGTAATCGGCGTTGCGATCCGCAAAGTTGGACTGTCCAGCGGCGAGGTGACAAGTCATCAGGCAGACCGAGGCGTCGTAGAGGTCGAACCTTATACCGATGCCGCCCTTGTTGCCGCTGAGGCCCTGAAGGCCGGTTTTCTTCTCAGCATACTCGATGTTACGAATGGCCGGGAGCAGAGAGGACCTCACCACAACCATGAGAGCTGTGCCAACGAGCTGCTCGCTCCGCATGAGCAAAAAGTCGTTGGACCGACCTTTGAAAGTATCCATCAAGACTCCTTCCCAGACTCGCCTGTGGGGTCAGCAGCTTTCAAAACCGCCACCTTACTTCTTTGCCGGATCAGTCACAACGATTTGTTGTGGGGTGAGCTCAACTATCTCCTGGAACGCCACAGAGTATATGTCGGCTGTGGGTTGTCCAGAGGGGAATAACCAGGCGTCTAGTGCCTCTGCAGGGGCGCGGCCGTTGAGATTCCATGTGCCGCAGAACAATGTCAAATGCCGCGGTGTGGAGTACTGGGACTTTTGCGCGATGAGAGCATTGTGCACGGAATCGCCAACCGGGTCGAACAGAATGACCGGTCGCTGGCCAGCCATCAAGCCCAAAAGCATGTCGATCGCTCGCTGCTTGCCCTTGTCTTGAAAGTTGTTGATGTAGGCGCGACTGACGCTCTTCGTAGCATCACTGAGCAATCCTGCAAACGTTTTCTTCCCAGTCCTAGTCGCGCTTGTATTCAGAGCACCCGTCCCGGCGTACGTTTTGCTGAGTCGGTCACCGTTGTCAGCCCACAGTTCGCGGTGAGCGGCCCATAGACTAGGGCTATTGAGTAATGGGGAGCCGTAGGAGGCAAGGAAGCGTCGGAGAGCCAATGTGGAGACAACGTCCTGCACGAAGTTTGTGCGATCCAGGCAATCTAGGCAGTTCTCGCGGAAAACACCTTGCTGGCGCTGAATGACAACACCGGTAGCCGCATCAACCGCCGTATAATCAAACTTGTCGATGGATCCGTTGATCGCAGAGGATGTCGAGAAGTCGTTCCGCACAGCTTCATGCCCGCCAAACTTGACGACCGAGTGGAAATCGTAGGGAGTATATTCTAGATCGTCTTTGCCCGGAGATTCGGACGTCGCCTTTGGCGGTAAGGAGTCGCGTAACTCGCTGAAGTGGTCGGAGTAGATGCTTGATAGCATCGCTTCGGCATCCTTTTGCCCGAGGAGGTTGATGACATGCACAGAATGGTAATGGTCCAGTAGCTTCATGAATTGCTTATCAAAAGCCGGTTGGGATGCTTGCGGGGGGCGAGTAATCTCAACCTTTTGCTGGAGTGTTCCTAGCCCCTGTTGAGGCTGCTGCCAAAACAATGGAACACTGCCTCGTACCTGCACATATGAGGTGCAGATGTCCTGCACGCAAAGGATACTTTCCGTTTCAACGAAGTTGGCGACGTTTCCATCGTCATCGATGCCTCTCGTTCGAAAGCGCGCCCCTGCACGCTTGCAGCTTAGCCTCGAGATCAGAGATAGTGCTGCGGTCTCTGAAGCACTCGTATACCCTACCACGGGTGCAGTACCAATGAAGCCCTGTATGATCGGTAACAGCAGCGCCTGCTCGTCCAATTCGTCCCGCATCTGTTGCGGCAGATTCTTGCGAAACTTGAGAAAGGGCGCCAACAAATTTGCGTTCCATACGAAGTAATCGTCCAGAGTCTCTAGCGGACTGATGCCCTGGTCTGGTTGAGATGCCCAAGTGCGCGCTCTGTCGGTTCCCAACCGAACCGAAATGTCCCAGCCGCATTGCTTCGCGTGGTAGAATCCGCCCGTCTCGATGTACTTCTTCATTCCGAGGCAAGGATCCTCGATGCCCTGCATCGCGGCCTGGCTCAAGGCTGTCGTAGAGCCGTGAGGCTGACGCTGGTAGGCGAAGTTGTCATTCTCCTCGTCGTAGTCGAAACCGCCCAACACCGGGTCCCCCGAGGGCGTATCCAAGAACGATGAGGTCAATGACAAGAAGTCAACTGACACCACTCGTGCCGGGCGCAACGTTGACCCAGGGAGAATTGGTGCCATTGGAGAAGAGACCGTGAGCAGAATCAAGAAGATCTCGGGAACAGAGGATCGATCTGAGCGTCAGCACTTGGGAGCTGTCAAGCTCACCGCTGGGGACACTGGTAACACCTAGTACTCCTTCCACTGTCCTGGCGTTCGGAACGGTCACCAAGTCGGCAGTGTCCACTTGATCCAAGGGAAGAAACTCAGCGACCACCACGGACCGGCTGGCCTTTGTTTCTTCATTTCCGGGTTGTCGGAAGACGAGAGCATGCGTCTCAGTCAATAGATAAAACGCTCGAGGCTGACGCCGTAGATACAGCCGGGCGGGCATGATGGGACGAGTGCGGGTCGGATGCGGAAGTGGACAGTTGCGAAGTGTTCTTTTCGATAGTGGACTGTGGATCGCGGAGGATCTACAACGTCATCATAACAATTAGGATTAGGTGCGATTAGGCTCGTGCGCTGTGGGGCCCCCCATTGATCTGGCGACTCTAAATGTTTGGTTGCACCTATCCCCGGAGGAACCATCAGCCATTGAGAAACAGTCCTGTGCACTGCGGTCCAAGAGAGCAAAGGCTAGCAATGTCTTCCATATCAATCTCGCTAGGTGTTCTTCGGGTTATTCTCCTCAGACGTCTGCTTCTGCGCGATTCGGATATCCCGATTGCTCCTTCCCTGACGCGGCTGCAGGCCCACTTCCAGAGCAACTGCAGACTGGGCACGAGGGTTCTCCACAGACACAACGCACGCATCACTGTAGCGGTTGTCCTTTGCTTCTAGGATTGAAGCGCAGTTCAATGCGAACAGGCTGCCACATCGTTGAGATTCAAGCCCATCCAGGCCGACCGACAACAGCTGAAGGTCCATACTCAGCCCTTTCTCACAACACTTTCCGAGTAGTGAAGAGCTCTTTATCAGTAGGCGTGGAACATCGATTGGGCGGTTAGTTGAGCAAGAACCCACTACCATAGGTGAAGGTTCAAGCCCTAAATTTGGGCGAGATCGAGCAGAGGCAGCGTAAGTGACGATTCTCTCAAGTTCCAATACACGCCGGTCAGGAGGAACGTTGATACCCTGCATACGCGACAGCGCAGAAGCTTGCTACACAAGCTTCGCCACTGGTGGCCGTCACCGCCTCGCCGCGAGGGTGTAACATAACATGCGAAACCGCCAAGGATCTCGGTTCGCGTAGAAACCTTCGCAGGTATATATTGACGGAAGGACGGACTGCTATCCTCGTTTGAACCCTCCTTGTTGTCTGAGATTAGCGACCGCACAACGCAGTACCCACCCCTGTTTCTTCCGTTCATAGAAAGCGTCCACTCGAGAAGTACCCAGCTGTAGCGATTAGCTCCTCAGTTTTCAGAAAACTCTCACATTGACGATCCTCGGACATCCATCTCTGTCTTTCTCCAGTCGGGTGCACTCGGTACAGTAGTATGCGTCTGAAATGGCTCCTCAGTCAGCTTGTGTGCGCAGTTATGGACTCACCGTTTGTGCCGCAGACAATGCAGCGGGATGCTCCGTTTCCGACTGAGGGTTAGACAAGAATCATAGAAGTCTTACTCACAAGCGCATTCGTCGCATATGTGGACGAGAGTCATTGGGCGAACGTACGAGTCACACACGGGGCTTCATGTCAGCTGGCGCAGATGACACAGACATACCATTTGCCATCACATTTCTCGCATACTCTGCCAATCGCTGAACGTTAGCAACGCTAACACCCCGCAACTCACCAACGCCGGGTTGACGCCTGCACATGAGAAGGTCTCAAGTCAGTTACGCTCGGAGAAAACCTCTTACCGGTATGATGCTTCGACTGCAATGGTCAGCTGACGAATCAATCTTCTACTCACCATTGCTACGATGGGTTTGTGTAAACGATGAACCAAGTCAGCAACATTGTTGTCGACTTATCTGAGGTCCTGCGTCACGTGACCGATTCGCCACCGAGGGTTCAAATACGCGCAATCTAGTATGTTATACATGGCATACAGAGGAATGATACAATCGGTGTGAGCCAAGAACGCCTTGGATGTCTACAACTTTGCCTTTGAATGCGCCGGAATCTTGGGAGGGCGCCATTCTTCGCCACGGAACAAGATGGTGGCCGGAGCTGTACCGAAGTCAACGGGAAGGGGAATGTCCTATCGTGTCAGTGACGCGAAGCGTTACAACTCACCAGTTCGTGCACAGCAATCGTACGGATCATAGTGTAGTGATGAATCGTATGCAAGGCGCAAAACCATAGCTTCCTGTTAGCAGAAACATGTATGTGACTCACCTCTCGTCCTAGCGTACTCCTAAACTCTTGCTCAACGGGCGACAGCGACGAAACAATCACATCGCGTTCCAGCTCTCCAGACAAATCACTGGCATCGGCGAGGCTGCAAAGACCTTCGCGAACGCTGTTGAGAGCATTCCGACAGGCGTCGACATCGCGAGCGACTTCTTTGCGTGAGTCAGGTAAGACTGCGTCATAGTTGATAACGAGAGGTTGCGACTTCTCCATCGAAAAGGGCGAAAGGAAAGCGGCCCACGCCTCTTCGACGTGGCGTAAATGTTTACCGAGAGATCCTCCAGGCATGAGGTTGCTATCATGGGTGAGCTTCTCGTTCGTGAGATGCTCATCGACGAGATCGATGGCGGAATCAACGAGTGAGATCGAAAGCTCGATGAGGGCGTGGGGCCCATCGCGGTGGCTGGAGGGATCCTGAGACCTGGCTTGGCCCGCGAGCGAGTGATCGAGAGATGCAGACCGCTGCCGTTTGGATTGCTTTTCGGAGTCAGCGCGTGTTAGGAAACTGCACTCACCATTGCGTGCAGGAGAGATGGGGGAAGAAACGTGCTCGGGAGTGTGAACGCAACAGAGTTTATGTAGGGTGGTCTAAGTGAGATTGTATCACAGTCCATTCCACATCCGATCCGTCGAATCTGGTTCCTTCAATCGGTGAAGTCACGGATCACGGAACAAACAGCTCATAGTGCCTTCTTCGCATGAGCACGCGGACATTTCGAGCAGTCCGACCACCCAGAATTGAATCCGCTCCCGCGGTTCGATGACGGGACCAGATAACGTGAGAGGGCAACTGCGTCGCCGCCCGCTGGCCGTTGGAATGTTGCCGCTGCGGTGTGGTGGAGGTTGCACAGAACACAGGGACTGATGGCCGCGAGCAAGCCAAGACGCGACGCCTGACTGCGGTGTGCGTCAAGAAGTGCACAGATCATCTTGTATCGCCTCGTTCTTCACAACGCTTTGCACAGCTCTGGAGTCCCCTTGTTGCAATCCTCTTCAATCGCGGTCACCATCGGCTTTTTGTCTCCTCTTCCTCTCGTCTCTCTTACATCGTTTCGCTGACCCGGCACCTGTCTTCTGACTGTAGTGGTCATAAAACATCGGCTAACGATGATGTCCGGGCGTCCTCTAGTCGGGACGCAAGACACCTACTCTCAGAGCAACGATCGTTTCGACAGTCCAATGGATCAACCTCCCACCTATGACCGATATAGTGATCGCTTCGCCGACAAGCAGCTGCACGACCATGGGCCTGAACAGAACGCCTACGATTCGAACAATCCCTTCGTTCCGTACAGCGGTCCCGGGTACAGCGACAGTACTGAGGGGCGGCGTTACGAAGAGCCATGGTCCTACACAGACAACAATCATCCCAAGACGCCCGTTGCTCGTCCGAATCCAACCGAGTACAACCCGCTGTTTGAACAACCTGATGCCATGGAGATGCGGCCATTGAATCCGAGCAAACCAGCCGAGTCTTGGCCACCGCCTCCTGCAACACACTCGCGTCGGGAGCAGGCTGCCGAAGCCCTCCTATTCGCCACTGGCATCGGGCGTCTTTTGGTGCTACTGCGCATGAAGAAGGATGTCCCAGTGCAAGAAGCCATCAATCGGAAGCGCTCCAACGTCTTGCCTCAGAAGTGGCCGATCATGACTATTTGTTTGATCGTTATCATGACTTGCATGATGATTTGGGAGCTCATTGTGAACAAGCAGAAGACGGGGAGTGTCATTGCGACAAAGCCGACTTTCAACTACATGATCGGGCCTTCATTTGAGGTTCTCATCAACATCGGCGCCCGTTTTGTTCCGTATGCCCCAACTTGGATGTGAACTGACTAGCAGGTGTATGAAGCTCGTGAAGAGCGTTCCTCCGGACTTTGCACTGAGATGCATGGATAACTCGTTAGTGTGGCAATGGAAGTCGGCTGACAGAAAGCGCTGCCACCTGCACTGTCGAGAGCCTTTGTGGCCATGGAGGCTTCCCTAACGGAGTTCCGAATCGTACGCTCCACTATTTCGAAAGAGCTAACAGCAGAATCCTGGCGCTTCATCGCTCCCATCTTCCTCCACGTCGGCGTCATCCACTTCCTCCTGAACATGTTTGCTCAGTGGATCATCTGTGGCGCCGTAGAGCGAATGATCGGTAAGGCGATGGACTTGATGGCGCTGATGTACAGGGACGGTACCCTTCTCGATCGTGTACATCGCCGGCGGTTACTACGGCTTTGTGTTGGGTGGCAACTTTGCGCGTGTGGGTATTCCTACAGTCGGTGCGAGCGGCGCTATCATGGCCACGGTATGTTGTCCGATTCCAGACAACGCTGACCCGGGGTAGGAAGGGTGTATGGCGGTAGACTTGATCTTGCACTGGCGCTTTTACGATCGCCCATTGGCCAAGGTATGTTTCAGGCCCAGGTATGGTACTGAATACGCAGGCTCTGATGTTCATACTGGAGTTTGCGATCGTCATCGCTATGGGTTACATGTATGTGAAGCGGGGCCCATTGCCACCAGATGCTGACCAAGCAGTCCCTTTGCAGTCGACGGACTGGCACACCTTGGTGTGAGTGCGCCTCTTATGATGTACCACTAAGGCCTGAAGGGATTGGCAATGGGTTTACTGCTCGCAGTGTTGCTCATCCCCACAATCAAGGAAACGAAACGTGAAATCCTCATAGTCTGGATTGCTCGGGCTGTAGCATTCACGCTGGCGGTGGTAGCCCTGGTCTTGACCACCAAGAACTTTTGTGAGTTCGTAACGCCGAGGGTTTGGGGAGTCCGGGGTTGAGGAGGGTGGGGTTAGCCAACAGCGAGCAAGCAGTGTTGGATGGTCGGCTTGGAGAATTACGGACAAATATTAACACCGACTTGCAGACACAGAGGATCCAGTGAGTGATGCCGTTCCTCGCCGCCGACCGACGCCGCACCTAAGGGTCGGCCGTCGCGGCCGGGGAAGGGCCCTTGGCATACGTACAGCTTACCCACTCAGAATGCGGCATGCGAGTGGTGTCGCTTTCTGTCGTGCATCCCCACCTCGTCGAACGAGCGATGCAAAGGCACGGTGAGTGGATATCCGGCATTGCGCATGCTCTACCCCGCATTTCTACGACGTCGTCTCCACGTCTGAGCTATCGGCGTCCATGTCCGAGTCATCGTCTATTTCAGATACCCGTGGAACCGATGCGGGGATGCGGGGGCTGGCACTGGTGGTAGCGACGTTAAAGCTGTGTGCAGTGAGGATCTATGGGATGTGCAACACGTGCCTGAAGCTTAAGCGGCGCCGGACGCCAGGTCTGGCCTGAATCCAGGTCTTGGCTGACGTTTTTTCCTCGTCCAGAGAGATATCTGGAACACCCTACGGTTCCCCTTGCTGCCGGATTCAATTCCGCTCCGGCCTCACCATCCTCTGTTGTTGTGCTTGCAGTTTTGCGGGTCGCTTCACAGGGCTGGGCACGTAGCGAGCGCGTGCGGGGTCCAGGTAACGGCCCGACCTACGGGATTTGATCAGAACCACACGAAAAATAAAATTCAGACTGACACTCAGGGCCTGCAAACGTTCAGCACAACCAGCTAAACAGATTAGAAGAAAGCGGCAATATTTTGTTGATAGAGCAAGCGAATTCATGCGATGCGAATGAAAGGCGGAGCTCCTGATCCTGAGCGGATCGCAGACAAATTCGACATCGGGGCATCGGTTGTGCATTTTAAGCGGGGTGTAGCCGCCGCCTGCCCGTCTATGTTGGCCGCCTTGTGGCCCCTTGTGACCTGATGGGAAGTGAAAGGCTGCGAGCCGCACGCACTGATGTGCAGGCCGTGACCCCTGCCTTGGCGTCAGCTGATGGAAGGGTGGACTAAACTGGGCACAAGGTACGTCCAATGTGCGCCCCCTGTTGGTCAGGCAACCCTCGGCCACAACCGAGGCAGCAGACCCAAGGCCCACACCTCGACTGCAATGCAGCGACGACTCGAGGCCGTAGTACTGCCGTACGGCTCCATGCTCCAGCGCTCCAGGCTCGGTGCCTCGAATACTTGGGCGCGCGTGCTGCCGCCGCCCAGTTGACTGTCCGGCTAGGCCTGCTCCCTAACACCTGCATCGCTCTTCGGCGCCCTTCGCCGCTGTGTCATGCGGGTCACTCCTCGATCTCTTCCTCCCGTAGCCTCCCCCCTCCCCTCCCCCTCC